CTCTAGTGTGTGTGTGGTGAACTCTAGTGTGTGCGTGGTGGTGGTGAACTCTAGTGTGTGTGTGTGGTGAACTCTAGTGTGTGGTGGTGAACTCTAGTGTGTGTGGTGGTGAACTCTAGTGTGTGTGTGTGGTGAACTCTAGTGTGTGGTGGTGAACTCTAGTGTGTGTGTGTGTGGTGAACTCTAGTGTGTGTGTGTGTGGTGAACTCTAGTGTGTGGTGGTGAACTCTAGTGTGTGTGTGGTGAACTCTAGTGTGTGTGGTGGTGAACTCTAGTGTGTGTGGTGAACTCTAGTGTGTGTGTGTGGTGAACTCTAGTGTGTGTGGTGGTGAACTCTAGTGTGTGTGTGGTGGTGAACTCTAGTGTGTGTGTGTGGTGAACTCTAGTGTGTGTGGTGAACTCTAGTGTGTGTGTGGTGAACTCTAGTGTGTGCGTGGTGGTGGTGAACTCTAGTGTGTGTGTGTGGTGAACTCTAGTGTGTGGTGGTGAACTCTAGTGTGTGTGGTGGTGGTGAACTCTAGTGTGTGTGTGTGGTGAACTCTAGTGTGTGTGTGTGGTGGTGGTGAACTCTAGTGTGTGTGTGTGGTGAACTCTAGTGTGTGTGTGTGTGGTGAACTCTAGTGTGTGGTGGTGAACTCTAGTGTGTGTGTGTGTGGTGAACTCTAGTGTGTGTGTGGTGAACTCTAGTGTGTGTGTGTGGTGAACTCTAGTGTGTGTGTGTGGTGGTGGTGAACTCTATTGTAGTGGCCCAAGGCGCGCACGAGCCGTGAGTGTGCGTGTGGCAACGCGTGCCAGCGGGGCCGCGCCAGGGACACGGCTCACGTGGCATCATTAAGGCGGAATCGCAACAGCAGTTTTGTTCTGTGTTGAAACTGTGCTTGCACGTGTGTCTGTCTGTTACGAGTACTTGTGCACAGTCCTCGGAACATTTAGGCTGCATTTTCTATTCGCAAGCGAGTTTTTTACTGTTGCGCACCCAACATTTTTACGCGTTTCTGCGTCGCATTTTGCGTCCCTGTCCGATATTTTTTTGAAACCGTGAAGTTTGTCGTTCATACTTATCTTGATTTACAGCAACATGGTTGGCTGCTGAAGATATAGTCGAGTCTTACTCATTCATAAATATGGTACTATTGTGGTTCGCCTGTGGACTTATTAACGCCGGCCGTGTCTGCAGCCTGCTATTTATCCTCCTGCTGCAGCCTCGCAGGCTCGTCCATGGTGCTGCTTGTGGGTCCTGTGTATTAGGAGAACATACTTCCAGATGCAAATGTTCACTTTAGCTGTAATTGTGTGGATGTGCATATTTTATGAGGCATGAGAATCACATTTGTGTAACGCCTCCACTCGCTCTGCAGAATTTACGCGTGACTTGTTTGTGTATCCATGGCAGACAACGGGACACCCAAAAGTATGTAATCTAAACCGATTTGTCAACCATAATCCCCCCATTTGCCTACTTAATAAGCCAAGTAATCTTCTGCTGTATTGTTAAATATTTATTCAGCATTATTCTGTGGTCAATTGTATCCAAGAATCGACTTAACACTCAATCTCTATGCATTTTTATTAGCATAAAATTGGTCTCTGACGTCAATGTGCTTGCATAGAGATGAGTGCAATCGGCGGTATTAGAATATGTTTTGAATGCCGCGCACTTCATTAAAATGAAGATTTCATTTAACACACAATAAAAACCTCTCGGTGCACTGTAATTGATTTCCTAAGAGGGCTTAACGAGCGGTGATACATTTGAACGCGGCCGTGAGGATCGCGTGCGGTGCGTGCGCTGCGTGTCTTCGGACCCCAGCGTTTGAGATGGGGAGGGAGCAGAGGCAGGGGCCGGGGGGAGGGCACGGCAGGGGGGGGTGTATCTCCCCACCCCCCACCCCGCCCCCCAACATTGGAGGAACTCCACGTCCCGCCGCCGGTTAGACGCCAGGCGTGGACAGCTCCTGGGAAGCTGGCGGGAGCTTTTGGGCACCGCCCCAAAGCCAGGCCCCGACCGCAAGAGCGATGCCGCACGTACGCCCAAGGGCCTTCCCTTCCGCCCTTTGACGCGGGTGAAAGGACAAGCCCGGCACTCCTCTGCGACCTGCGGTGACATTTGGGTGACGCGACGTCACGTGCGTCGCGCTAACACAGAGGCGAGGTTTGTGTCGGGGAATCGAAGTGGTGCGGCGGTTGACGGCGTCTTAAGTTCAGCTTCCTTACGTTGGGTGTGGGTCGGCCCTGCAGCTGGGTGGCTCAGTCTGAAATGAATAGCCGACCTGGTGAAGTCATACCAACAACATTAACATGCCTCATTTATTGCCAAATATACATTTCTCCCTTGAACGCGATACCGCACTTTAATGTCTCTCGGCTGATTAATGCACAATTAAGTTTGTAAAAAGTTTGTCTTCCATAACAGTCCTCAGATTTCCGACTTAGGCACCCAGTTCTTGCGAACGAGCATCGGGGATTCTTTGACACACGTACGCACACGCACGCACTGTCTTGTGTGCAAAGGTCTTCCCTTGGCGTGACGCGAAAATCACCCAGATGCCCCCCTCCGCCCTGCGGTGGTTGAGGCTTGACCCTGGGCTGAGTGGTTGGCGTTGAAACGGCCCTGAACCTTTCAGCACCCAGCGCCGTGCTTCTCTCCTTGGGGGGGGGGGGCAGGCTGCAGCGTTTCCCGCCCCTTGAGCCGTGTCATCATCGGTCTCTGCACACAGCTCTGCGAATGACAGGAGGGAAATCCGAGGCTTTGGCCAGTGGCTTGTGGTAAAGTCCCACTTGTCTGCCTTCGCAACTAAATGTTTCTTTTGTGCGTGACATTCTCTGGCCAAGGGCTGGATTGGGCCACGTGAGTTTATAGGCTATCGGCACGCGGACAATGACCGGGCGCAGTCTGTAAAGACACCGCAAAGGTTTCACGTGGTGAGCTTAAAGCAACGTCGGACTTTTACCGTGGCCCTTCGACATTGTATACTCGCCATATAAACTATGCATTGTGATGGCTTTTGAAAACTACCGCAGAACGGCGCTATTGATCGAGGACAATCATCGTCTGAAGTTTTCCCCATCGCGAAAACTGTGAAGTGAGATCACACCGGGAAACCTGGATTCTAAAGCGGTCTTCAAACGGGTGCTTGCACGAACAATGGGAGAATAATGGAAGCATTCATTAAATCCGATGGGCCACTTAAACGGTAAGCGTCTTGGGTTTCACTGCATAGATTTAGACTCGTGTCTAAATTCTCAGTTAACATCGATCAGAACGGCGTGAGCGTGAGTTGAGCACTCCCTGGCGCAGCCGCCTTAACAACGCTGCCGGGTGCTGCACCGGGCACCGCACAGAGGCCGCTCACAGCCGCGGCGGGAGTGTATCACGGGGGGACACACCCCTGGCAGCCCGTGCTGGAAAACGTGACGCGTGCTGGCAGTGAGAGTTATGGGGGGGAGGTGGGGGGGGGGGTTCTTCCTACAGTCGTCCCCACCCACTCGTTCACCCACTAACCCAGCCACTCATCCACAACCCCAGCCACTCGCCCATCCATCCATTTCACCAAACCCCTCTGCAACCTTAACCCTGAAGCTCCCACCACCACCCACCCACCCCACTCCCCTCCCACAGTCTCCTCACCCACCACGACAGCAGGATGGGGCTCCCGTGGTCCGGATAAATTATCCTGACGGCGGCAAAGCAATTATCTACCGCTAGTCGCAGCGGCACCACTAAATTGCAGCGTCGCTGCTTTGCCCAGAGAGAGACGCGCGCTATTCGACTGTCGTGACTAATGAGACAACAACGGGGCCACAGGTCGAGAGACACCGCAACGAGCAGAGAGAGAGGAAAACAAAACGCCGAGTCCAATGTGAATGTCACATTCGCCGAGTTCCATCAATCGCCGTGTCTGATTAATGCTTCGCATCGTCCGGCCGCTGTTGGTGTTTGTTCACGTTGTTTGTTTTCGAGCCAATTAGACTAATTGAGCCGTTGTGTGTAAGTGGTGTGTCAGTTTGAGGTGTCCCTGCGTTTTAGTTCCTCCTCCTCCTGGATGTGTGGAGGACAGTGTTGGGTGCATCCGTCTCAATGTGATCTGGTGAATACGGCAAAAGTCCACGGTATTAATAAAGTCAGTTTTGACAAATATTAATGTTCGCAACCAGCAGAAGCGGTCGACTTTTCAACCAGCATCAAACCAATGACAATATCTAAAGGTAGAAAAAAAACAAGCTTTTACACAACATAACGAGCTCGTATTAAAATGTAAGCACATACCACCACAGTCGTGCACAGCATAGTACCGTATATACAAATAAACATGTTTTAACTATATTTTGAAATCCCTAGCCAATCAATCATTAAGTGCATTGATCGCAGCAGCGTGCGAAGGGAATGGTGTCGTAGTGTCATATTTACGAGCTCTGGGCATGCGATACAAGGTCACAAGCTTCGGGCCGAGCGGGCTACTCATTACAGGTCATAGGCCACCTGGGAGCCAACAATAAAAAGCCAAACATGCGTCTTATTCAAGGTTACGTCCCTCAAGGTCGCGCGAAAGCGATCCCACTCTTCACGGCGTGCTGATGCAGCATGCTGCCAATTGCCTCTAAAACTCATAAGGAGACCGTATATTGTGAGTAGTGCATGAATTGTATTATTATTACTATTACTACTATTTCTCCACAGCCATTGCCCAGCTCACTTGGCTGGTCCATCCCATTGCCATCTTCGTCGGGCACCTCTCGCGTAATGACACGGGTCAAAAATGAACAATTATTATTTAGTTACGAAGCACAGTTCCGTACGTGTACACGGAGGACAATAAATCGCGGCGAGCATTTACGCTCCCGTTGACTCGTTGCCAACGAGAGCAGTGACGCATTCGCATTCAGCGCATCCACTGAATTAGTGGGTGGTAAATAATTGCTCATTGTGCTAATTGATTGGGCCATGGAGCCGGCCTACTGCAGTTGTCGCCTGCTCGTGGGATTTTTTTTTTAAAGCTTCCTCAAGCGGCCGGCCGGTCGGCAGCCCCAAGCTTCCCCGCCGGTGCTCCCGCTCCCCGCTCCCCGCCGGTGCTCCCACTCCCCGCTCCCGCTCCCCGCCGGTGCTCCCGCTCCCCGCTCCCCGCTCCCGCTCCCCGCCGGTGCTCCCGCTCCCCGCTCCCCGCCGGTGCTCCCGCTCCCTGCTCCCGCTCCCCGCCGGTGCTCCCGCTCCCCGCTCCCCGTTCCCGCTCCCCGCCGGTGCTCCCGCTCCCCGCTCCCCGCCGGTGCTCCCGCTCCCCGCTCCTCGCTCCCCGCCGGTGCTCCCGCTCCCCACTCCCCGCTTCCCGCTCCCGCTCCCCGCCGGTGCTCCCGCTCCCACTCCCCGCTCTCCGCTCCCCGCTCCCTGCCAGTGCTCCCGCTCCCCGCTCCCGCTCCCCGCCGGTGCTCCCGCTCCCCGCTCCCGCTCCCCGCCGGTGCTCCCGCTCCCCGCTCCCCGCTCCCGCTCCCCGCCGGTGCTCCCGCTCCCCGCTCCCGCTCTCCACTCTCCGCTCCCCGCTCCCCGCCGGTGCTCCCGCTCCCCGCTCCGCCCCGAGCAGTCGCTGTTCTTGCCGCACCCCCTCTCACCGAAAGCCGCTTCAGGTGAAATATTGTCGACGAAGGGTTTAATATCGGACGCCAAATTTTATTCCTTATTGTGATTCGAGAATGTGTATTCATACCAGCATTGTTGGAACGACAATGTACACACATTGCCGTCGGTGGCATGGCCGATATTGATGAATTATAATATTAGTTGGCTGTTCTAGTATTTTTTGTTTAATATCAAGCAGATTGATATCTGGTTTTAGATTGATACCTGGTTTTATTTTTCAGCACTCGACAGTATCGTCTTTCCAGAGCCATACCGAATGCTGTATTTTGTAACATCTGAGTCTAAAGATTTGAAAAAAAACATAAAAAATATGCCACACTTCCTTTAATTGAATTCTTTACTGCGTATCCCTCGTGTGTAGCTTCCTCCCACGTAAACTGTTGACATCACCGCGGTGTTTCCAAACGCATGCATTACGTGTCCACATTATGGGTGACAGGCCGGCTTTGTTGTTGTTGTTGGTGTGGCTGGGGGACGGTGCCAGAGCAATTACACTTTTAAATCACTTGCTGATGTGTATGCGCGCGTGTCGCGTATTACCGTACGCGCAGCTCAGTACGTCATCGATCACCTCATTTGCATTCACCCCCCCCCACACTCATTTCTATTTTCTCCACGGTATATTCCGATTGTGCTATCGCTGTCACACCGTGAGGTGCTCACAGCGAGCGGTTCGTGGCCTCGTGTCTGTCGTCAGAGACCAGCGTGTGGAAAGTGTCACAGGATTAGGAGTCAATTACAGTATATCGCTTTTTCCCCACTCTTAATTCGTGGACTTTCCCACGTGCCCCGTTTCAGCGGTGTTTTGCCGCGCGGATTGCACGCCACTATTCTTTTTACTCCCAGAGAGAGAAACTTCATATAAAATGTTTTGTTCAGTCATTTGTGACCGAGCTGAGCCCATTTATTCACTGCACTTGAGAACCCGGTTTTAATCACGGACGGTTGAAACCTGCTCAGCAGTGCCGTCTTAAGTGCTCTAACTTGGTATGAGCTACCTGAAGCAAGCGCCTGCCTAACTTTCCCTCCATTGTGTGCCTGGCCGACGAAGAAGCTCACCTGCCGGGTCTACCAAAGAGATTTTGGGCTTAGAGGTATAATCCCTTTACCCGACAGTGATGCTTGAAATTGCCTGGCATGAGAAGAACCTTGTAAGCTCGCTCCAGAGCAACACTGTCTATAACTTAGAGTGAATAAATGTTATTGGTGGATATGAGATTGCACCAATACCAATACGCGCCATTCGCCACTAAGTGGCGGTGACGTCACCGCGGCGCCCTGTGCCAGGCTATGTGCACGTTGAGGCCACTCGAAGCGTGCGAGGGGTTGGTAACCCCTCCACCTTCAATGAATTACCACGAAACCACCAGGTCCTAAAAACACACGCACACACTGGCAATCACCTACGGGAGAGCGCCCCCTAGCACTAATGTCGTGCCATTGTCCCCCTTTGCCGGTCACGCAGAACGCGGTTCTTTGCAGCAGCCTCCTCCTCCTGCTGACCATTGCGTTGGCAGTGACCCACGCGATTGTTGGTGCCAGGCCCGCCTGTCCTCGCTGTTCCTGACAGTTGTCGAGGTCAGGCAGGCAGACGGTGTGGCAGCAGGCGGTAACAACACTCACCAGTGTTACAGTACAACGACAAAAGCTGCGTTTATTATGTACGGTGCTTATAAGCGCGGTTGGTCAGCTCCTGTTTGGTCAGAATATCGTGATTTTAGTAAATAATGGAATTCTTTTTTTTAAAGCCGTGCACTCAATTGGAAAATGTTTCATGAATTTGAATGGATGAATACGAAGATATCTTCCAAAAAAGACACTTCTTTGACTATAATCAGAATATTTGTTTATACTGGAGGAATCTGATGAGCTACGAAGCTCTTGTTTCACAGATGTTGCAGTAGGGACGGGTCTGAAAGTTACAACAACAATCAGTACAAAAACACGATAGGGGTGTAAAGTACAAGAAAGGTAACATTACCCAAAAACATACAAATGCAACTAAACCATCCTCATCCTACCAGGCAAGGCACACTGAGGTATTTAACTTATATTTTACAAGGGACCTGGCCACAAATTATAGCTCAACAACAAAGTGGCTCATCGTGTAGATATGTCTAGCAACAAAATGACCTCAATAATCTCAATGCATATTTCTAAATGTCCGTCAGTGAGCGACGGTGAATTTAAAGTCGTGAGCAGCGAGCCGAGCTGGTGTCCACACCCAATTAGAGGCTCGGGCCCGATCGATGATGCTCCGTCGAGTGTGCCTCTGGCATTGTCGCAGAGTGTCGAGTCAACGTGCGTGTTTGACTCTTAATGCCACCATGATGAGTGCGTGAATGTGCGCCGCATTTAATGCCCACGCGCCGCTTTGTTAATCTCCGTTTGCGCTCACAAATCAATTGTGCGGTGGGATCTCTCCCTTAACCCAGAGAGAGAGAGAGAGCTAGAGCCCCATTGGGATCCATTCTGCCCCTCGCCTGCACGGAGAAATAATTTACAGCGATAACCGCACAGTGCCATTTTGCTGATGGCCTTGGCGTTGGCTTGTCTTTTGGAAGCGGTTAAAGGCGCCTATTTGTTTAAGGGCACGCTACCATGAGCGGGCGGCGGTCGCCCCCGCGGGCAAGATTTTCCGCTATCTTATTAAGTCCTTATTGTTATCATTATCATCGATCATCGTAATTATTGTGAAGCGTTGCGAGAAACGGACCCTGCTGTTTCTTGGCCTCCCGCCCGCGTTCATTTGCACACAGCTGTGCATGCGGGCGGGCCTCGGGCCCAGACGGGCCGTGTGGGGGAGGCGGTGGTGGCGGTGGTGCGGGTTAGATATTGACTGCCTTTGTCCGTGCGAGTGTTGCTAGGCGGTGTCGGGATTGACCGTCTGTCTGTGTGCGGGTGTTGTCGTGCGCGCGCACGCGTGTGCGAGCGCGCGTGCAGGCATCCCCCGCTAAGCGTGCATTTTTCCGAGCTCACGTTTGTACACACGGGCGTGTGTGTCCGTATGTGCCCTTGCACGTGTGTGCCTGTGCTTATGCTTCCTGTGACTTTCTTGCGGGGCGCTCCGACTGTAGACGTCTCCCTGTGCGCATCTGTACGTATTTGTAGGGCGGTGGTGCGATGATATTCCAGCTCTGCGGGCGTGAATGTTGGCCATGCGCCTGGCCTCAACTTCACGTTGGTTGACTCTGCCTAAAAAAAGTATCTGGTACTGTCGTGCGGGTGACACCAACGCCGGGGAGACAAAGGTGGCAAAGGCATGCGTGGTGTTGGACACACCGCTCCGACATGTGTCCTGTTGCTCTTTAATAACTAACAATCCTTTGTCAATCCATGGCCGGATGAAGGCTTCCCCATGCGTATCGGTCACGAGGGTTACTTGGCCATACTTCATGATGCTGGTCATTGCTGTTCGGCGACAGCGGGGGCCCGGGACCGGTTCAGATGCCATTTGGCACCGGTGTTAGCCGTGGGCCCGGTTCGCAGCGTAGTGCATGAACCACACCGCCCCACCCCCGCTCGCAACTGTCGCTTGCCCTGAAGGTTCTCGGCAATAAGACTGGTGGGTATCTTTGTCTGTTTACCAGCGGGCGTGCAGTGACCACACGGTGGTTGTTTGGGCAGGCGAGCGAGGGGCGGCAGGCAGGGTGTGGTTGGGGAGGTGTTCCACTTCGGGTGCGCTGCCACCGCGGCCCCCGGCGCAGAGAAGAGAAGAAAAAACACAAATCCCTGGCCTTGCGGCGAGCTGGCACGGTGCCCGGTAGCCAGGGCCACATGCTTAGCCAGCACCTGGTCCATCCATTATGTTCCTTTCTTGGCGCTGTTCTGGTGCCTTCCGCGCGGCGCCCCCCCCCCCCCCAAGCGCCCCCATCCTTCCGTCGGCCTCCACGGCGCCGCCTCATCGTGGTCGAAGCTGCACGGACGGCCACACGTGGAGCTGCCGCGTCCGCCTTGCAGAAGGAGCAAAATAAAGTAACTGGGTAGTCGTTGCACTTTTCAAGGAGAGACTCTGCGGAGGTCCATCGTTTTTTTTTGCCAACCCCACTCGGATAACGTCATCGTTGCGATAGGACATCCACCGCGGATGTGGAGCCGATGGACTAACGTGCGGGAGCTTGATGGGTCGTGAGACTGCGAGGCGTGGTGACGGCTCAGGGAGAGACCTTCATCCGGCAGCTGTAGATAGAGCGTGGCTGCAAATGACGGTGCGGTTAAGTTTCTCGCAATGTACGAATCTGAGGGTCCGGCTTACGGCGGTGGCACGCGGCCGTCGCGTTTCGTGACTCGTGCCCACAAGGTCTTCAACCTCAACGTTCGCTCGCACCGCTGAGCGCTGCCAATGGCGTCATTGCGCTCCTGTACCGCGGGTGGCGGTGTTGCCGGTGTCAAATCCAAAGTCGGTTTCTCTCCGAGTGACTTGAGCGGCGAGATGAGCGAGAGTCTCGACTGGCGCGTTTCTCGCCAACCCCCCGCGTCGCTCCCACCTCCTCGCTGCTGGGTCCCCCCTCGCTCTTGATGATCGCTCGCGCAAATTAATTGCAATTATCATCCCGCCTTCTCGATGCTGGCGCCGCGCGCTCGCCTGGCCTCGTTTCGACCCGGCTTCTTCGTGCTCTCATCGTTGAGGGGTCTCCTCCGGCCGCAGTCGGCACCCTCTCACGGCCCAGTCCGGCGGGACGATCTTGCGACCGTAGCCTTTGCGGCGGCGCTCCGGTGCTGGGCGAGCGCCGGCGTCTGCAGGGATTGCGCTGAGGTCCCCGTTGGCCCCGTGGCACCTTGGGTTTAGTTAAATAAAGTAGCGGGGCAGCAGAGCCGCAGCTGTCGTGCGGGCTGTCAGTGAAAGTGTGTGCGTGTGTGCATGTGTGCGTGTGTGCGTGTGTGCGCGCCCACGCACACATGGGGCCTTACCATCATCCCCACCAAAACTAATCACCTGCCTGGGTATTTTGTACCATCGGACACTCCACCCCCACAACTCCCAATCGGTGATGGGGCAGTTGTGGAGAGAGTGGAGAGTTTCCCATACCTGGGCAGTGTGCTTATGACCGGCTCCAGTTTAACAGCAGAGGTCTCACTCCGAATCAGTCGAGCGGCAATATCTTTTCATCGGTTGCGTAACGCTGTGTGGAAGCTACCTGGTCTGTCGCTCCGCACTAAGCTTCAGGTCTTCTCGGCCACGGTCATTCCCTCCCTTCTCTACGCTTGCGAAACGTGGACCCCCCTAATGGAACATCTTCGCCGGTTAGAAACATTTAGGCTAGCCTGCCTACGAACCATCCTGGGTTTAACCAGGCTGGATTGTGTGAGGAGCTCACAAATCCTTTAAAGATCAAGGCAAGGTCCCATTGGTGAGCTCCTCCGGCAGGCAAGGCTGCGTTGGCTGGGTCATGTAGCCCGCATGCCCAGCCACCGCATGCCGAAACAGCTTTTGTTCGGCCCGATCGAAGGGGATAAACGGGCGCGACACGAGCTAGAGAAGAGATGGAGTGATGTGGTACAGGAGGCACGGGCTAGAGAAGAGATGGAGTGACGTGGTACAGGAGGATGTGGAGCTGAGTGGACTTGCCGATGACTGGTACCAGCGGTGTCAAGATCGGCCTCTGTGGAGGAGGCTCGTGAAGGACGCTACTGGGCAGTTGGAGGCAGTCGCCCTCCAACAACAACGGAGGGCGGAGGAGCAACGCTCACAACAACGAGCGGAGCGCCGGGTGGCTAAAGCACAGCAGGTTGGCACAGTAGGGGGCACAGATGGTGCATCAGCCAGTCATCTCAGTCATCTTAGTCAGTCGACCCGTGGCACCTGGGTCTGCCCCGTGACCTCCTGCCAGCGGGCGTTCGACACTTCACGTGGCCTCAAGGTGCACATGGCCTGGCACAAGCGTCGTGGTGACGTCACCGCCACTTAGTGGCGAATGGCGGTTGTTGTGTGCGCGCATGCACACCGTGTGCTTCTTGACAAGCGTTCGCTTGTATTTGTGTGCGTGAGTGAATGGGGAGCGTTGGTGTAGCGGTTCGCGCGCTGCGCTACGAACCCGGCGACCCGAGTTCAACTCCCGCTCACAGCCAACACCGGTGACGATTTTCTGAACAGCCCTGTGCCCCCTTAGGTCGACTCAGCCTCAATTGAGGCGGTCGGGCGTTGTGCTGGCCACCCACACCCTCGTGTGCCGTTCCGGCCTTCATAGGTGCTCGCTAACAGCACTTGCCCCAACAGTCTGTTAAGGCTACACCGGGGATCTTTGTTGTGTGTTAGTGTACTGTGCAGTACTCGCTCATTGTCAACGTTGTCATGTGAGTGCACGCTTGGGCGTGCGTGCATCTTGACGATTGCCACAACATTTTCACACATGTCAAAAACACGAAAGTCTTTTTCTTCTTTGGTTCTTTCGGTAAAGTCACGTAGAATGAGAATAAAATAATAAATAAATTAGATGAAATAACACAATAACATTCTCACGACGTTTCGGCCACAACACAAGTGGCCTTCTTCAGGTGAAAGGAACAGACCTGTCGGGACGACAGAGCTTCAATGAACGTTGTGAAGATTCGTAGCATCTTTTAAGCTGGTTTAGAGAAGTGAGGCACCTTGACAAAGGGGTTTAATATGTTAACCCCTTTGTAAACCCCTTTGTCAAGGTGCCTCACTTCTCTAAACCAGCTTAAAAGATGCTACGAATCTTCACAACGTTCATTGAAGCTCTGTCGTCCCGACAGGTCTGTTCCTTTCACCTGAAGAAGGCCACTTGTGTTGTGGCCGAAACGTCGTGAGAATTTTATTGTGTAATTTCGCTTTATTAATTTATTATTTTATTCTCATTCTACGTGACTTTACCGAAAGAACCAAAGAAGATGAATCCTTGCAGTCACGAAAGCTTTAAATCGAAACGAAAGTCTTTGTTTCATAATCCTCGGTCGACTTCGTTTGGCTTGACGACAGGTCTCGGTGTTCGCAATAAAACTGCCCTCATTGTATTGAAACGTTTCAAATGATGCAAAGACTGAACTTGTTCAATTATCTTTTCATTGTAATTCTAGAGCTCTGCTTGCCTATAATTTATTCATACAGTGGTCAGCGACACATTGTGATCATAGCCGTTAGAACGCCACTCCAGTGCGCGACACTCGGGGAGTGATAACGCTTCAAATGTGAGGGGCTGAAGATAAAACACTTCGTTTAAACTGAACCGTCTCAACATTTTTTATCAAATCTTTAAAGTATTCCCATGGTGGTTGTTGTCTGTGATAAATAATACATTTAAATCACCGCCTTGCTAGGGAGAATGCGTTGGTTTCCATGTACTGGGCATGCTTGCAGATTCTAAGAAATGTGCGGTGATTTTTCTGAGCAAAATAACGACGTGAGCGGTCAAAAAATGCCCCATCAAGTCGATACGAACTACAAATTAAAATGAAAAATAACTTGCAACAGATGTACATAGGCCCGAGAGAGTCAGTACAACCCTGCATTTGTACGTCTCTTGCTTTCCCTGGTCTAGCAGCGTGCGCGAGCGAATCAACAAAAAACTTTTTACGAAACTCAACTATTTTTTATTATTTTACCAGGTAAGGCCCACCGAGCCATATAACTCTTTTTCAGAAGCAGCCTGGCTATCGCAAATGATAGCTTAACAAAGTGGATTATCACGTGGAAATGTAGAGCAGCCAAATACTCTGAGCGCTTGATGTTGATTCTAAATGTGGAGGGGAAAACCGGAGGACCCGGAGAAAAATCGACGCAACCACGGGGAGAGAGCCATGCAAACTCCAAATATACAGGTATCAGGGTCGGGATGGAACCCACTACCTCCTGTATACCAGGCGAGGTAGTTAACATCTCCTAGCCACTGTGGCGCCCCCAAGTGCGTACGGTTGCAAACGTGAACGGTCTCCTTATCGCCGACCGTGCGTCCACCTCTCCTCCCGCAGACCATGTTTGGCAAGGGCGTGAAGAGGAAGCTGACGGAGGAGGACGCGGTGGGCACGGCCGGCGGGCTGCTGCTGCTGCCGGGGGGCAGCGGCGCGGCGCCTTCCCGCTGCCCCCCGCCGCCCTGCGCCGCTCCGGGGCCAGGCCGGGCGTACGCCCTGCAGCGGCAGACCGTCATGTCCCTGTCGCTGGGGAAGCTGCAGGAGGTGCGTGGCCAGGTGGAGCCGTGCCTGCGCCGTTACGTGGCCGTCACCAACACGCTGCGCCGCATACAGGTGCGTCCGCCGCCACGGCTGCCGGTGGGCTCCTGCCCACCCGCTCGCCCGTCGCGGTGCCTCGTCCCTCGAACTTTAAGCGACCGCCCTAAGTGGAAACCCGGCCCCTCGCGACTCGAAATCTGCCGCGCACGTCGCTCGTTAAGTCAAGCTTCGACGCGAACGGCTCGGCGTGTGACCGGCGTCGTCTCACTTCGGTGTCGCCCGCAGGAGGAGTTGAGGCAGGAGGGCGTGTCGCGCCCTCTGCTGCCCCCCTGGGTGGGCGCCGGCGTCGGGGCTCAGGGTCCCCCTCCTGACCGCAGCTGCGCGGAGACTCCGCCCCACTCGCCGGGTCGGGGGGTGGCCGGGAGCCCCTCGTTCGCTCTCCTGCCGCCCTCCTCTTCGACTCTGCCTCTGCTCCTCCCGCCAGCCGTGGACCTGCGGAGCGATGCGGGCGGCCCCGAGGGTTCCCTCTGCGCCATCTCCAAGCTCTGCCACGACGACGACGAAGACGACGGCGACGACGACGACGGGCGGGGAGGAGACGCCGGCGCCCCGCCGCGCGCGGAGCCCGCGGGCCGGACTCGGTGCGCCTGCTCGGCGGGGACGGCGCCGACGCGGGGCGACGCGCGCCCGCCGGCCGCGGCCTGCGGCTGCGCGCGCCGCGACGCCAGCGCGGAGACGGAGCCGTCGGAGCGAGCGGCGGGGCCGCCGGCGCCCGGCCCGACCGGCAGGTCGCCCCCCGACGCGCGAGCGCCGCCCGTCCCCGAGATGCCGTTCGGCGGCGGTGGCGCCGGGGCGGGATGCCTCGACGGCACGGCCACCGCCTTCCTGCTGCCCGAGCTGTCGCTGGACGACGTGTTCACGGACGTGGACACCGCCATGTACGACTTCGACCTCTTCGCCCCGACGGCGCTCGCGAGCGGCCGCGGGGCCGGGCCCGCGGCGGGGGACGAGTGGCCGCGCGGGGGCGTCCCGGCGCCGTGCAGCTCGGCCACGGGCGGCTCGCCGCAGTTCAAGGCCGACCTCAGCGAGCTCGACCACATCATGGAGGTGCTGGTGGGGTCTTGAGGGACGGGGCCGTCGGACGGCGTCTCCTGCCGAACGTTCCGGGGTCGACGTCCCGCGGGTCGCGTCGGCGTGACCCCGGGGTGGGGGCGAGCGCCGCCCTTCAGCGACGGCGCGGGGCGGCGTGCGCTTCGATCGGAAGAAAGGGCGTGGTGCCCATGTCCCCTCGTGTAGGGCGGGGGGCGTGTTGCTCGCACGCTTAGCGGTGTCGGCGCCGACCCAAACGCGCGAGTTCTCTGGCCTCTCCCAACTTACAAACTCGACGGCATTCAAAGAGCCTCCGTGACTCGTCTGGGGGCGAAAGAGGAACGTCAACCAATAATGGCATCGTGTAAATCTCGCGGATAACTCGTGAGCACGCCGTGTGCACGTTTTGGGACAAGGTGCTCTCCGTACAAGTTTTCGGGAGGACTCGCGGCTGCCTCTGTCCGTCCCGCGCATCGTTGGATAGCGAGGGTTCGCTGCCCCCGTGCGGGGTGCGTCGCTTCCAGGGTGCTGCCAGCATTCGCGCCGCGACCAGACCAGCCGTCGGATCGTCGTCATCGCCGCCTCCACGACTTTGTCCGTGCTCCGTCGGCATTCCGTGCGGACGCCGCTGAATCTTGACGTCCCGTTTGCATCGGGTAGAACGTCGGGGGTCGTAATTGGACAGAAGACCCGGCTTAGTTTTTAATTTGACTCCTACACAACCGAGGCCGTCGCCCTGCGTGGCCACGGGCGTCTTATGCATTAGGGAACTTACCGCCCGTGTCGCGGGCCGAGCTCTCATCAGGTAACAAACGTCACTTCGTGCGCGTGTTTCTTTTATTTTTTGCAAACGGCCAGAAGCACCAGCCTGGATGGCGCACGTGGGCACAAGGTGGGCACGGGCATCGATGGGCACGGGCATCGATGGGCACGGACATCGATGGGCACGGGCATCGATGGGCCGTTTTTTTTCCCCCGCCGTCGATGCGATCGGACTGAGCGACGGCATCGTGGCCCAGCCTTCTCAAGCAATCTCTACACCCTCCTTACCTCCGGCAGGGAAAGCGCACGCACACGGTCGGTCTCACACGAGGGATACAGCCGCCCCCCTTGGCTGTCGGCTGCCTTTTTTTATACCGTTTTTTTTTTGTCAAGAGGAGTCTTTGAGTCGTTGACGCCGCAGGTTTCGGTTGTGCGCGTGGGAAAGTTTCGTCACCGCCCGGATCCTTAACATGTACACGCGCAAGCACATACACAAGCACGCACGCATGGGCACGTGTGGCTAGGCGCGCCGCAATTACGAGCGTTACGCACTGCCCGGCGTACGCACGCGCGGATGTTCAAGTATTTTCCCAGTGCAGTTTGCAAGGTAACCTTTCTACCGCGTAGAACTTAATTAAATCAATGCTACTGATGATGTGTGTTGTGAGTGCAGAATACTTAAATGCAAACCCATAGAGGACAATGAAACCTAGGCAGTAATGCTGAATTGACCCAGTGTTGGCCTCGATCAGTGACGTATAGTATTTATTATTGCTTCCCGATACATGAATAATCTCGACACCATTACCTTTGTGCAAACACACAAACATTACAGTATTTGTGTTCCAGTTTACATGCTTCCTATACTTTTCATTTAGAATTCAGTTGCACACCGTTTGCAAAGAGTTACACCTTGCAGCAGGGAACCTACCAGTCCAAGTACCCTGTTATAAATACCATGACCCTGCAGACAGCAGTACCAGCTCTGCAGAGAGCAATACAAGTATTTTGAGTACACAGAGAGCGGTGCCAACTCTACAGAGAGGTATAGAAATAATTGTCACTACAGAGAACGGTACCAGCATAAGTGCCGTGACCTCGCAGAGTTCAATACCACGTCAAGTATCTTCACACAAACGCAATATTAACTCTGCAGTGAGTCGTACGTGCACAGGTATCATGAACCCACAGAGAGTAGTACCAGGTTACCAGTACAAGTATTGCGACCCCAACTTTCAGGGGTGACGAGCGTGCCCAGTCTTTAGGGGCCATCCTTTTAGTACGTACGCATGGAGGGGGGGGGGGGTTAACCCAAATGCCTACGCTTGCGTATGGGAGGGTCCACTGACAATGTATGTACGCATAGGAAACGGGGGTGGGGGGGGTGGGGGGTTAAGCCTCGATAACAATTTGTCTACATTGGCCTTCAAATGAGCCACAGTTGAATTTCTTCAGCTGTCAGGCAACAAGTACTACCAGGAGAAGTGGGACTGTGGGAGAGGTGTCACTTGTGTGCCACCGTGCCCCTGACTGCGAGCTATCACGCAGCTCAACAAAATAAGTGGCCAAGGTACGCAACTGAATTCTTTAATGCAACCGGCGGTGGACTATCTGTTTGCTTAAACACGTTAATATTATCAATATTATTTGATCTTTCGCTAAAGTCACGTAGATAGGTTCAAAGAAAATAAAAAAATAACAATCTACGTGACTTTACCGAAAGACCCAAGAATATGAATTCCTGCAGTCACGAAAGCATTAAGTCAATATTATTAATCCTTGATCGTTTCTGCGTGAATTAAATATCGGCCGTTCTATAGGATTTGGGGGGGGGGGTGCATCAAGCGTACGTACGCAGGTGGGGGGAGGGGGGTGTAAAAAGTACGCGGGCGTACAGCGAGTGTGGGAGGGGTCAAGTTTTGACATATTTTTGCGTACCTACTCAATGGATGGCTCCTTACCCCAGTGAGTTCAGCCAAGCGAATCGTTTAAGTCCTCCCACCTCTGTTCTCTTCCTCGACAACTTCCCTCATTCCCCTGGCCGTTCACCATCTCCGTCTCTTACATGTCATTTGCGTTGAGATCGGACGAGCAGTCGCGTGCCTTAATCGCCGAGTTTGTGTAACGTGCGGAGCGGTTTAATTTTGACCGATGCCGTTGGCGTCGTTTGCGTCGTCGTTATTTTTCGACCAGCGTCTGGCGTGGGGCAAGTCGGGGGCCGGGTGAGCCCCTCGGCGCCCCCTCGCCCGCCCATGCCACGTGGCCCTGCTGGCACCACCGAGGTGCCCACGTGGGCACCGTGACGAGACACAGAGAGAGAGGACTCGGAAGGAGAATTCCTTTTAAAATTCTCCTGCCATTTTCATTGAAAAAATCCATCAGGCAATCGGTTTCCAAATAAATTGTTAGTTTAAGATACTGTAACGATGAAGTATATTTGAATTGCATTTGAATGGAAGTGGATTTGAAATACACTTTAATGGAAAATTGATTTGCATGTTAATGGAGCAAACCTGTCGCCCTACACCTAATCTAATCCCTGTCCCAGTCCTAACTCTTGCATTGACAGGGTCATGGTTAGAGGTAAGGGTCAGGTTTGATCACACACTATTTGATTTCGTGAGGATTTCTTAGAAGAAAATCAATGTTCAGGTTTTGCCGTGTAATCTCTGGGTCACCGTTTGTCTCCGCGGGGCAGCCCGTCCAACCGCGTGGACATTCTCAGATCCCTCCTCGTCTGCGGGTACTCCTGTCCGTGGAGTGGGGGGGGAGACAAATCCGTCTCGCCCCCATCAATGGGCTTCCAGACACGCTGGAGGACAGTCGCTCAGTCCGCCGGCGTGACTTTCACAACTAAGTTATTGCGTTAAGTTATTACAGATTAATAAATGTTTAAGAGTAATAATTACAAAAATAAATCTGCGGATTATTTAAGACATTTTAAATTGCAGTAGCTCTTCATTTTCTTTCGTTATTGTTGCGTGTGTGTTTTTGTGGCGAGTGTGTTTTACACAATTTAAAGGGAAAACTGAAGAGAACTAATTTTTGTACGAGTTTAGAGTCATAAATTATTATGTTTTATTGTTTTTTTATTGGCGGCTAAAGCCATGGGAAGGAGACAGGTTGGTGGGTTTGCGTGGCCGCGTTGAGGCCTGCGATGGTGTGGACTTCAGGGTGCTTGAGAAACGTGTAGACTTTAAGGCATTTATTCTGCACTTTCTGAGCGGAAGGGTTTTTACGTGAACATGGAGCATGGGGAGATTGTGTTGTGGAAGTTACACGTCGTTTCTTTTGTTATTATTTGTGGTTTAAAAAAAAACTGAACCAAGTTTAAACAAGCCACTAATGTAAGGCTAATTTTTTTTAAGTCTGTAATAAGTAATATATGCTTTTTGTGAACTAGGCTACATACAAATGCTTTGTTATTTCATTTTCTAAAAAGGATCAAACCTGTAATTATTTTTGGAACTTCAGAAGGGGGGTACATGTATGAAAACTGATTTTTCTAGAGTTTAATTTTTTCTCCCGGTAGATTTGATCTGTGAATGGTGTGTACGGCCTATAGTAAAAAACTATCTTAAACTTGTGTAAATGGTACTAATGCTTGTTCTTTATTCATTGGAACAAAGTACGTAATTTGAACTTTTTTTTGAATTTTTAAAGAAATCAATGAGATGTAGTTGCCAGGCATCTTTACTGCAATTCATTTGCCTTCTTGTGATTTCATTTTATGTTTTATTGTTATTATTTTTAATTTTTGCAGCCATAAACCTAAAAAAATTACGTACAAAACAAAGGCCACACTTGACAGGCTAAAACAAACAAAAAAATCGCCTCTATCATTCAGGTCTTATGCTAAAAACGGATTTATACAATTGCCACAAACACATCCGTGTAATAATATCATTGTAATGACGTCTCTTGCAGTGGTTGCAATAATTGACTAATGAGGCAATGTTTTTTTTATTTAACTGTATTTATTCAGAGTTTTTATTTAAAAGCACAACTAGAAGTCTCGGATTGCCCACGACTGTGTTTCCCAGCTGACGTGGTGCCGATGTGGAGTCCAGCAGGCTGTGCACACACACGTGGTTTACTAGGATGAGATAAAGAGAACCCTGCATTGTACCTGTCTGTACGCAACCCCTGTGCCTTTTCTGTACACTTTTTGCAGGTCATTGTAATATCCTGTCATAAAATAAACGAAATTTAAATCGCGACCTCTGCTCCGCCTCCGTGTCTTTACCGAACCGAGGGCACCACCACCAACCACTACGACGTCGCGCTGGACAGGAGGAGGAGTTCCCCCTCCACGTGGTGCCGGACGACACACGCACCTCGTCGTGCCAGCGGAGCAGCGACGGCGGCCCTCCACGTGTGTACAACTACACGGTGGGCCCAAGCCACGGGTTTCCCAAGATAATTTCTGCAGTTATTGGCCTGAAAACATAAAATTACCGGTGTGGTGTTTTTTTCTAGCAACAAAAAACAACGCAGGGTTTGCAAGTTGATATTTTTTTTAAGTTGAATTAGTTTTTTCTCGTGTTGAGAAATATGAGGCAGGTGAACTGGAATCGCATTTTTTTTTTCCAACGGAAGGAAACGTCCACCTGGCGAATGGCCCCTTCCGTCAAGCTCGGAGCCAAGGAATTTGTCCGCCTGGTTCTGGGGCGCGAGGAACAAGAAACACATGGCCTCCACGAGCCGGGCGCAGAGCGGACAGGGCTATTAAAAACCTCCGCCGTGAAACACGCCGCGTGGTGCGAGGCCGCTGGGCACGTGCGGATGTTGTGTTTCATCTGAGCGGCAGAAAAGCGGATGCCATTTTTTCTTCCTCCTCCATCATTCTTCACCCACGGCTCTCCCATACACACAAACGAGATGCAGCTTCATCGGCACGAAGATAAATCTGCGTCGGCTCCGTAACCACCAACAACCAAGCAAACCACTGCCACCACCACCAGAACTGCCCGAGCCACAGTCACATGTTTGCCAAATAAAAGAAAATACCCGCAAACTGTTCACTTGTAAGTTACGTAGCCAGTTATCGTCCCCTGGACTACAAAAAATAAACTTGGAAAGACCCTCCTGGAAAGGAGTCATGTGACTCAGGCTTTCCCGTAGTTAGAATATCACAATTAATCATTATCACTACCACCATCGCACTCAGTACCAATGTGAGTCCGTTACCTACACATACAAAGCGTTCGCATTAAAACAAGACCGTGCGAGTGAATGCAAGGGCTAGTGGAGGAGAGCCTCTTAAGCTTCCCGAGCTCCCAAAGCCTCAAATGTAAAAGCGACCACGTCGAGAACTTAAACGCGATGGTGTAGCGCCGCCTAGCGTCATCCTCACCATCAGCAGCAGCAGCGTCGCCCTCGTCCAAGTCTGCACTGCGCACCGCGTGCACGGTGGATGTCCTTCAGGGATTGTGCGAAGAGGCCCTTTGAGGTCACGAACCTCGCATCCTACAATCTGATGCAATGTAGCAATCGATAGGATCATTCACTTCGTCTTCTTCGTCTACTTCTTCTTCGTGTCCTTATTCACTCGGAATGCCGCACATCTCGAAAGCTAAAGCAGGGTTTTTTTAGCCTAGATTTATGCCGTGATGGGGCGACCAACACCATGCGCATAACAGGTGTTATAGGCTGCTGCGAGGCAACGCTGTGGGCAGCGGAGGGCAGTAATGGACGAATGTAGGCATCGCCAAGTCCCTCCGTTTACTCTCTTGTTTACCCTCCGGGTCTCCAGCACCACGCACTCGGCCTGCGTTGGCGAGGGTCGTTGTGGGGCGAACCGTACGTACGGTGCACCATATATTGAACTTCTTTCGCACCGTACGTAGCCAAGATAAGCGGAACCCCATCTGGTCTTCAGAAAAAACACATGGTATTAATGCGCTTTAATCGGACCGCCTCTTGGCTTACCCAACTAACGTTACCGACTAACAACATTCCCCGACTAACATTACCCAGCCGCGTTTGTTTGAGCAAGCGAATTATGGACCGACTTCGACAGTTTTGGTCTCATCAACAGAGCCGAGGTTGTTGAGACGAATTAACCAGGCCAGAGTTGGATCGCTCAAATGCTTTCGCGATGGATAATATTGATGGATAATATTGATGGATAATATTGATGGATAATATTGATGGATAATTTTGATGGATAATATTTATGGATAATATTGATGGATACTATTGGTATGGAGAGCCAGTGGGCTGACCGTACTTCAAACATTTATTAGTTGGGATGTGGAGACAGAATGGGAGTCTCTGATTGTCACCGAGTCTGTGGGGGTGCTTTCAGGAGAGTTCTGCCTGGCCCGAGTGGCCCAATGCCTCTTTGACTTTACGTTACCCAGGATTGGAATATCCCGTAATCGCGACCAACCCATCATCATCGCCGTGATGCGTAAACACGCGATGAGAATACATCACGAGGGTTCTCATTCTCCAGAGCCTTTATTTGCCCAAGAAAACTGAGCTTCAGCCGGGTGTGTGTGTACGGATGCACCGCCAATATATATAATCGCGTGTTAAATATGAACGAAAAATCCCGACATCGCATCGCTCTGCGCTGCAAGTTAAAATCTCCACGACACTCCACGTGCACACGCACGGCCACTACACAAACACGCGGGGAGCATTGTGGCCCATCGGGGGTTCAGCGGTCGAGGTAAAATTATCCAGGAGCTCAATCATCAACAGCGACCAAACAATGAGCCGACGTTTTAGGCAACGGGCCATTTATTTATTTACGATGCCACTAGTTTTGAATCACGTTTATTGATGCATTCGGACTAGTCCGAACGGGTGCGGCGTGATCGGCCGGTGATGGGTCGAATCGGAGGTCAGAATCAGGGTGGTGACGATGCCGTGGGCACGACGCCGCCTCTCAATGGGCGGCTGTGGACTCTTCCAGTGAGGTTACCGGTTCGCGAAGTTCCACTTTGGACCCGGCTACCTGAGCAGGTCTACTCGGCCTCAAAATGAGCGCCTGGTGCGACGTGTAAACATCGCCACCGGGGAGACAAAGGCGGCCGGGCGTAACGCTGGCCACCGATCCCCGTGGTGTGTCGTGTCGGCCTTCACACACACACACGTACATATAAGTGCTCGCTAACAGCACTTGCCCCCACGGCTGTAAAGGCGCTACACGGGGGATCTTTGTCGTTGCGTATTGAGACGTGACATCGCACGCGGCAGCTGGGCGAGACAAACATCCAAGGGCCGTGCCAGGATGTGGACGCCAACAAATCGTCGACCCATCGCTCAGAGAGCGCGAGGAGCAAGGTGGGCAGCCGGCGTGCTCTAGACGGGTCACGTGGTACGAGGAGCAAGGTGGGGCAGTCGGCGTGCTCTAGACGGGTCACGTGGTACGAGGAGCAAGGTGGGGCAGTCGGCGTGCTCCAGACGGGTCACGTGGTACGAGGAGCAAGGTGGGCAGTCGGCGTGCTCTAGACGGGTCACGTGGTACGAGGAGCAATGTGGGGCAGTCGGCGTGCTCTAGACGGGTCACGTGGTACGAGGAGCAAGGTGGGGCAGTCGGCGTGCTCCAGACGGGTCACGTGGTACGAGGAGCAAAGTGGGCAGTCGGCGTGCTCTAGACGGGTCACGTGGTACGAGCAGCAAGGTGGGGCAGTCGGCGTACTCTAGACGGGTCACGTGGTACGAGGAGCAAGGTGGGGCAGTCGGCGTGCTCCAGACGGGTCACGTGGTACGAGGAGCAAGGTGGGGCAGTCGGCGTGCTCAAGACGGATCACGTGGTACGAGGAGCAAGGTGGGGCAGTCGGCGTGCTCCAGACGGGTCACGTGGTACGAGGAGCAAGGTGGGGCAGTCGGCGTACTCTAGACGGGTCACGTGGTACGAGGAGCAAGGTTGGGCAGTCGGCGTGCTCTAGACGGGTCACGTGGTACGAGGAGCAAGGTGGGGCAGTCGGCGTGCTCTAGACGGGTCACGTGGTACGAGGAGCAAGGTGGGGCAGTCGGCGTGCTCTAGACAGGTCACGTGGTACGAGGAGCAAGGTGGGGCAGTCGGTGTGCTCCAGACGGGTCACGTGGTACGAGGAGCAAGGTGGGGTAGTCGGCGTGCTCCAGACGGGTCACGTGGTACGAGGAGCAAGGTGGGGCAGTCGGCGTGCTCTAGACGGGTCACGTGGTACGAGGAGCAAAGTTGGGCAGCGGGTGTGCTCCAGACGGGTCACGTGGTACGAGGAGCAAGGTTGGGCAGTCGGCGTGCTCTAGACGGGTCACGTGGTACGAGGAGCAAGGTGGGCAGTCGGCGTGCTCTCGACGGGTCACGTGGTACGAGGAGCAAGGTGGAGCAGTCGGCGTGCTCCAGACGGGCCGCCGCTCACGCGGGCATCGTGAGATCCGCGAAACTCAAAAACTTTTACTGCAACGACCATTATTAAACCCACACGCACGTGGACACGGATTGACACGTGGAGTATATTACACACACCACGCGGGTTCGCGACACGATCCACATTAGGTGAGGAAGGTCGGTGCGGGAACGCGTCGCTATCGGTTGACGGTGGCCCATGGTCAGGAGTAATAAGTGGGTGGGCAGCCAAAGGAATGGAACGCATCGCGAGGGCGACCCCCTTAGGAGATGGAGCAACGCACTCGATTTGTGCGCGGGCGTTGGAGGGGTTGTTTCATCGCAGGATTGTGAGATGTGGCGACGGCGGCGGCGGCTCTGGGAGGCCTTCATCCAGCAGTGGATTGAGCACGACTGGCGATGCTCAAGGGAGTGGGAAGCTCCAGCGGGACACGCGGCGCGGGGCCAGCCCCCCCCTCCCTGCGTAAGCACCGCCCACTTTCACGCAGCCACGCCCACTAGGCCACTAGCCCCGCGCGCGCGGCTTCCTCGCTACCTGCCCCCTGCCCACTGCTGGAGTAGCCCCCCACTTTTTATATTCTTAGCTCTTTCGGTAAAGTCACGTTGAATATATAAAATATATATAATATTTTATTATTTTATTGTTTCCCTTCAACGTGACTTTACCGAAAGAGCTAAGAATATGATTTACTGCAGTCACGAAAGCTTTACATCAAAATTTAGCCCCCCACTGTTTGCCACGAGGGGACACCGTGGATCCTCAGTAGAGGTGTGTGTGTGTGTGTGTCTGTCCGTGTGTGTGTCCATGTGTCTTGTGGGGAGCAGTGGTGTAGTGGTTAGCGCTACGCTGCACTACGAACCCGGCGACCCGAGTTAGATTCCCGCTCACGGCCAACACCGGTGGTGACGATTATCTGAACAGGTCCTGGGCTTCCCCTAGGTCGATTCAGCCTCAAATGAGTACCTGGTGCGGTGCGTAAACATCGCCACTGGGGAGACAAAGGCGGCCGGGCGTGGTGCTGGCCCCGTGCTATACGGGTGGTTCATTGCATTTGTCTTTGTGTGTGTGCGCGTGTGTCCGTGCGTGTGTCCGTGCGTCCCACGAAGGTGTGCGGTGTCAATGGGTCCTCAGAGTGCCGTGGCGTCAGGCAGTCGCGTCTACGAGTCTTGCGTCACTTCCACCCCTGGCCGTCCCTGCGCGCCGTCTCAGGGCGACACGTCAATGGGGTCCGGCTGCACGAACGCGAACCGCTTGCGCCGCACGGCCGGGCACGCGGTGAAGACGCAGCCGGCCGCCAGGGCGAGCGCGAGGCCGCACCACCCGCACGCGAGGGCCCAGCCGAACCCGCGCGCCACGCCGCGGGGCAGCGCGTGGGACGCCGTGGCCACGCACGTGCACAGCGAGATGGTGCAGAAGATGCCTGGTGCCCACCGGCCGGCGTGCGGGAGGGGGAGACAGGAGGAGTGGGAGGAGGTGGGGGAGAGACATCAACGGTGTCGCATCAGCCGGGGGGGAGCCCCTCAGTGTTGGCGCCGATGTCATTGCGCGGAGTGGAGCATCCTCGGATCCCAGCTCACTGCTCCACGCGGACAGAATTCAAGGCGAAGCAGCGGCCAGGGCGCTTCTAGAGGCGGCACTCACCGATTCACTCGCTTCACTTGCCGGCGGTCAGTCGCCGACGTGTCACTCTTCTAGAGCTGCTACTACTACTGTGCCATCACGCTTACTGATTCCCGTGAATATTTTAACTTTAATCTTTAACTCCCATGTTGAATATTCGGTCTCTACCAGACTGTTTCGTGTCATCCATCACACTGTGTTCAATCACCACACTGCAGGTCACAATAACTCACTCACGCACTCATCCACTCCCTCACCCACTCACCCACTCACCACACCGCAGGTCATCTCACTTCTCTCTCTGCTCCCCTTTGGAATCCCCTTTCTGCCTTCATCAATCGCCGTCTCGCCTCCCCCAAGCTCCTGGTGCCCCCAGCTCCATTCAAGATCGGTGCCTACGGCGTATTTGCTGTTGGTCATTCGACGTCGTTGGGCCTGTTCTCAGCAACTCTGTGCTGCTAACACTCTATTTAAACGAAACTATTTATTTTATTTGATCAGGTAAGGCAACACTAAGCTATGTAGCTCTTTTTGAGAATCGATCACAAGTGATAGCTCGACGAAGCGGCTTATCACGTGGACACTGATAGCAGCCAAAGACTCGAAAGGCGTGACGTTGATTCTAAACGTGGAGGGGAAAACCGGAGGACCCGGAGAAAAATCCACGCGGCCACGGGGGAAGAGAGAGAGAGGGAGACCGCAAACTCCAAATATTCAGGCGTCAGGGTCGGGATCGAACCCACGACCTCCTGTAAACCAGGCGAGGTAGTTAACATCTCTTAGCCACCGTGACGCCGGTGTTCTGCCTTTCCTAGCCCGTGCGGTGTCGATGTTCCGCCAAGCTGGCTGGCCCTGCGAGCCCGCGTGTGAGGGAGGGAGGCGGCCAGGTCGGTGGTGGTGGTGGCGCGGGCCCTCACCGGCCATGAGGAAGAGCAGGCCGGCCACGTGCTGCGTGAGGCTGGGCTCCCAGCAGCAGCTCAAGGCCCCGATCACCACCCCGCAGCCGAGCACGGCCAGAGCCATGCCCAGGAAGCCGGCAGTGATGCGCCGTAGGTCTGAGCCGTTCCACACGGGGAATGGATGCACGGGGGTATACGGGGATATGGGTACACGTGAGAACATGGGGGTATGGGTACATGTGGATAGGCGGGGAATGGACGCAACGTGTGTATGGGTCAACGCGCGTGGACACTGACACGGGTGAGTATAGGAAGAGGCACTGGATGTATATTCCGGTGCACGTGCTCGTGGTGCTGATGCTTCTATTGATGATGCTGCTGGTGCAGTTGACGGTGTAAATGGTGCAGATGGCGCTGGTGTAGATGACGCTGCTGGTGTATATGGTGCTGGTGTAGATGCTGGTGGAGATAGTACTGCTGGTGTAGATGATGGTGCTGGTGTAGATGGTGCTGCTGGTGTAGATGATGGTGCTGGTGTAGATGGTGCTGCTGGTGTAGATGATGGTGCTGGTGTAGATGATGGTGCTGGTGTAGATGATGGTGCTGGTGTAGATGATGCTGCTGGTGTAGATGATGATGCTGGTGTAGATGATGGTGCTGGTGTAGATGGTGCTGCTGGTGCAGACGCTGGTGCTGATATAGACGCTGGTGCTGGTGTAGATGATGGTGCTGGTGTAGATGGTGCTGGTGTAGATGGTGCTGCTGGTGTAGATGCTGGTGCTGGTGTAGATGATGGTGCTGGTGTAGATGATGGTGCTGGTGTAGATGATGGTGCTGGTGTAGATGGTGCTGCTGGTGTAGACGCTGGTGCTGCTGGTGTAGATGGTGCTGCTGGTGTAGATGGTGCTGCTGGTGTAAATGATGGTGTTGGTGTAGATGCTGGTGCTGGTGTAGATGATGGTGCTGGTGTAGATGATGGTGCTGGTGTAGATGGTGCTGCTGGTGTAGGTGGTGCTGGTGTAGATGATGGTGCTGGTGTAGACGCTGGTGCTGGTGCAGACGCTGGTGCTGGTGTAGATGGTGCTGCTGGTGTAGATGATGGTGCTGGTGTAGATGGTGCTGCTGGTATAGATGGTGCTGCTGGTGTAGATGATAGTGCTGGTGTAGATGATGGTGCTGGTGTATACGCTGGTGCTGGTGTAGATGATGGTGCTGATGTAGACGCTGGTGCTGGTGTAGATGATGGTGCTGGTGTAGACGCTGGTGCTGGTGTAAATGATGGTGTTGGTGTAGATGCTGGTGTAGATGATGGTGCTGGTGTAGATGGTGCTGCTGGTGTAGATGGTGCTGCTGGTGTAGATGATGGTGCTGGTGTAGGTGGTGCTGCTGGTGTAGACGCTGGTGCTGGTGTAGATTATGGTGCTGGTGTAGATGATGGTGCTGGTGTAGATGATGGTGCTGCTGGTGTAGATGATGGTGCTGGTGTAGATGATGGTGCTGCTGCAGTAGATGGTGCTGGTGTAGATGATGCTGCTGGTGTAGATGATGTTGTAGATGATGGTGTAGATGGTGGTGTAGATGATGGTGATGGTTTAGATGATGGTGTAGATGATGGTGCTGGTGTAGGTGATGGTTTAGATGATGGTGTAGATGATGGTGATGGTGTAGATGGTGGTGTAGATGATGGTGTAGATGATGCTGCTGGTGTAGATGATGGTGTAGATGGTGGTGTAGATGATGGTGTAGATGATGGTGTAGATGATGGTGTAGATGGTGGTGTAGATGGTGGTGTAGATGATGGTGTAGATGGTGGTGTAGATTATGGTGTAGATGGTGGTGTAGATGATGGTGTAGATGGTGGTGTAGATGATGGTGTAGATGGTGGTGTAGATGATGCTGCTGGTGTAGATGATGCTGCTGGTGTAGATGGTGGTGTAGATGGTGGTGTAGATGATGGTGTAGATGATGGTGTAGATGATGGTGTAGATGGTGGTGTAGATGATGGTGTAGATGATGGTGTAGATGGTGGTGTAGATGATGGTGTAGATGGTGGTGTAGATGGTGGTGTAGATGGTGGTGTAGATGGTGGTGTAGATGATGGTGTAGATGGTGGTGTAGATGATGGTGTAGATGGTGGTGTAGATGATGGTGTAGATGGTGGTGTAGATGATGGTGTAGATGGTGGTGTAGATGATGCTGCTGGTGTAGATGATGGTGTAGATGATGCTGCTGGTGTAGATGATGGTGTAGATGGTGGTGTAGATGGTGGTGTAGATGATGGTGTAGATGATGGTGTAGATGGTGGTGTAGATGATGGTGTAGATGGTGGTGTAGATGATGCTGCTGGTGTAGATGATGGTGTAGATGATGCTGCTGGTGTAGATGATGGTGTAGATGGTGGTGTAGATGGTGGTGTAGATGATGGTGTAGATGATGGTGTAGATGGTGGTGTAGATGATGGTGTAGATGGTGGTGTAGATGGTGGTGTAGATGGTGGTGTAGATGGTGGTGTAGATGATGGTGTAGATGGTGGTGTAGATGATGGTGTAGATGGTGGTGTAGATGATGGTGTAGATGGTGGTGTAGATGATGGTGTAGATGGTGGTGTAGATGATGCTGCTGGTGTAGATGATGGTGTAGATGATGCTGCTGGTGTAGATGATGGTGTAGATGGTGGTGTAGATGATGGTGTAGATGGTGGTGTAGATGGTGGTGTAGATGGTGGTGTAGATGGTGGTGTTGGTCCTCACGCAGGAGGTGCCACTCGTCCTGCTGCAGGCGTCTCGTCGCGTTGTGTGACAGCTGCCTGGCCAGGCTCCTCCTGGAGGAGCTGTAGCGGACAGCCACGCAGCGACGCAGCGATCCTGGCGCACGCACAGCACGCTGTGAGCCAGGGGGGCGCCGCCTACGGACAGCCACGCCCGGCCGCCTTTGTCTCCCACTGCCGATATTTATACACCTGGCCGGCTACGCATTTAATATTGAGTCGACCTAGGGGGAGGCCTTAGATCGGCGCAGCTGTCGCTCGCCACCGATGTGCGAACCTGTCCAGGGGTTTTCCTCCCCTAGGAACACTCAGCCTTAAAGCAAGCACCTGGAGCGCCGTGTACAAACTCTGATCAAGCTACTGGGGAGACAAAGGCGCGCACCTGGCGTGGCTAGCTGATCGACTGGGCGTGGCTAGCTGAGTGAAGGGGCGTGGTTATTCGATTGAAGGGGCGCGGCTATCTGATTGACGGGGCGTGGCTATCGTTTGAGTGACAGGGCAGCACACGCGATTCCCACCACTACCACCGGCACCCTTCCTGCCGATGCGATTACTGGGCGATTCAATAATCGATTATTTTTGTTTTTGCAGAGCCGAAATGCACCCTCGGCAACACATCATTTGTATGGAGGTTGCGTAACATCGTTAAAACAAACATCGATTCTCGCACGGGCGCGGTCCGATGCATAATCATCAATGGTGAGTCGATGCGTCCCGACGTCCCTGGCCCTGGTGACGACGCCTGGCGTGTGACGCCTGGCAGCCGCGCATCGCGGCCCGGTGTGACGCCACACGGACCCAGCAGCAGGAGCACCAATAATAGCAGCAGCATCAACATCATCAACAGCATCATCATCAACAGCAGCAGCATTATCATCAGCATCATCAGCAGCAGCATCGTCAGCAGCATCATCAGCAGCATCATTAGCATCAGCAGCATCATCAGCAGCATCATCAGCAGCAGCATCATCATCAGCATCATCAGCAGCAGCATCATCAGCAGCATCATCATCAGCAGCATCATCATTAGCAGCATCAGCAGCATCATCAGCATCATCAGCAGCATCATCAGCAACATCATCATCAGCACGATTCTCGTGCGCGCGTCCAACGTTGCCCCGCGGCAGTTTGGCGCCGTCCGCTGGGGACAGCCGCACGCGCACACTCCGCCACTCGCGTAATCATGGAGCTCCATCGTAATCATAGAGCTCCATCGTAATCATAGAGCTCCATCGTAATCATAGAGCTCCATCGTAATCATAGAGCTCCATCGTAATCATAGAGCTCCATCGTAATCATAGAGCTCCATCGTAATCATAGAGCTCCATCGTAATCATAGAGCTCCATCGTAATCATAAAGCTCCATCGTAATCATAGAGCTCCATCGTAATCATAGAGCTCCATCATTATAAATTGTAATCATAGAGCTCCATCGTAATCATAGAGCTCCATCGTAATCATAGAGCTCCATCATTATAGATTGTAATCATAGAGCTCCATCGTAATCATAGAGCTCCATCGTAATCATATAGCTCCATCGTAAACCATAGAGCTCCAACGTAATCATAGAGCTCCATCGTAATCATAGAGCTCCATCATAATCATAGAGCTCCATCGTAATCATAGAGCTCCATCGTAATCATAGAGCTCCATCGTAATCATAGAGCTCCATCGTAATCATAGAGCTCCATCGTAATCATAGAGCTCCATCGTAATCATAAAGCTCCATCGTAATCATAGAGCTCCATCGTAATCATAGAGCTCCATCATTATAGATTGTAATCATAGAGCTCCATCGTAATCATAGAGCTCCATCGTAATCATAGAGCTCCATCATTATAGATTGTAATCATAGAGCTCCATCGTAATCATAGAGCTCCATCGTAATCATATAGCTCCATCGTAAACCATAGAGCTCCAACGTAATCATAGAGCTCCATCGTTATAGATTGTAATCATAGAGCTCCATCGTAATCATAGAGCTCCATCGTAATCATAGAGCTCCATCATTATAGATTGTAATCATAGAGCTCCATCGTAATCGTAGAGCTCCATCGTAATCATAGAGCTCCATCATTATAGATTCTAATCATAGAGCTCCATCGTAATCATAGAGCTCCATCATTATAGAATGTAATCATAGAGCTCCATCGTAATCATAGAGCTCCATCATTATATATTGTAATCATCGAGCGCCATCGTAATCATAGAGCTCCATCATTATAGATGTAATCATAGAGCTCCATCGTAATCATAGAGCTCCATCGTAATCATAGAGCTCCATCATTATAGATTGTAATCATAGAGCTCCATCGTAATCATAGAGCTCCATCATAGATTTGAATCATAGAGCTCTATCGTAATCAAATAACTTTATCATTATAGATCCAAATTATAGAGCTCTATCATTATAGATCCTAATATAGGTGTATCATTATAGATTATAATCATAGAGCTCTATCATGATAGATCGTAATCATAGAGGTGTATAATTATAGATCCTAATCATAGAGCTCTGTGGTTATAGAGCTCTACTCCTGATCTTTATTAAAGCGTCAAGTCCTCGCTCAGACCAATCGCCATCTGCTGCATCGTCGTCGTCGTCCGTTCGTGTTGTTCTTGAGGGCGCTGCTGAATTCACTCCCACAGAGATGAGTTCGAGTGGCGGGTGACTCGTCTTCGCAGAGATCCGTTGAAGCGATCTCCGTTGACTTCCAAGGTTAGAATTCGCCTCGATCATTAAATGATCGCGGTTCACTTTCAGAGAGATAGCTCAGCGATCAATAGACCTGATCGTAACTTGGTATAAGCGGCCTTCATCCATTCTCACAAAGACATCGGTTAATAATCTCGACTCCCCACCATACCCTCCCGCCTGCGAGTTAAAGTGACGTGCATTCACTCGCACAGATGTGGATGCATGTTGAACTTCTTTCGCACCGCACGTAGCCAACCGTGCTGATCGGAGGTACACATTTGCCTTTACTGCGCATAGCGACCACCCCCCCCCCCCCCCCCCCCGAGCGAAAGGGACCTGGTCATCAAGGCGACAAGAGGTCACCAAACTCCTCCTCGTCTGAAGACCTGACGACGCTTCTGGGCACGACTCTAAACGGCAACCGCAGGGAACATCGCAGCTGCTCATGGTGATGATGCGGATATTGGATGGTGTTGATGGTGCTGATGGCGATGATGACAAACTGTCCGGGCGGCGTGCGCAGCCTGTGGTCACCACCCAGAACAGAGACCGTGGCACCCGTAACGCAGACCCCCGAATCGCACACGCGGAGGAGGAGGCGGCGCGGTCGCCATCGTCACAGCCACAAAGCGACCGCTCCGCTACTCCTGACGCCTCTTAACCCTCCTCAATGTAACACTCGAGCTGTTGTTCTACAGCAACAACAGCCGCACGGGCAAGATTAGAGCGACTTTCATGATAACTAAGCGTGCTTTCATTCTCATGGAGTTTTGTTTAATGTCACAGAGATCTGCCACAGAGATCCCGAGTTATTCACTTGAATGGGAGTCCACCTATCTAACATTACAGCGACCAGCATTTGCTATCACAGAGATCTATGCATTTAAGCCAAAGATCCCCCGTATAGCCTTCACAGACTCTTGGGGCAAGTGGTGTTAGCGAGCACCTATGAAGGCCGGCACCGCACACGAGGGGGTGCGTGGTCAGCACCACGCCCCGCCTGGCCGCCTTTGTCTCCTTGGTGGCGATGTTTACAGCACACCGCACTAGCTACGGGACTCGTTTGAGGCTGAGTGGACCTAGGGGAGGCGCAGGAGCGTCACTGGTGTTGGTGGCCGTGAGCAGGAATTGAACTCGGGTCGCCGGGTTCGTGGCGAACCGCTACACAACGGCTGCCCACATCAAGAGACATGTTTAAGCGACTGTCACTCAATTTTCAGAGCGATCTCTTCCTTTTGATGCCCGTGTGAACACGTGTATTGTGGTTGCCGCGATACGGCGATGCCACTATATCACGTACGATAAAAGGCCCGCGATAATTGTAACGTCCGTTTGAGAGAGAAATCGATTACAGTTCTCATCATTTCCTGTCGGAGAGCACGATGATTGCGTGCTGTGTGTTGAACTTCTTTCGGACCGTACGTAGCCAACCGTGCTAATCGGAGGTGCGAGGAAGGACAACAAGGAACTAAACACAACAACAACAAAAACATCATCAGGAAAGATGCGGTGGGCGAAACGCCGCAATTACCCAGCCGGTTATTCGCGTTCCTCGACAGCGTGGAGTCGCGATTATCACTCGCGACGTTCTTCACGAGTATCCCTCCCGCGGCAGCGTCTCAGAGACGCTTTATTGTCCTGTTCTCCCCACGGTGACAATACGCCTGCCCCATACCTGTACCGTCATAAAACGGGGATTTTAGTTTTGTACACATCTCATCAGCCGCACACGGCCTTGCCTTTCTGCGAGCGCATATCAGCAGCGTTAGTTGGTTCAACACAAACAACACAACTCTGGACCGGTTTTCAACTTGCAACGTCTCATCAGCAGAGCCAGGCTCGCTGGAACCAACGCGCATCTCCCAGATGCTAATTACAGGCAGGGAGCCTTCTCTCTCGCTTAGATATGGGCCCTAGATACATACACACTTGCATATAACCCTAGATACATACACACTCGCATATAACCCTACATACATACACACTTGCATATAACCCTACATACATACACACTTGCATATAACCTTACATACATACACACTTGCATATAACCCTTGATACATACACACTTGCATATAACCCTACATACATACACACTTGCATATAACCCTAGATACATACACACTTGCATATAACCCTACATACATATACACTTGCATATAACCCTAGATACATATACACTTGCATATAACCCTACATACACACTTACATATAACCCTACATACATACACACTTGCATATAACCCTAGATACATACACACTTGCATATAACCCTAGATACATACACACTTACATATAACCCTAGATACATACACTTACATATAACCCTATATACATACACACTTGCATATAACCCTACATACATACACACTTGCATATAACCCTACATACATACACACTTACATATAACCCTAGATACATACACACTTACATATAACCCTATATACATACACACTTGCATATAACCCTACATACATACACACTTACATATAACCCTACATACATACACACTTACATATAACCCTACATACATACACACTTGGATATAAATCGGTCCAGAGTGTGTTCGTGTTGAAACCAATGCTGCAGTGATGCTCAACAATGAATTCACATCCATCTAAGTTTCATGTGAAGTGACCGCCATGAGAAGGAGTCGCAACGTTTGCGGTTTGCGCGATGTAGTTACTCGTCTGCGTGCGCGTGAGTGGGGAGCGGTGGCGAAGCGGTTAGTGCGCCGCGCTACGAACCCTGCACCCCGGGTTCGATTCCCGCCCACGGCCACCAGCACCAGTGACGCTTAACTGAACCGGTCGTCGGACTCGCGAAGGTCGACTCGGCCTCAAATGGCTCGATGTGTAAACATCGGCACTGGGAAGACAAAGGCGGTCAGGAGCGGTGCTGGCCACCCACCCCCTCGTGTGCCGTTGCCGGCCTTCATGAGGTGTTATTCACGAACAGCACTTGCCCCAAAAGTCGATAACTCTATCCGGGGAATCTTTACCTTTTGTTTTAAATGTGCGTGTGCGTGCGTGACCTCGCGGGGTCACCTTTCTGCACGAGGGCGTCCAGCTCGGGGTCGTGGCCGCGCCGGTAGCAGCGCCTCCACAGCCCCGCGTGCGCCGAGAAGACGGCGCGGTCACACTCGGGCTCCTGCTGCTGCTCCTCCTGCTCCTGCTCCTTACCCGCGCTCTCCCCGGGACCCCCCTGGGCGGGGTCCCTCACCCTGCCCGCGGGGTCCGCCACCACTCCAGTGCCCACGGGAGCCCCCCCTCCAAAACGCGCCTGGGGGTCCCGCCTCCTACCAGACAGCCTGGAGCCCCCAGCACCCAAATGCCCTCCGGAACCTCCTCTTCCTCCGGGCCCTCCAGATCGTCCAGACTTTGCGCCAACTCGTTGCCCTCCATCACGATCATCATCTCCACCGCCATCTCTGCCAGGTGCCCCGTGTTGCGGTGGCACGCCGGGCAGGTCCCGCAGCGGGAGGTTGTAGCCCCCCGGGGGGTCGTGAGCGGAGGGCCCGGCCGGGCGCTCGCGGCAGCGCGCCGCGTGCGCGCGCGCGTCCGTCTCGTACCAGTGGTCGCTCACGAAGGCCAAGGAAAGCAGCACCAGGGCCATGCCCGCGGCCAACAGGCCCGACACCTGTGGCACGCTGCAGCTGGCCATCGCTCCTGCAGCTGGCCCAACCCCTCTCAAACCCTCCTCCACCACCTCCTCCTTCAACTGATGCTACTGAACGCAGGGTGATACCTGCTGGCGTGTGGTGGTGGTGGTGGTGGTGTGTTGAGAGTGTCTGGGCTGGGTGTTTGTGGTCGAGTGTTGGATCTTGGTTCGGTGTGTCGGGTGTGCTGTGGGTAGTGTGTACTGTTTAGGGGTGTCTGTGTGTGTCGTTGTGTGGTGGTTGTGTGCTAGTTACATGCTTGGTTTGGTGAATATGCGTATTGGTTGAGTAGTGGGTTGTTTTGGTTGGGCTGGGTGTTGCTCGGTTGTATTTTTTGAGTGGCTGTTGGATATTGGTAGGGTGTGAACGTTTTTTGGGGGTATTTGGTGGGATGTCCGGTTTGTCGGTGTGTTAGTTTGTGTAGGTAAGGCGTGTTAGCCAGGTGTGCTCGTGTGTTGGTGAACGTGTGTAAGTGCTTGTGTGTCGGTGTATTGGTTGAGAGGATTGCAAGCTGTGTTTGTGTGCTCCAGGAGGGAGCGCTGTGCTCGGATCGTGCCGCGCGCCGCCAGTGCTCAACCCGCCGCGCGCTCCACGTGGTCACGGAGACTCGCGATCTTGGTGTGGGGAGAGACGCGGACTGCACCGGGGTAGGGAGAGTCTCGGGTGGGCCACGCGTGGGAGGGAGCGCGTGTGCGGGGCGGGGAGACGCGAGGAGGGAGCAGAAATGCTCCGAGCGGTGTGCATCTGCATGCGGCATAGAGCGGTGTGTTGGTGTGTGTGTTGTCTCTGCTGTGCGTGTCTCTTTGTTTTTTTTTGTGTGCACGCGCGCCTCTGTACGCGTATGTGCTGCGTCTGTGCGTATGTCTGTCTGTCGATTGTCGCCAACGGCACTTGCTCCCAAAAGTATGTTAAGACTACACGGGGGATCTTTGTCTTATCTATGTGTGCGTGCGTGTGTCTTACCCTGTGTGCGCGCGCGTCTGTGCGTGTCTTCGTTGCGTCTATACACGTGCATCGAGAACCTTGAGGCCGACCTGCCCTACGATTGAAAGTCATATTTAAAAGTAGTATGACAATGCACGGCCCTTCAACAAGAACGTTCACCTCTAAAGTGCACGGTATTTGCTCGCTCTGGATGAAAGAGAGAGGGGACGACTCAGAGGCGCGCGAAAACCCATGGACACGCGGGAAGGCACCCACGCCAGGAGCCTGCGCGACCAGCAATTGCCCACGATCCGTGGTCCTTTGTATATTCAGATGTTTTCCGCCAATTGGTGTTTATATATGTGTGGGAAGGAACCGGAGCACCTGGAGCAAACCCCACGCGCGCGAGGAAGCGGCGGAACTCTGTCCCATACAGATGGAACAGATGGAGATTTGAGTCCACCTTTTGCTGTACCGACGTCTCCTGGCGAGACAGGCTCACGGGGAGTCTCACGACCGATGTGTAATCCACCAACCCTCGCCTCCACTGGGCTGGACTCACGCCGCGTGCATAGCCACCGCCGCCTTTTGTGAATTCCCTGCTGGATGACGACGTGGGGTTTTTTTAACCATACTTCACCACGTTGGTGAGTGCCGGTTGGCGAAGATAGGGGGCAAAATCACTCAACACGTTTTGAGTGTGTGCGTTATGTGTGTGTGTGCGTTATATTGTGCGTGTGCGTTATGTGTGTGTGTGCATTATGTGTGTGTGCGTTTTGCGTGTGCGCATTATGTGTGTGTGCGTTATCTATGTGTGTGTGCGTTATGAGTGTGTGCGTTGAGTGAGTGCGTTGAGTGTGTGTGCATTATGCGTGTGTGTGCGCTATGAGTGTGTGTGTGTTATGATTGTGTGCATTCTGAGTGTGTGTGTGTGCATTATGAGTGTGTGTGAGTGCGTCTGTGCGCATCAGCAAGAAGCCGTGGCCTCAGGGAGGGAGCCGTGGGTGGCAATGGGGGTCTCTTCATAAGTAGCGGGGGGTGGGGAGTTGCGTTGGGGGCCTTCATCATGCGTGGAGTGGGAGAAGCAGGGAGTTGCTGTGTGGGGCGTGGAGAGGAGGGGGCAGGGAGAGGGGGGTTATTCGTGTTTGGGGGACGGACACGTGGGTTGTGTCGTGGGGGTGAGTGGGGGGGGGGCTCATTGCGAAGGAAGGAGGGGGAGGAGTAGGAGCCATCACTTCTCATCGAGTCAGCGAGGCATCGCGGTGGAACCTCGCCATCTCGCCGTCTCCACCGCGCCACGACTCCCCCCCCCTCCCCCTGCCACCGCCAGGCCGCGCGAGGCGATCTCGAGCGCCGCGCCTCGCGGCAGCGCAGCGCTCCCTCGGTCCGTCAGAGCCTCACGGGGATCCCCCAGGACTCCTTGCCCAAGAGGGTTCTTGCACTGGGATACTGCCTGCACCGTGGCTGCGCGCCTGTGACGCAGCGCTTCGGCGGCGAGGGTTGGTGGATCACTGCCGGGCTCCGAAAACGGTCGGGAGGGGAGATGTCAGTGCAGAGAGTGGGTTCGTGAATTCGTGTTGATAGCAAGGAAAACTATTTTTGTACACATCCCATCCGCCGCACGGTCTTCTGGGAGTGATTTCGTTTGAGCAGCGTTGGACTCGTTTTGACATTTAGTGTCTCATCAGCAGAGTAAAATCGGTTCAGGGTTTATTTTGTGTTAAACCAATGCTGATGAAAGCGCCTCCACTGGAGGGAGCTCTGGGGATATTTGATCCACTCCTCGACGATGGACGACTGTCTAGACTCAGTACAGACAGTTGCGTTGAGCTTGCCTGCCGAAAGGGACATTAGCAGTAGCCATGTAACGACGAACGATGCATCGACTCAATCCATTCTTACGCAAGTGATACACGCATCGAATCACGTGCGCAACACATCAGTCTCTTCCTTCCGCAATGAGTTACATCCAGTGGCGTCTCCCTCCATAGTCCGCGTGTCTTTAACGGTCAATGTCTCTTGTAAATGACTTTACCGAAAGAACCAAAGAGTATGGATTCCTGCAGTCACGAAAGCTTAAAATCAAGATTGAGTTTCTATTTGTTCGCCTAGTTCCAAGCAACCCCCTCCCCCTCCGATCTTTCTTGCCCACATGCCGATTGCTGTTCAGTGTTGTCAGTGCCGGGCATTTCCGATCTGCAGGAAACCCTAATACGAACAGATTGAAAATGTTCTTTTATGCAGGAGCATCGGTTTGTTAATCGTCATAATGAAATCAACATTCCCAAAAAGGCACCAGACACTCTGCCGCTCTCACTCACTTCTTTGTGTCGTCACTTTCACAGCTGCCCGCTCCTCTACAGACAATGCTGCTCCGTTTTCTTGTTTTTGCGAACACGCCCATTCCGTTTCATTTTATATTTGTATATCTGAAGCCCAACTTCGTTGCCTTCGCTGTGATGCTCAACAATTTCCTGTGGATGATTTCCATCGGTTGCGATTGCCGCGTCTGCACGAGTAAATCTGACGTAGTTAAAAGATGACATCTCTTTTTGTTGCCTGTCTTCAATTCAGTTTTCAGGAAATGCCTCGGCGGTAGCATTGCAACCTGGAGGCGTCGTTGTGTTGCCGTGTCTGGGCGTTACAACTCAGTGGGTTTTTTTGGTACATTAAGGCCATGATTTGCGGAAGCTTAGATGACTGCGTCAAATGTCTTCACGATTCGGAGTCTCTACAAGGGCAGCAGAATAACGTCGGCTGGCCATCGAACAAAGACGATCACCGCATTGCGCGCTTTCAAATGCGCTTCTGCGGCCGTCTGGAATGCTCTTCCGATATTAGGAAGCCACCGGAGCTATGCACTTTTAAAATGTAGATGAAAAACTGATTTCCTTTGAACCTATCTTTGTGTTAGTTTGTTTTTCCCCCGCACCTCCTGCTAGCACGGTTGGCTACGTACGGTGCGAAAGAAGTTCAACATACGTAACGATGCAGGAGTAATGATAGGAACGGTTTTGTTCAGCAAAGACTAAATCTCTTCATGAATGTTTTCGGGACACACTGATCCTCGGCACAGCAACGTCTACTTTCCACCAATACAGCATCTCCCCCACCCCGTAGTCTGAAGTGACCGCGTCGAGTTAACCACGTAGAATCTTCAAACGCACGTGGCGGGCCGTATTTTGGCGGGAACCCTGCCATTGTGACGCATGTCCGGCTGGGAAAGCCCACGTGATGGAAAACTGCTTCCGTATTCTGCGTCACTTGCCCACTAGGGCGGGGCGAGGTGCGCGTTTAGAAATCCCACACAGGATAGGCGCCTCTCCTTCCACCCCCTCACCCCCTCGCGATTGGCGGAGCACGCGCACGTGACGACGCGCGCCACCCCGGCCTCTGTGCGCGTGCGCTGTGTGGATTTGAGCACGGGGGCGGGGTATTGGGGGGGGTCTGAGGGGAGGGGCTCTAGGGGGGGGGTCTGAGGGGAGGGGCTCTAGGGGGGTGGGCACGGGGGGAGGGGCTGTGGATTAAGAGGCGCGTGAGGCGATAACGGTGCCCACGTAATGATGTTCACCACGTTGATAATTACCGCGACAACAACAACATTGACAACAACATTGACAACAACTACAACATGGATATTGTCGTGAGCGCTGCGCGCTTCGACGGCGGCCGCCAACAGCGCGTCGGTGACCAGGCGCTCCAGGCAGCGACGCGAACAAAGCGATGCAGCTAACGTCAGCGACGACTGCTTTTCTTCTTGTTGTTGTTGTTGACAGTTGCGATTCCGGTCATTGACGATCGTCGTCGTCGTCGTTATTGTTGTTTTATAATTGGGATAACGATGTTCTTAGCTCTTTCGGTAACGATGTCACCAAGCAACGCGTGCGGGGTGACGCCGTGAGGGGAAGACGCAGAGCCAGGCGGGCGGGGTCGCGGCGGTGACTGACCGCCGCTGCGGGGATCGCCGCCGCCGCCGTCGTGAGCGAGAGGCGCAGCGGCGGAGACGACAACGAGGAGGAGGAGGGAGGAGGAGGAGAAGTCTTTAGCAAGGAGTGTGGAAGAGCGACGAGCGGAACAGTAAAGACTAGGACGGAGGTGGGGGGAGGGTGGAAGAGGAGGAGGAGGAGTAGGAGGGAGGAGGAGGAGGAGGGCGATACGAGGGTGGGAGGAGTGGGGAGGCGAGAGGAGTGGGGAGGCGAGAGGAGACGTCTCGAGAGAGAGAGGAGTGACTGAGGAGTGAGGAAAGGAGGCGAGCGAGAGGGGGAGATGAGCGGCTACGGACCCACGGGGCTGGACATCAGCCGGAGGAACCCGCAGGAGGACTTCGAGTTGGCCGAGCGGCTGGGCAGCGGCACGTACGGCGACGTGCACAAGGTGCCCGGGGCCCCCTTGCCGCTCCTCCTCACCGCTCCTCAGCACTCATTAACACTCCGCACCACTCCTCAACGCTCTCAGCTGCTCCTCGCTACAAACCACTCCTCACTCCACAACGTCACCACTTCTCACCGCTTCTCACCACTACACCACACCTCACCGCTTCTCACCACTCCACACCGCTTCTCACCACTACACCTCACCTCACCGCTTCTCACCACTCCACACCGCTTCTCACCACTACACCACACCTCACCGCTTCTCACCACTACACCACACCTCATCGCTTCTCACAACTCCACACCGCTTCTCACCACTAAACCTCACCAGTCCACACCGCTTCTCATCACTCCACACCGCTTCTCACCACTACAGATCACCACTCCACACCGCTTCTCACCACTACACCTCACCGCACCTCACCACTCCTCACCACTGCAACCCGGCGCATGCTGTGCCTGACTCTGGACCCGTTTGTGGCATTTTAACCTCCGCAAGGCACACGACCTTTGAACTTTTGACCCCAAACGTCTTGGTCCATGACCACTCCTTTCAATTCACCCATAACCCCTTTGGACGGATGACCCACCGCCTCCTTAACCTATGACCTCATGGACTATGACCCAGGTTTCACTTGGCCCACGACCCCCTGTGTTAAGGCCACGTTTTGACTTGTGAGATTTTGAATTCGCCGCACAAGCTGCGGTAACTATGGCAGTGTGGACTCGCTTCCCTGTTGAGCTCTTGACCTGGGACTCATTGATCTTGTGTCCACACCTTGAAATATGACCCCTTGAACCTGATCCTCCTGGCCTGGCCTCTATCTAACTCCTGGCCATATGTCGCTGGTTGTGTCCATACAACCAGCACCAAAGAAACTTAAAGTTGAATCACTTGGGTTGTTGAATGCAACGGGACACTTGGCAGTATTCACGTCTCACCCTTTCCAGTCACGACCCTTGCAAATTTGTGACAATTTACATTTACAACACGAATACCTTAACATGTTGTTTTTTCCAAACCCAACTACTGTCTTGATCACGTGCAACTTCTCGATGTCCTGTTGCACTCGTGGTGAGCCTGCCTTTGCCTTGAATCATAGACTCGTGCGCTCAGTGGGCTCCCACCGACTTGTACCAAGGTGTGTCCTGGACAGGCTAGCTTTGTGTAGTTGTCAGGTGAGCCAGATGTCAACGTGATGAAGATGAATGGTGGCTCGTGATCCTCAGAGCTCCGAGTTGTTGACTTTTGTTGCCTCGTTTCACCGCCAGACAACGGCAGTCAATTCCACTCAGTTCATCCTTTAGGCAGCGTACTAAGTTGTTTTGTGACTCGCCACTCGCCTCTAGCACTGACCACAAGAGCACTGGCCCGCTCACCCGTTGAGCAATGAACCAATGACAGAGGGTCAAATCGGAGCCAAGGAGGGCGTTAATGCATGACCTGGAAATACATTTTGTTGATTTAGAAATTATGGATATCGTGGTATTTAACTACTGTATAATGAATCAGCTACTTATTGATGGTGCCTTTATCAATAATGTGACCATTTAATTATAAATAATTGCAGTATATTATTAATATATGAATCATATACTGCAATTGATAATGACTTGTATCTTTTCATAGAGCCATACCCAGTAAATAATTTGAGTGTTTAATCATTGTAACACTTAACTGAGTGCAGCAACCGTGTATTATTGATGTGATCCCCAAACTCCCTAAGCACAACTCCGAGTAATCGGCAACCACTTGTTGAACACTGCCCAGAATATAAACCCCATGACTGTTAGTATCACCAGGAGCCCCTTGCCTTGGAGCCGTACCCAGTCGCTGGCTCGTGAACATAAAACACGTATTAACGTGTTCTCTGGATTATAAGAGTCTCCAGAAAGTAAGACATGTCCCAAACTCTGCGGTGTTTTGGGGAAAAAGTGCTTATTTAATAGGGGAAGGTATGGGTCTCTGGAGAGCCGTTTTCGAGAAGATGAATGCTGCTTTTTCAACGGGGAAGATGTCTTCTGCAAGATAAATCTGAACGGCTGTTTGTGGTTCCTCTGTCCTCTTGGTGGTCGTGTATTGTCGTGAAGAAGTGTCACCAGAAAAGTATTATGAACAAATAAATTAAAGCAAGTGTTCTGAAAAACAATGTATTATGTCTGTATTATAAGATGCACCCACCTCTCCCCCAATCCGTGCTTTAAAATAGTGTACAGGGGAAAATATGCATCTTATTTTTGTAAAATATAGTAATAATTTTCAGGCCGAAGTCAATTCCCTGCTGAACGAAGGCCTCCTTACACTGTTGAGATAGACTTCACATGTGCCAATTGGTTCAGATATCACTTGCCTCTGATGTTATCTGTGGCTGGGAATCAAACATAGGTTGCCGGGTTCAGAGCGCAGTTTGCTAACCACTGCACCACCGCTTTACTCATGAACACTACACACGCTAATATATACATTATTAAATATCTAGCTTCGTCAAAATTCTCCAGCACAAAACAAGTCTTTATACTTTTGTTTTTTTCTTTAATTTAGATTTCTGTTGCGTTGTCTTAATGAGACAAAGCTTTTTCAATTCAAGCAGCGAACAGCTAACATCACCTTGTGTTCAATAACGGCCTGGAAGATGACATCACATAACTGCTTCCGAAGTTATATCCCAAGGCCTTTTTAATCACATCTTGTATATGTGCTGCAAAGAACGTTCACCGCGTCGTAATTAAACCAACGTGTTAATTGTTTTGATTGCTGGAACATGCTGACTTGATAAAGCTAAACGCCATTATTTACTTATTTTTCTTTTGGTATAGTCATTGGTGACTGGGCTGAGGCCATCAACTCATGCCACATACGAAGCGGGCTTCATCATGGTTGGCTGGCTGCAGTGCTTTGACATGGAATCATCCCCTGAGCCACCAGCCCGCCTCCTAAACACTCTCCTGACCACATCTCTAGCCTCTAACCGTGATGCAACGTCACCCAGTGCTGCCGCGTGTTGGCACGTCAATACGCACGTGTGTTTGCTTATTATTATTAACATATTATTTACATGCATGGCGAGAACATGTAAATCTTGAAATATCTGAGATTGGACTACACCACAGTGTACATGCACAGCCTTTTGTAAACCCACTGCGGATCGTGGTGACCATTTCACCAAATTTCGCCATGCTGGTTAGCACAGGTTTGGTGAAAATGGGGGATATAATATGAGTACATTATGGTACTGTACTTCTATCCAGGGGCATAGAATTACAGTACAACATTATTTTGCTACGCTGCTCTCTGCTGCCCACATGTAATCCCACAGTCTATACCACCTATTATACACAGTTGGTAGTCCATCCAAGCACTATCCAAGCTCAACCCTGCTGAACCTCTGGGAGATGGGGTGCAGTTCGGGTGATTTGGTGATAGACACACTTCAGTACGGCACCGGTAATGAATTCCAGTTTGAATGTGCATTCTGAAATGCGTTCACACTCCCTGGCAAGTGGTTGTGCACCCACCATTCACCGTACTGGAACCGTGCTGCCGATTGAACAGTGGTACAGTGGTCAGCTCAGTGCACTATGAACCCAGCGGCCTGAATTGAGTTCCTGGCCACGGGCAGCATCAGTAGCGAGTGATATCTAAACCAGTCCTGGGTGCACTCCCTCCTTCGCAAACCCGCACTGACCAGCGTGGTGACATACAATCCCCATGTGCGGCAGCGTTGGGCCTGTGAGAGTAGTGTAAAGTTAATTATGCGTTACCGTAAACAGCGCACCACTGTCACTGCAGTCCTTAAAAAAAAGTATTTAGTTTTTACACAGCACCAGATGCACAAGATAAATACATAATGATATTGACTAATGATGAGTACTTTATATAAACAGCAACAGGGGACTTTGACAACTGGAAGCTTTGTAAGAGTTGTAAAATAAACGACATGTGTTGTGAGTGTTCAACTGTCAGGCCACGACGGCCACACTGTGTGGAACCTCATGTGTCAGTAGCCAGGTGGAAAAACATTTAGACGATGATTCTAGCAAGCGGCTGTTCCTTTTTATCTCCTCGCTCGCTCACTCTCGCTTGCATTGCTCTTGGTGACGCAAATGTGACACTTGGGAAAAGAGACAGAGGTACATATGTGAGCGCGCATACAGCAGGGGAAGTAGCAGCGTAGAAAGTGCTGGTGTCTGTAAAGCGCAACCGGACGGTGAACAGGTCAGGAGGTCAACGTCATCTTCCCACCACTTCCTGCAATTCAGTGTGCGTAGTGCTCATAATACCTGAACAGACACACGCACACATACCCTGCATTTTAACACTATAGGACACACACCCTGTTTCATGACTTCATAAGAAACACACCCTGCCTCTTAGCTCGCTACGTTGTTAACGCACGCGCACTCCGAGTCGTCAGTGCGTGCGTTACTGGACCACGATGCGCACTGTAATCGTACGGCTGGAATGTATGATGAGGTTCATGTGACCAGGGTTGGTGGAATTGTTCAAAAAGAATACGGTCTCGGTGTTTTTGCGAACTCCATGAACTGCACACTTGGGAAAAAAGGTATTGTGCCTCGTCTACTTTATTTACTTTTCGTCAAGTGGAGAGGACATTTTTTGCTCATTAGCAACGAGCACAGCACACAGAGGGGACTCGAGTTGCATTTTCTTGATCTTGGGATGCTTCTGGTTGTTGATGCTGCGTAGATATTCCAGGCACCTTAAACAAATCAACTTGGCCCTTGTGTCCATGTCAGATCTGGGATGAAATTATTCAGTGTCGGCTGGAATCCAAGGTGAATGGTTGCGGTGGTATCTGGATTTTCTAATTAGGTTCAAATAATGAAATAATACTTTCGTCCAGAGCTCATGGCTTCCCAAGTGCCAACAGGCCAAAGGACACCATGCCATTACGGGAGTTCCATCGTTCAGCGTGGCAGTCTCTCTTCGCAAACACTCAAAATTTCTGGACATCAATACCAAAAGCCAACTGTTTTCCACGTTGGTATAGTTATCAGTGTAAACAGTCAGATTGATGATGAGAACAGGCAGGCGTTAGAGAAACGTTGTGCCGGGGAGCAGTGAGCTAACCTGCACTTTACTAATTATCTGGCTTGAAAATATTTATTGTAACATTCAGTAACTATTTCCTGTGCAGATGGCGCTTGTTGTTTTGGGCTCAGAGCCACGTCTGGTAAAGTTTGAGCCCCACATGCCACTGTTTAAGTGCCTCCAAGGGGGTGTGAACGTCTTTAAATGAATACAGCTCTCAATGAAAACTCTGCAGTACATTACATTTTATAATACATACACTCAACAACAATCGAGTTTTGCAAGGAAAGATATTTAAACACATTAAATAAACAAAATTGATCATCCCGCTAGTTTTTTTTTATTAGGAAATATGTGTTTACTAAAGTATTCGTTTTACCTGGGAAAGCCTCACCGAATCTCAAGAGTCTTTATCAGGAGGCGCCTGCTTGAGATGTTTGGCCAACTCCTTTAAATACGAGGACTTGGTTCTGTGGGTGAAACCAGTGCCTGGAGTAAAACCCTCACTCACAAGGTGCACAACACTAAAACAGATAGGTCAGCCACCATATCTCCTGTACTGCCTGCCTCCTTCGGGCATCCTGGAACACATAGGGTATACCGCGCACGTACGTAAAGCGTATCGACGGGACGTTTGGCCGGTATCTTATTGTAGTACCCCTGGGAGTGACGGGTGTGTTCAGTTGCATTGATCCAGCGGTGTCTCCCGGGCCGCTTGCGGATGTTGGGTGCGGCGCTGGGAACGTTGGCGTGGAGTGGAAAGCGCTCGCATTTTCCCCCCTTTCGGCGCTACGCTCGCGGTTTTCAGTTGCACAAAGTGCTGCCGTGCCCCTTAGCTCCGGTAATTTGGAAACCCGTGCGTCCTCCTCCACGAACCCAAGCACGGTTTTGTTGCTCGCGGCAGCGTTTGCGCCAGCTCGGGTGACGGCCGGTGCACGTGCGGCAACGTTCGAGCTCGAGGGACGACGATCCTAGCTCTGTCGATGATGCTCAGGGTCATCGTGTACCCTTGTGGCACTCTACACCTGGCCCCTTGGTTAGCACACCTGGGCACTTAACGCACGGGAGCAATTAACACGGTGCAAGAGCCTGCTCTGGTAGTGGTCGCTGCCAGTGTCCATTTGTCTACACGATCAAACTCCATGTTAGCTTCTCGGGTATTATAGTTTCCTCTTGCGCACAACAACCACTCAAACAGGAACTTAGCACTCATCCAAGGAGCAGGTCTTCTTGAAAATCACATTCAGTGAGGCTGTCTTGAACAAACCGAGGTGTTAATGCATTCTTTGATTTTGTGCCAAACCGTGGTATGTGTTGGTAATGCGATTGGCGACCGGTGCCATGTATGTCGTGGCAGCGACGTCACCAAGAAATAATTTCTGCGTCTGGCTAAATTTGGTGCGTTCAGCGGAAACCGGCGCCGCGAAGGTGGAGTTGGCACCTGCGCTGGAAGTTCGAGCCCCGTCGCTCCGGTCGGCCCGGCCAGAACCGCGCAGGATTTGTATTCACCGCGACGATTGGTGCGGCACCGTGGGTAAATCACGCGGTCCGTCTCGGTGCCTTAAATAAGCAAATGTAGGGGTCGGTGCATGTTTTGTTCTTGGTGTTTTAAATGCAGATATTTATTTATTTTATCCCCGCTCTGTGGTTGGGTGTCCACTACGCAGTACTCGGAATCTGTGAAGAGTAAAAGAGGAGAGAGAAAGGGGAATGAATTGCTTCAGTTAAGCGCTTGGCACTGCATTGCAGTTGAATTTGCGTGAGACAACGTTGTTTTGTTGTGGAACTGAGCTGAACCCTCAGCTGGTATACGTAAACATACGCACACAAGGAGAGGTGGGATGCAATTCGGCTTGTTGAAATGCAAACCACCCAATCGTGGGATTGTGAGTTTAAATCCAGACTCTGCTCCATCAGCAGCTTCTTCATCATCACCATCATTGCCCCTCGAGGCGGTGCCATCTTTTCATATCGGTGACCACGGCTGAATGCCTATTTGATCACGGGATCACTTCACACTTAGACTTTTGGGATTGAAGTGGCCCTTAATAATTCTGTCTTCGCCAGCGAGACACACGGATCCGGCGTGGCCGGATGCCGGCGGGAGCGCGCGGGCACTTTTGCGTAACCGCGGGACGTTGTGAAACTCGGTGCGGCTGGGGAGCGACTCGCTCAATCCGTGGTCGTGCCGCTCTGCCGGCCGCTCTCACCAGCGCCGTGCCGCGCCCCCACCTTGAGAGTGCGTGCCGTGAGCCCAGCTCGGTGACCCACCAACCAATACATTTGTCGAGCCAGGGACACTGCCTGCACCCAATGAAAGTTTCCAACGCTTAAGTAAATAAATACCACGCATTTATTTATCGCTTCGGAATTCAGCGCCCATTATTAATCCGTTGCCAGACTATAGATGTGGTCTGCAGTGCCAATACCACCATGACCTCACTATGTCGATGTCCAGCTTTGCTGGTATCACTTGATATGGAATAAACTGTGGTGTTGCCTGCATTGTTTAGCAACACCTTGCAGTCTTTACGATTGCCTCTTCTAAATGAAGAGTGATTCCCATCCTTTGATACATATATTTTTATATTACTGTATTGTTTTAGTGCAGTCATTTTAATGGACGATTTTGCAAAAAGCCACTGAGTGTGTATTTTTTTAATGAGAAACTCTCAATTAAAATTAAATCCTAGCTCCTAATTTTGCATGTTTGCACCTCTAAGCGATGTGTCTTGGACTGCAAAATTAGTTTTTAATTTTGTGACAGAGAATAAAATGACAGCCAGGATCATCTTAGCGATGGCACTCATAAACAAAGCTACAACATTGTATTCTGCAGTCACGAAAGCTTTAAATCAAAATTTACTACAACATTGTGTCGACAGCCCGACACGTACATAGCGTCGGTACTTTCCTACAAGATGAGAGCTGTTTTCTCTTGGGGTTTCATATTTTCCTTTAAAATCGATAGCTGGTATTGGGGCGACGCTGATAGGGGCCACTTCACTGCGTGCGAGTGTCTATATCTGTATCCCAGCTCGATTTATATCGTTTACTTATACTGTCCATGACATCCCCACTGAGCTGCAGTACTCCTTTCAATAGGTTCCTGCATTGAGATGTTCGGCCAATTCCTTTTAAAGGACTGTTTTGTATGTGCAACAAAACTGGGGTAGCTGGAGAGAACCCGCCAGGTACACAGGGGAATAATATTGATAGGGTCCACACACAATGTGGGTGTGTTGCCCTGGCTCGGTTGTCTCGCGGCCCGGCGGGGTTTGGAGATCTTCAAAACCTGCGGGATCCACCAATCTGTGCCCCCATAGCTCATGTGTAGTCTCTTATGCCTCATTTCTTTGATCACTGGGAACCAGGCTCTGCCAGCCCAGGAACGGCCCAGTTCTTGCCCGGAAACGTCACCGATTCCCAGCTCCATGTCCCCATGCTCCATAGAACCGTGAGCTTCCATGGGCTCGACCACTCCCATTCCTTCCTCCCCCAACTCATCCCTCTTCCTACTCTCTGGAATGGGATGTCAAGAAGATATATTGTTTTATGTTAGATTATTTGAAAAGTGTAACGAAGGCATGGGTTAGTGTAGACTATTTTAAGTGAGTCGTAATTTTTAGACGTAAATTTTTAACGCATAGAGCCGAGACGTTTAAAGCAAATGAGTGATGTCACAGTTGGTTTGCATCGATCTCCTGTATACCAGGCGAGGGAGTTAACATCTCGCCCCCGCAGATAACGTTGAACATGCTTCACATGGCACTTGTTGCTGTGATGTGATCGGTAGTCTGTGTACAGAACCGCTTGCATGTAATGCATTTGCTGGGACGCACGCAGACCCCGTGCTTATAATCTGTCAAGTGTTCTCTATGCAACACTCGCTCCTGTGATCTCTTCAGCTCAGGGGGAGGGGAGCGGGTGGAGAAACATGCTTAGGTTTGGTCAGCTTTCTCCTTTATCCTCTTGCTGTGTTCTGTAACAGCTTGAAGTTGCGCGTTCAAGACCACAAAATGAGCTTCCCAAAAGCTTCCTGCGCTCGTGACATTTGTGATATCCCTCATAGACCGCTCTTTCATTCGCGATATCTATGCCGCTTTGGTGCACAAAACTCAGCCCTTTCCCCTACAATAGTGGCTTCTAAATTATTGCCGGGCTGCACTGAACAACTTGTGTTCAAAACTCGTTTCTGCTTCTTGCAGCGATGGTTCTGCTGCCTGTATTGTTGAATGGATGATGCCCGTGTGAACCATTTGTTCGACTGTGGACGCGAGCAGGTGACAAGTATCAGCAGGTGACATGCTGATACTTGTTTAAAAGCACCATACTAGAGTAGCACTGTATTTGTGTGCCTCCAAGTCTTCACATTGATTAATGGTATGGAAATGATCATGGCCTTTATCCAGGAAAGCTTCATTGAGTCTCAAGACACGTATTTACTCGATGCCTGCTTTGGATATTTGGATACTATCTCATTAAATTTTTATCACAGTGATCTGTTGATCTAAAAAACATATTTACTATGTTTATAGTGCAATTTTTTTGACTTGCAGGCAAAAAGTGTATCGTTAAAATGGTGAAGCTACAATCATCTCGCATCTACTGTGTATGCAGTGTTATATAACAATTTGTGGTGTCTCAATAATTATTCACAGCCTTTTTGTAAATCCACTGCTGGATGAAGGCCCCCCCACGCCACGTAGGCCATAGGGGTTATTTGACCGTGCATAGCCACGCCGGGCATTGTGGGTTGGTGAAGGGGTGGTTGAGAACCAGCTGGGAATACATTCGCCACTGATGTTAGCCATGGCAGGGAATCAAACTCGGATCTCTGTGTTTGTTGTGCAACGTGCAATACACTGTACTACTGCTCCACCCCCTTTCACCATTAGGTGCGGGCAAATTGTTTGGTGTTCCCACGATGAGTGCCACACTCTGGTAAAGTAATTGTCTCTGGATCTTTGTTGTTTCTGGCATTAGCCTCATCTCGTAATGACCCCCCCCGCCCCGAGAAATGCTGTGGAACTCAAAATTAATGTTTTATTTACATTTTGTCTTGCCGATGTTATTCATTCCTTTCGTGATTTAAGAAAATTCCCCTCTGGCCACTTTTTGTTCCAGGCTAAACTTCCTTAGCCTTCTTTGTATTTTTCACCACAAACCTTGTCCTGAAAATCCGAGAAATATTTTATTTTCTCGCTCGCTAAGCTCGCACTCGATTCGTGATGGTGGCTCGGTACGGACGTGGGGGAAAAAAAAGTTTGAATTGAAAATCTATTCCTGTATTCGCTCAGACCCTATCATGGTAGAGTTATGGCCAGTGGTTCAGATAGGGACTACAACGATGTCTAAACTGAAAGTCACTGAATACAGTATCGCATCATTACTGATGTTAATTTAAATCAAGTTCTTTGAGGGCTAGAAAGTTAACATTTTCTATAATCATGGCACAGTTGATTGCTATTATGTCTGAAAAATGCAAAGCCATTCATAAAAAAATGTCGGTACCCCATAATTAAAGGACAGCATATTATGTATGCTGGGTTTGACACCTCGTCCTATGAAGGTTTGTATTTTGAAGTTTTGATGGGTACTGAACCCCAAATATTAAAATATTTTTTAATAGTGTGACACTGACGTAGATAATAATGGATAATTAAATATTGAAACTTTTGTTTTGGTGTTTTTTTATGGAGTCTGATTGTGGGACCACGTATGAGCATCCACCCTCTCCCAGTCTCTGTGTGCGGAATAGCAATTGGGATGGCGGAGGCTGTGTGCTTGGCAGTTGAAGGCGCCGGCGTGCGCTGTAGCGGCGGCACTTGGCAGGGGTTCGCCGCCCCAGCTCGTGGCCCCCGCTGCATCGTCGCCAGCCCCCACGGGAGACACGGAATCAGAAATATGCTTTTTTTCACATTCGTGGTATTCGCTGCAGAATAGTAATAACAAGTGGTTTTGCCTTTTGGTATTTACTGTAATTTATAGACTTGCACCACAATGAGAATTTTGAGCACAGTTTCACAACGTGTACAAGTCTCTTCATTGCGCCAAAAAAAAAAGGTCAAACTGTCTTCCGGCGTGAACAGTGATGGGGGTGGTGTTCATTTGTGTTGGTGGCCCAGAGCCAGTGGTGGAAATTATCTTATGCTATTCGGGCGGGGACCGGGCAAATGATGTTGACTTCCCACGGTGGCATTCACCCGAGGGTGGATAAAAAGGCATTTCGTCCTAGTACGTCCGACACCGCGGTATTTTCTGATAATATCTCCCTTGTTGAGAACGGTGGGCAAATGATTTCTGTCTGAATTCAAGTCTTGATTGGTTGTCATACTGACGCTCGAGTAAAAAGCCACGTTATGATTACACTAATGATGACCCTCATCCTACCGCTACTTGTGCTAGAACTCGGGGTTATTTCTCCAGACAGGTAGCTCTGATGCCGTCTCTGGAGAGCCTCACGAGCTGTCCGAGATAAACATCGCCCCGGGTGGGTGGTGCTCTTTCTCCCAGGGAAGAGCGCTGGTGACATTGGCAGTGGAGCAGAATTAGCTGGACTGCACGGTGGGCTTGAGTCAAGAGTCGTGTGTTCCTTTCTGCCTTCTGTTTTGTCGCTGGTGTACATCGTCGATAGTGTGGGGAGCAGCGGCGGGAAGCTCGTACTGATTGCATGGAGCTACGATCCCGTTCGACCTGGGTTCGAATTTTGACCGTGCACGACATCGGCGGACTTAGATGTGGCACAGGCTTCCATTTGGTTGTCAAAATCGAAAGTGAGTACCCGATGCTTCGACATGCTTACGTATTGGCAATGCGGTAACAAAGGCTGACGGGTATGTGTGGTGCCTGCTAAACCTCCCCTCGTGTACCGAAACGGCCTGAACAGGTGGGCCATCCTCAAAAGGCATGCAGGCTAAACGCTGGGTTCTTGTGCGTTTGTGTCACCGCAGGCCAGAAATGTCCAAACAGGAGAGTTGGTGGCCATCAAAATCATCAAACTGGAGCCCGGTGAGCATAGCATCCCAGGACACACAGTGAGGGTCACAGCGGGGCCTTCACCAGTGTTGGGGATGCGGTTTGCCTTGCTCGGTATTGTGAATCACAAGCGGCATCGCAGGTTAACGGCTCGGTTTACAGTTTAATCGGAGCCCACACTACACGCAACACTACACAGCCTTTGATGAATAATTAACGTGAGACTGTTTTTTTTCTTCCCAAGAGTTTCGAGCATGCGTTTCCCTCCTCGCCGTTAAATGATACCACAGTGGCCGTGGGTGTTCTGCACGTGTGGTGTGAGCGATGCTGTATCGGCGTTTCCGAGGCAATTATTCCCCCCGCCCCTGCACCCCCCCCACCTCCACCATGTGTGCCCGGACGTCCCCGTGTGTCTCAGGAGATGACTTCTCGGTGATCCAGCAAGAGATTGTGATGATGAAGGAGTGCAAACACACCAACATCGTCGCCTACTACGGCAGCTACCTACGGTGTGTGGGACTCAACTCCTTGCTCGCTCTCGCTCGCTCACTCGCTCAATCACGCACTTGCTCACCAGCGCACTCACACACTCATGAACACATTCATCCACTCGCTCGCTCAGTTATTCATCTACGGACATGATCACCCACTTTCACGATGACTTGTCAATGTCTCACTCGCTCACGAACTTGTTCAAAATGTGAAAAGAAACCAATACGCTTTTATATACAGCATGAACGTGTATAGCCCGACCCTTGCTGCTGTATTCTCTATATTATAAGATGGAGAGACAAACATACCGGATGTTAAGGCGCAGCCCCAACATGTGCTTTAAAATACAGGGCGGAAAAAGTGCATCTCATAATCTGGAGAAATCTGTTATTGTCTAAAAGTAAGAGGACAAATAATTACAACAACTTAAATTAAGGATACTCGATTGCAATTCTAATTGTACACGATAATTACTGTACACATTAAAGTCAGTAAACAAGCAAGAGCCAACATAATCACGGCCTAGAAACCAATGTAGGTCATAGAATCTCGCACTCACCTGTAATGCACCGCACTCAGCGACTTTTCTCTCTTGGTTAAGTCGTGAAAGCGCAAGCGTTCTGCGCGTTCTCTAGCCACCGTGACCCCACGAGGCAGCTTGTACGCAGCGTGGCAGAGGCGCGACGTCCCAGCGATGCACGTTAAATGCGCGTGACGGGAAGCGCAATTCATCCGCAGCCGCACTTTCACACCGAGTTGGCGGCGTAATGCACGCGTGCGCGCACTCGACACGGCCGCCCCTTGTGTGGGGGCGGCCGTGTTACACTTCGCGTGTATCTGGCCATCTCCGGTCCCCGCCAGGTGGGTGCGTGGGACGGGAATTCTGGAATTTCCCAGGAGACGAGTGAATCGTTAATGAGGAAAGGGAGGGCATTTAGATTGTGGATAGGAGAGGGGTGGACGTCAAGCAGGTCACTAGTTAAGTATTTACGTGGGGTAGTAAGTGAGGTAAGAGGATGCGATCGCATAAATGGAGAGAAGATTCAGGCGTTGTGATTTAGAGATGCCAGTCGAACTGAAAGGGGGGTTATTTAGAGCAGTGGTAGGAGCGATGCGGTGACGCGCTGCAGAGGCATGGGAATTCGGGAAGACAAATGAAAGATGCTTAAAAGGACAGAGACGAGAATGCCGAGGTGCATGTTGGGAATGTATCTTTGGGAAACGACGTGGAATGAAGACCTTAGAGGCTTAGCAGATGTTTATAATATTTTCAAGAAGGTAAGGGAGATGGTTTCGGAATGTCACTCTGCTGGGTAGAGATACCAAAAGCACTGCATTTGCAGTGATTTATTTGAGCTTACATACAATATGACATCATTTACATTCATGGATTAAGTTTTTGCATTCATGTAATGACCCAAAAATTAGATTTTTTGTTGCCTAAATCGCTGACAAAATGTACCAAGAGTGGCTCCTTGTGCAGTGGCCGTGGTGAGGGATCCCCATTGTGAGTGGGGGATGCTTCACGCTCGGGCCAAACCGCCCCAATGCAGCATCCGGCGTGCGGGCGATGAGATGGGACGGGGGACTCGGGAATAACCTGTGGCCAGATGAAGCGGTGTGTGGGTGGTTCGTGTGCCTTATCTCGGCAGACAGGAGCTCGCATGCACGTGTTCACTTTGTGTGCGTGTGTCCGTCCCTGCAGGCACGACAAGCTTTGGATTTGCATGGAGCACTGCGGAGGAGGGTCCCTCCAGGATATTTATCACGGTAAGGAAGATGGAGAGAGAGCGAGAGAGAGAGCGATGCGGCACTGTGCGCTCTCAGCTGCGTCTTCGCCTGCCGCTCATACCCCTGCGGTGTCGCGTTTGCAACGGTGAACAAATCTGTACGCTACGCTAATTACACTGGCGCAGGGAGGAACACGGCATGCTGGATAGTCCCTTTGCAAATACTCGGCATGCCCCCTCCACTACCCTGTCGTTTGAGGAATTATCATCATTCAAGGTCATCCGCACCTCCGATTAAAATGATTGACTCCCTACAGCGCGAAAGAAGTTCAACACACATACATACAGTACGTACATCCTCAATGTAAATGTATGCACGCAATTTGAAAATAATGTACAAATGTCAGTAATGATCTATATATTTAGACGCATGATATGCTGTAAGTTTAAATTGTTAGGTAGAATAGTTTCGAATTGATGAAAGTCAATAAATGGATCATTTATATGCCTTGCGATTAGTTGATGGTTAATTGTGTAATGTTGCGAAATGCATTTGCATGTACTCCGCATATTGACCTGTCAAACGATAAAAGTCCAAAGCAACACTAGCTATGTGTATTTTATTTTATATTTGACCATAATAACATGTAATTCACAATTCCAAGGGACATATAAGTCACTGGTTACCTGTACATTTTACAGACATGAGATATGAAAGTGTACATTATTTGAAAAAAGAAATGCATTTGCATCACTTTTTTCAAAATTTATTGCTGTGGTTTTCACACCTGATGATGATTGCTTGTGTTGCAGTCGAAACGTCGTGAGAATTTGTATTGTTTTATATTTTTATTATTTTATTGTTTCCCTTCTACGTGACTTTACCGAAAGAACCAAGAATATGAATCCCTGCAGTCACGAAAGCTTTAAATCAAAATCTACTCTTGCCATGTTTCTAAACAGCTGATGTGGGTGAGATTCCTGAGCCTAGGGGTCAGTCGCAAAAACACCTTGAAGCCTTTTTCCTGTAACTTTCATTGCTTTAAATAACAAATGGTTATTTAAAGCTTTGTCAATAAAAAATAATGTTAGTCGTGGTCAAGTCATTATCATTCTAATGATCACACTGCACCGTTGTTCTATCAACATGTATGGAGTAACATCCCAGTAACATCATCGGAGTGCTATAAGGGAGTGTATAACCGTGACGTTGAAGCATTTTATTGCTTTTTGATGCAGTTGCAAAGTGGTATCAGACACCCAGGGACACACAGCCTGGGTCAGTATCTACGATATAGAAGATTATTTATTTGGGTCGCGGCTTGCTTTAAGCCGTTTTATGTAACCGGCTGCGGTACCTCACTGGAGTCGGCCCGGTGCTGAGACATGGGGCATGAACCCCCTAAGTCGCGCGTCGTGGGTGTCCTCTAACAGTGTTTTGTACCGCGTCTGTCACAGTGACGGGGCCCCTGACGGAGCGGCAGATCGCGTACGTGACCCGGGAGACGCTCCAGGTGGGTGCCGCATGATGGCCAGCCATGGATGCGGCGAGGTTGGCATGAGCCCCGATGCAAGCAATGAACAAGGACTTCTTGTCCCATTGTCCTTCCGCTCTTTGTAGGCCCGGGCCTGCGTCTGTCAGGCTGATGGGCGCCACGGTGGCGAGATGTTAACTTCCTCCCCTGGTATACAGGACGTCGTGGGTTCGATCCTGACCCTGACACCTGTATATTTGAACTTTGCATATCTCTCTCTCCCTGTGGTCACATGGATTTGTATCCGGGTCCTCCGGTTTTTCCCTATACATTTAGAAACTTGCGTTTAGAGTATTTGGCTGCTCTAAATGTCCACGTGATAAGCCAATTCGTTGAGCTTATTATTTGTGATCAGGTGGCTTCTGAAAAAAAGCGATTATAGCTCAGTGGGCCTTACCTGGTATAATAAAAATAGCTTAGTTTTTAGATGGCGATGGCACCGGATCGCAGGCCCCACGTTCTCGTTCATCGTGACCACGCAATCCACTGAACAAAACCTCGAAGCCTCGTCACAACGCAGACGATGGGATTGAGATGTAGTCGCAATTGGTGATCAATGACTAACTCATTGAATTGTAAATTTAAACTCCGAATGGATTATTGGTGCTGACGGGAGAGAAATACGTTTTACATTTTACATTTTCTCTGATCAGTAGTGACATGACAAAAAGCCCATTCTGTAGTTGTATGTTACTCTTTGTGCAATTCATCGACTAGGCTGGATTAAAATAAAAGCAGACACACGTAGAAATGTACTTTTTAAAATAAATCTTGAATATGAACGTAGAAAAACAAGGTGGTCATGCAGAAAAATGCCCTGAAACATAGCATGAAGTAAAGAACACAATGTTCCTGAAAGATATTGGGCTCCTTCAGCAGAGTTCGGCACCAGGATGTGCGGCCAACTCCGTGATGAGTAGGCGTGTAACAAGCCATCGAGTAAACTCATCTCTCACGCTAACGATGCATGCCTCCAGCCGTGCATGTAAAACATCCATTATTTAAGACTTGTGCAAGTCATGTGCATCTCATATCGATGTATTTGTGTTAGCTCAGAGCGTGAGCAAGACGGAAGAAGCCATACAGCTAATATAAACTCGACAGTGCAAGTGGGAAAATGAGAATTAATAATTAAATAAATCTGATTCTCGATTCAAATTGTTGCTCCAAATTATGACAATGCATCGACGGGGAGTGCATCTGATATATGCTTCTTAATGGGCACGCACAAGCAGAACTTATAAATACGTTTGTATTGATGCATACGTGGTATGAGGGGTACCCAAAGTACACCAACACATGAAGGAACGACAATAATGTAATTCAATATAAGCGTAGGTCAGCAACGTAGTCTCTGCATTGCACCTGTGACATATATAATGTAACGACGTTGACCGTGGTTTTGTAGCTCGTGACCTCCGAAGGTGAGGGTCTCCGCTGTCTGCATTCATTCGAGCGCAGGCGGTGGCGGGCGGCATTGGGGGGTGAGGGATGGCAGTGTGGTGAGGCTGGGTGGCGGTGGTGGGGGTGGTGGATAGGCAGGAGGTCTTGCTGGCGCTCAGCGGCAATGGGGGTAGCGTGCTCGCCGAGTCGTGTAATTCGGATGGCGGACGCCCACGTGGGAGACGAGCGTGGACGCGGGCGCGGGCACGCTCGTGGGCCAGACGTCTCACGCGCTCACAGTCCAGTCAGTCTACATGCCGTGATGCCGCTGCTACCGCCTGTGTGCGTGCGTGCCACGTGCGTGCGTGCTCCTCCCCGAGGTGGCTGGATGGATCAGGGAGCTAATACTGGGTCTGAGCGCTGAGCTGCTACCTCCACCGAGATATTGGGTTTGATCCCCGTGGTTTGGCTGGGTTTGACGATGTCGGCCAAATCACCAATGGCTACACACAAACAACCGAAGTAAAAAATGTGGTTTTCAGTTCACAAAATAATATACAAAAAATTATTAACATGTGCCAAAACAACTTTGTAGGGCGCACGACAGGCGTGCTATTGTGGGTGTAATATGCCGATTGAAGGGACTTGAGACATACATACTTCTGTGATGTTATCTTCCGTGCCATTCTCTGGCACTTGGTAGTGCACTGCTCTCTTAAGTTTGTTAATATCAATTTTGAATGATAAGCATAATTAAATCAGTAAACATTATAGAGTATATCAATTAACTCTGGCAAACATGTGTGCTGTTCGACACAGTTCGTAACTTTTTAGGTAAGTGTTTGCTGTTTCGTCATGAATCACATTTATCATCATCGCATGTAATTAAATTACTACAACAATAATATACATATAAATGTACAAACTTAATCAATCTACTGCTGGATGAAAGCCACCCAACACCATGTCAACCATGGGGGGGGGGTTGTTTGACTATACTTCGCCATGCCGGTCATTGAGGGTTGGTGAAGGGTGAACCCCGGAATTTATTTAAATATCACTTGCCACTGATGTTAGCCGTGGCCAGGAATGACACCTCGGGCGCCGTGATCGCAGCGCAGCTCCCGTGGCGTTGTTTTGTAGCCGCGGGCATCGTGCCACGTGTGGCAGCGTGAGCTACAGCCGTTGCTGCACACTCCGCCTAAGGGCACAGCCTCGACCTGCTTCAGGGGCCGTGCGCATTAACGCAGGTGGCCATTTATCATTTCATACACGGCATTTATTTTGGTTCATGTTTTGTTTTGTTGTCATTGGCGATAAAGATAAACAAGCCATTGATTTTCCCCGAAGGCTTCAGTCTTCTCTTTGTGTATGTAAATCTGAGTGTATCGGACACCAAAAACAAACTATGACATGCGGCAAAAGCGGCCTCGCAGCGTTTCACGACGCACGTCCACGGCCCGGTCGCTGAAGGTTACCGTCATTACAATTCTGGACCCTCGTGTGACGGTTTCTTCCAGGGCTTGGCCTACTTGCACAGCGAGGGGAAGATGCACAGAGACATCAAGGTGAGATCTTCTAAATCAGGGCTTTTAAGTTGGGGGCTCTCAATCCGACGCCCTCCTTACATGGATGTACGGATCGGGGGGATGGTATGGGGATGGTATGGTGCTGTCAGTGTGGTGCTACGGAAAGGGAATGTTAATGCTATTATATCGTGGCAATTAAACGGATGCCTTTGGCATTCATTTATCATTGGCTCGCCTCATGACAACTCTGTTATGACAATTGGATAGTGTACTCAAACATACTGCTGCTGCAGCTGCCGATCAAAGTGGGATTTGGAGCTCTCAAGGCGAGATCGTGGACGTGATGATGGACGTGCCATAACCACGTATGGGAGAAAGGGGACAGAAACCACTGAGGTTAGGATTATGGGTTTGAGAGCAACATTATTTGTACATTTTTATCCCACGGGGTCGTGACCCACAGCCTGAGGACTGCTGCAGTAAGTGACCTTGCGGGCGGTGCCTCGTTGCAGCGCTCAACTCGCGTGCGGTTGGAAGGTCACGAGTTCAAATCCCCGTTGAGGATTAACTCAGTTTATCGCCATCCTTCCTTTTGGGTTAATAAAACAAGCACCACTGTGTTGTAAGTTAGTGGTGGCGCTTCGATGGAGAAACCGGCCCTTGCTATAGGAATATGGAATCTTCGGTCTGGCTGAGCATTCCACCAAATGTTGACAAACGCTGCCCAATGCTCGTGTGGAGCCGGCTGTTGCGTGGGTTGTATCGGTGCTTCTCGTGGTGTTGACATGTAGAGGCAATTGTAAATTGTTGCGCAAAGTGCTTTATGTCGTTCCCGTGTGGCACCGACACCGCACTGTGCGCGAGACATTGCATCTGCCCCGGTAGTGCTGCCAGTGCATGTCAGCTGCGCGGACGGATGGATTTCCCCAGGCCATGAATTAACTTCAGATTGCCCAGCTCGCATTTGTACACCCGTTTGCCAGCATCGCTTGGACCCAGTGTGCGCAATTCGTATGATTGAAAGGTTTCGATGCATTTTTCCAGCCTTAAGGTTTCAAAGGGTTTTGAGTATTTGACGTAATCCACTAAAGACGTGCACGCCTATGTGGCTTCATGGAAACTCCCACAGGTGATGGAATTCACGTGTACTAATGATAACACTCGTCCCTTGTCAAATAAAGGTTTTAACGAATCTCAGTACTGTTATATGACGTTGCCATTGCCATGCATGAATCGATAGAGGCTGCTGGGTTTATGCGAATCAACGATACACGTAACACAATATTTAATGACGTGTCTTTGTCAAGCCAATCCCATGTTGGTCATCGGGGATTGTTTGACCTTACTTTACCATGACGATCGTTCTGGGTTTGCGAAGGGGTGGGTGCAGGACCGGTTCAGACACAAGTTGCTACCGATGTTAGCCGTGGACGAAAATTTAATTCAGGTCGCCGGGTTTGCAGCGCAGCGCGTGCAGCACCAGTGCACCTCCACCCCACCAGTGCAACGCATACAAATAGCAAGGAATAATAGGTTGTTACGGCACCGTCCGCACCTATGTTGTCAGCGTAGGAATCCGTTTATGAATGCATTGTTACAGACTTATTTGTATTTTTGTCTGGGATGAGAAACCCGGAGGAATCCCACCTGTGCTTATAAGGAGATAACGCTCAACAATATGCTTAACCTACTTTCTGCACAGTAACAGTTATACCCCGTGACCTCTGAACGTCCTTCAGCAACTCAAGTGAGTGCTCGAAGGAAGCCCACTCTCAAAGATCTGCACGGATATGTCAGACGCCTACTTGCCGCACTGCCTCTTGCAGGGCACTTTGTAACTCTACAGGCAGGGGGTGCCTCGTGTGGCGATGCGACGCCCAGACAACAACAAGATGTGACGCGTTGCCTCCCTCTCCACCCCCCACCCACTCCCGCATTTCCCTGCAGGGGGCGAACATTCTGCTCACGGACGACGGAGACGTGAAGCTGGGTACGGGCACACGCGCTGGCGCCAAATGCAATGTCTGGGGCTGCGTGGGCCGCGGCATGGAGGCACTGACTGCAATGGGGGATAACTAAAAAAATCAACAACACCAACAACGCTTTGCCGCTCACGCCTTCATGAACAGAACCTGTTTGGCGAACACGGCGGCTGGGCGTGCCGTGAGCGCACCGCCAGCACCTCGAGCGAGCACCGCTCTTGGCTAAAAGACAACAACGTTGTGAAGAAACCCAAAACGTTAATTAACACGCCGCGTTGCCGATGAGACTCGGGGAAGTCGAAAGCCAGCTTGGAGCTTGCCCGCTGAAACAAATGCCCTGGGAAGACATAGGCCCAGAACTGTTTTCACCTGGTGAAACATAGCCTTGTCAGTGTGCTTATAGCTTTATAGAGCATCACGGAGCGCCATCTCGATTGACATCGTCTTGCAGTACAATTCCCCGATAGCGTGATGCTCTGATGACTGATATATATGCCTATCCGTTGTGTGATTTTGATATGGGGGAACACCCTGCATTAGACTATTATAAATGGGTGAGTGAATAAGCAGTGATATGTCCAATAAGCGTAATTATTGTGTAGAAAGTAATTGTTTTTCTTGCAATTTTGACCCCTGTATTAAGTACATATCGTACGCTTTCCAACGACTCCTCGTTCAGATAAATTATCGTAGGAACCCTCGGTTTTAAAGCTTCTTATTGAGCCGAGGTTTTGATGGTAAAGTTATTCTCATCCAGCACTGGAGGTTGATCTTGTTTATGTGGGCGCTCGTTTTCTGGTTGCGTTTTCTTGTCGCTTGGGCTTGCCCCTTGCTGCTTTAATGCCCTTGCCTGTATGTGCCGTGCTTGCGGATCTCCAGCCGACTTCGGGGTCTCTGCTCAGATAACGGCTACGATCGCCAAAAGGAAGTCCTTCATCGGCACCCCTTACTGGTAAATGTTGCATTTTTTCACGTACGTCGCGAGTAGCTCGAAACCGTCCATCGATTACGTCGACGGATCGACGACTCGAGTCGCAATCGGCCACTTTGCGGTCGATTGCTCGGGCTCCTTGAAAATCAGCCACCACAAAAAATTGGCGAGTGGTGGAAATGACGCATTCCTGCGGTGGGAACCAGTCTTGAATCGTAGGACAACAACTGTTCATTTTGCAAAAAGTGGTGCTAATTGTATCAAGTCCGGCGGCGTTGATGGGCCGAGTCTTCCTCCTGACTGTGAATCGAATTCACAACCAATTACGCTGAGAGATCATGAGAAGTATTCTGTTTGCCTTCAGGCGGTTCCGCAGATGTTACAGGGAGTGGTTTGCAGGGTTTCCTGGGATTTCTAGTTTGCAAGAGTATCACTTTTGTTTTCAAAGGATAATGCAGCCTTTCTTCAGGGTGAGTATAAAATTACCATTTTGCAAAGTAAGCAGTGAGCATCAATGGATTTTCTGGTGCCTTCAATATGAATTTGTAATTTTTCCCCTGGGCTACCAATATAGATTAGCGTCCACCACCTATGCTCATTCGAAAAGAGAGTCGCAGTCAGCCGCAGCTTGTCCCATGTTAATTATCATCAGCCATTGTCTATCCACTGCTGGACTCCCCCTGTCACCACCATCAACTACGGTCCAGTGCGGCTACCTTCCATCTCAACCCTGCGCACGAACTGATCCCATCGCTCCGTCTCCACAGCGGACATCCTTTGGGACACGTTTTCATTTGCCACCTTTCCATCACCGCCCTCGCCCGTCGGCCTTCATCTCTCCTCGCGATGCGTTCTGCCCACGCTCGTGTACTGCTCGTCCTTTGTCAGTGTGACGTGTCCAATTTTCGTTTCTTTGAGCCGAGCGTTCCTGTGTTTGTGCCTTTGTCCCCTCGGTGCAAGTCCAAGTATGCATCTCTCCATGCCTCTTGGTGCACCTTTCAGTTCTTGTCACACACAATAAGAGTTCTCTTTCCTTTAGCCTGCCTCTGTCCGTCTCGCGGCTGAGCCCAAAAGGCAACGGTTGAAGGCCAGGGTCGCTGTGACCGCGTTCGGATGTTGTGGGGGACTCGGACGCTGCGGGGGACTCGGGGGGCAGCGTCGGAGCTTGCCGGACGACCGTCGCCCCCGGCGATGGATCCTGCGGGCGCACGCGCGCTACTCAAGTGAGGGGCCCCAGATCGGCCCCGTCTGTTGCAAATGCTAAGCGGGGGGCTGCGACGGGGCCCGGGTGCTCGCTCCGTACGTGCGTCTGTCCTGGCCCGCGGCAGAGAAAGCGGACGTCGTTAACCCTCATGCCACCGCTCCCACCGTTACCACGGCGCCGTCGCTTCTGCGCTGCGGTTTCCTCTCATTATAGAAACTCAATAAAGAATTGGTTAAACATCCAAAGCAGGACCCTGCAGGAAAGGAATCCTGAGACTCCTCGAGGATTTTCTGATTACAGAAAGGATTCAAGTCAAAATATATGTGTGCTCAAATGCGCGTTGAGTGGCACATTGCTGTTTGGCAGCCCCTGAGTCAGTCATGGCAATTCCACATGACTATGGTGGGGGGCAGTCTCTTCATGGAGGGCAGCGTCTGTTGACATTAGCGATGTGTCACAGCATCGTGAGATGCAGTTGTGTTCAGACTGTCTTGTAAATCGTAATTTATAAACATCATTACTAGTCAACAGACAGATTAGTTCATTTGCCCAAAGGATAAAAAAGCAAAACAGTTTACGCCATCGTCACTGGCTGCGGCAAAAGACGTGAATGCGGCTGCAGAGCTGGGGTTGCTCGGGAGCCTGTGAACGACACAGCGAGCGCCGGCGGGCCGATAGGCCGGTCGGCGGTTGACACCACCAAACGGCACGATGAATAAGCGCTTATGAATAAGTAACGCGTAACGCGTGCGTTTTGTCAGCGGACGTCGATGGCATTCGATCTGGCTCCGCGGGGGCCGCGGTGCTCGGGGACGGAGGGCGCGTCGATGCGACGCAGGTGGGCGGCTCGCCCCGACGGGCGCGATGCGCCGCGCGCTCCTCTCTCGTGTCGCGTGGACAGACAACGCGGCTGCTTCGTGCGTCCCTATGCCGCTGATGAAGGCCGTTCGACCGATAAATGTTGAGATCTTGATATTTAGGCAGGTAACGAGTCATTGGTGAAAATCAATTATTGCGCGCACCACACACGTGCAAGAATCAATTATTTATGTTTTGTGTAAATTATCTACGCTCATCCCAGACAATTGCTGAAGCAGCAGCAATTTAATATCCATATAAATATGTACACGTGCGTTTTTGTTCGCAGTCTTATTGATTATTTCACCTGGTGATGAGGTTTGGCATGGTGTGGTGTTGCGATGGTATGGTTTGATGTGGTGTGTTTATGTGGTGCCATTGTGAAGTGGTTTGGAGTGGTGTGGTGTTGCGGTGTGATTGAGGTGGTATGGTATTGTAATATGATGATGGCTTTGGGAGGCCCTCATCGAGCAGTGAATTGGTCATGGCTGATGATTATACTGTAATGTGGTAGTTAGGCATGGTGCATTGTTGTTATGGTGTTTTGGATTGGTATGCTGTGCAGTGTTATGGTTGTGGTGGCTTGAAGTGGTTTGTTGTTGTTGCAGTATAGTTGTTGTGCTGTGGTATTTTGATGTTAGGCATGGTACATTGCTGCTATGATGTTTTGCCATGGTATGATGTTGTGATACGACAAGTCTGTGTGGGCGCAGCGTTGTTGTGGCACGACGTTTGCGCGACGCGTTGTTGCGGTGGCGTGATGCGGCGCGGTGTGACAGCGGTGCCACAGTGTTGGCACGATGTTCCGTGGCCTGACTCGATGTGGCGTCTGTGTGGCGCGGCGCGCGCCAGGATGGCTCCGGAGGTGGCGGCGGTGGAGAGGAAGGGCGGCTACAACCACCAGTGCGACGTGTGGGCCGTGGGCATCACCGCCATCGAGCTGGCTGAGCTGCAGCCGCCCATGTTCGACCTGCACCCCATGAGGTGCCCCCACCACCACCGCCGCTCGCACGAGTGCAGTGCCAGCCTTAAAGGGAAGGCGCATGACCGCTCTTATTTGACAAAATCGTTTCTAAAAAAGGTGTTGTGAAATAGTTTTAGTTAACGGTACGGCGAATAACACGTTTTTCGAATTAAGTTTGGTGTTGGATATATTCACCCTGCCCCACCGTGTGCTGTGCCACCTTAATAGGTGCTTGCTGATAACATTTTACCCTACAAATCTATGAGACTGTATATTAGATGTTTGTCCTTGTGTGCATGTGTACATTTTTCCAGGGCCCTCTTCTTGATGTCTAAGAGTGGCTTCCAGCCGCCCAAACTCAGGGACAAGCAGAAGTGGTACGTGCTGGGATTGCTGTTCCGTCGGGAATTTTTTTTTTAATTTTCATTAATATTATTTGTTCGTATTCAAATTGGTTTGAAAAATTTGTCACGAGGCGGGTGTGGGCCGGAGTTTGTCGACAATGTTTTACCACTGGTCCCAGTCTATTTGGGAGAACAATTGTCACTCTGACTCTGCATGCAGCACACCTCCGTCTGTTGTATTATACATTCATTTCTATTGTGCAACAAAAAAAAGTTTATCATCGTCACGACGATCACGCGATGACACCGCAAGCTCCTGGAGAGGCGGCACACATCGTCATCACTCCGCAACTGAACATCCGCGACAGTACGGGCTCTCACGTGGTGACACCAGCGGTCGATGTCTTGAAACTAACAGTGGATAGTGAATGAATGATCACGATAGTGATGAATGTATACTGTATGTAATATACGTAAAACTGGCTCAGAGCGGATAGAGTCCCGAAGTCTGTTTTATGATGGGAGACCCAGGTTTTAATAAGTTCACGAAAATGGCAAACTAATTCATCGTGTAAACAACGCAATGGTGAACACACCATTTGTGAAAACAAGTCACATCATAATGATTAAATAATAAAACAAACATTAAAGCATTGTTAAACGTTAAGTATTAAGTAATATATATAACTGGGAAGTAGCGATGCTGCTTTTGTGGTGAGTCTTTGTCCTAAGTGCAGCGCCGCTGCCTCTTCTTCACTGTTTCTGGAGGGCGGCTTCTATAATTAGAACTTGGATCGTCCAGGCTGCCAAATGACAGCGCTGAGGGCCTCGTTCCGCTTGGGCTAGAGCATGGCTGGGATTTTTGGGGAGATGGGTTAGAGAGTCCGACCATTGCCTCCGGTGCAGCGTCTCGAAAGCTACAATGTTCCCGTCGTCGACCGCTAAACCTCTTTACCGACGGCGTAACCCTTCGGCCAAACAGTAAACACGTTAACAACCATAAACACCCTTTACTGGACAACTGGGCACTTTTATTGACCAATAAACACCTTTCACAGGGACATTCGTTTATCTCTGTAGCCTAGTTTGAAAAAGAGTTTACAGTGTGGCGAGTCAAGACGTGGAGCTCAAGAAAAAGTGTAATTTTGACTTAAAGCTTTCGTGATTGCAGGAATTAATATTCTTTGGGTCTTTCGGTAAAGTCACGTAGATACAGTGAGGGAAAAAAGTATTTGATCCCCTGCTGATTTTGTACGTTTGCCCACTGACAAAGAAATGATCAGTCTATAATTTTAATGGTAGGTTTATTTGAACAGTGAGAGACAGAATAACAACAACAAAATCCAGAAAAACGCATGTCAAAAATGTTATGAATTGATTTGCATTTTAATGAGGGAAATAAGTTTTTTACCCCTCTGCAAAACATGACTTAGTACTTGGTGGCAAAACCCTTGTGGGCAATCACAGAGGTCAGACGTTTCTTGTAGTTGGCCACCAGGTTTGCACACATCTCAGGAGGGATTTTGTCCCACTCCTCTTTGCAGATCTTCTCCAAGTCATTAAAGTTTCGAGGCTGACGTTTGGCAACTCGAACCTTCAGCTCCCTCCACAGATTTTCTATGTGATTAAGGTCTGGAGACTGGCTAGGCCACTCCAGGACCTTAATGTGCTTCTTCTTGAGCCACTCCTTTGTTGCCTTGGCCGTGTGTTTTTGGTCATTGTCATGCTGGAATACCCATCCACGACCCATTTTCAATGCCTGGCGGAGGGAAGGAGGTTCTCACCCAAGATTTGACGGTACATGGCCCCGTCCATCGTCCCTTTGATGCGGTGAAGTTGTCCTGTCCCCTTAGCAGAAAAACACCCCCAAAGCATAATGTTTCCACCTCCATGTTTGACGGTGGGGATGGTGTTCTTGGGGTCATAGGCAGCATTCCTCCTCCATCAAACACGGCGAGTTGAGTTGATGCCAAAGAGCTCCATTTTGGTCTCATTCTGACCACAACACTTTCACCCAGTTGTCCTCTAAATCATTCAGATGTTCATTGACAAACTTCAGACGGGCATGCATATGTGCTTTCTTGAGCAGGGGGACCTTGCGGGCGCTGCAGGATTTCAGTCCTTCACGGCGTAGTGTTACCAATTGTTTTCTTGGTGACTATGATCCCAGCAGCCTTGAGATCATTGACAAGATCCTCCTGTGTAGTTCTGGGCTGATTCCTCACCGTTCTCATGATCATTGCAACTCCACGAGGTGAGATCTTGCATGGAGCCCCAGGCTGAGGGAGATTGACAGTTCTTTTGTGTTTCTTCCATTTGCGAATAATCGCACCAACTGTTGTCACCTTCTCACCAAGCTGCTTGGCAATGGTCTTGTAGCCCATTCCAGCCTTGTGTAGGTCAACAATCTTGTCCCTGACATCCTTGTAGAGCTCTTTTGTCTTGGCCATGGTGGAGAGTTTGGAATCTGATTGATTGATTGCTTTTGTGGACAGGTGTCTTTTATACAGGTAACAAGCTGAGATTAGGAGCACTCCCTTTAAGAGTGTGCTCCTAATCTCAGCTCGTTACCTGTATAAAAGACATCTGGGAGCCAGAAATCTTTCTGATTGAGAGGGGGTCAAATACTTATTTCCCTCATTAAAATGCAAATCAATTTATAACATTTTTGACATGCGTTTTTTTGGATTTTTTTTGTTATTCTGTCAAATAAACCTACCATTAAAATTATAGACTGATCATTTCTTTGTCAGTGGGCAAACGTGCAAAATCAGCAGGGGATCAAATACTTTTTTCCCTCACTGTAGGTTCAAAGAAAATAATTTTAACCTATCTACGTGACTTTACCGAAAGACCCAAAGAATAGTCAGTGTAATGCCAATGTAATGTGAGCATATATAAAGTGGCACATGAAGCATTCTAAACAATTAAACTGTACATTAATAATTTATTACATTCTTGAATTAACATTAACTTACATGATTGTATAGGTACAACATGCAACACGCAAACCCCACGTAAATATGTTGTTCACAATTTCAAACTGAGCTCGAAAGGCGTCTGAGATGCCGGTGCTCATTCTGGTGAGAGGCAGAACCTCGTGCCTCTTGGCGCAAAGTACAAAGCGAGAAGTCGTTTCACCGTGACTCGTGCCGCGTTTCCACCTCCGTTGAAAATCAGACCTGAGCCTGCCCACGCTGTCCCACGAACGTCCCACGAACGTTCCACTCACAGCCTGGCACAGCTCATCATCTCTCTGCTCCACGGCCAAAGAGATGTGAGATTTAACTTATGCTTGGGTTAGATTACGCTATCCTAAGCAGACATTTGTATTTATAATTTTCTCCCAGTGTTTTTTTTTACAACGCCACAGCCCTTGAAAGTTGACCTAAGTGCGAGACGCCGTTGACCGTGCCTCTGCCTTCTGCGCTGACCCAGTAACATCGTGAATGTTTCCGAGGGCAATCCATGAAAGCTTGGAGCTCCCTTCGGAATGCGAGCCGGTTGGTTCCGTATACGAGCCACGCAGTCTGCTTACAGCTCCCTTGGCGGGGTAAAGTTGCTGTGGAAATCTGGGCCAAGCCAACTTTCCCGATTCACAAAGCAAGCCAGCTCACTTTGTGGCAGTTGTGGGAACGCGGCATCTTGGTGGTTAACCACTCCTTCTTGATTAACCTCGCCTTGTCGTTTGTGCCCAATCTGTTCTACCTCCCTCAGGTCGCCCGTCTTCCACAACTTCATCAAGATGGCGCTAACCAAGAACCCCAAGAAGAGGCCCACGGCGGAGAAGATGCTGACGGTAAGATCGGCGCGCCGAGGCACCGCAGCGAACGCCCGTGCCGTTATGGCAAACGCTGGTGTGGTTTTTGCGTGCTGGGTCCATGCTACAGAGGGCCGCATGGGCAGGCAGATCGCAGGGTACCGTGGTAACTAATAGTTAATGCTGCATGTCGTTCAAGAATAGTGTTTTTTATGTTCAGTATTTACTGCCTCATTTGCATATGCAATATGTAAATGCAATATGCGTTTGGTTCGCTAAATCATTCGTACCCAGAGCATGATTCGATGCGTGTATTTTGAGTGCAAGAATCAATTTAAGTCACGATTGTATGCATGGTTACATGTCTCGTATTCAGGGTGAATGTTGATATACAGGGCACGGTGTGCTGTGCCGCACCACCAATTATCACGGTTGGCTACGTACAGTGCGAAAGAACTTCCATCATAAATACAAACAGCTGGATATGCATGTATGTATACAGTATTGACAGTGAATGCTTGTGTGGTGGCCGGGTCGCACAGAGGTCAGGGTGATGAGCTGCCTGTGATTAAACTAGCTTCTCGAGTGTAGTGAGCAGACGGTTTCTGCTTGGTCACCAATGACGGCACTAAAATCACATCTGATTGCATCTGGTTATTTTCGCCAAATTTCAGCCTTGACAATAAAAAATATCAGTTTGAATTCTCACGCTTTGAATATCACTCTGCATAACGGGGCGGGAGAGAAAGTGCCACCCCCTACTGCGTGGACGCAAAGTCAGTTGAAGGTATGATATCTGCCTCTGTGAGATTTCCCAATTAAGTTTTCGTCTCGCGACATGACGCCGAGAGCACGAGCGAGGATTACACTGGAGGGAAAAAATCTGAAACACTCACAGAGTGAAAACGCGTAAATGAACCGAGCTCCTTGTGGTGTGCGCGGTGCGGGTAACGCGCGTGGCAGCATTCGTACGTCCAGCAGCCGCTGAGCCGGGCACAGGCGTTGGAGTTGCTGGAGCGCGTGAGTGACCCTGAGCCGCCCACTGCGGCCCCCGACCCCGACCTCGATGACGATGAGGTCAGCACGCACGCACGCACACTCAAACGCAAACGTGCGCACGCATTTATACACGCACAGACATGCACATGTGTGCGAGTGCGTGCGTGCGCAAGCGCACAGTGACTCCCAGCGATGCCCTCGTTTAGCTGGCACAGACGCGCAAGCGCATGGACTTGGAATTTCAAACATCAATGAAAAAGCCAGGTTTTTAACCCTCGCAGTTTTAAGGCTACGTACATTTTGCAAAAAGTTTTTAAAATAACAATCCGTATTTGACAGTCTATATGGGAGAGACTTATGAGGACTGTGTACTTTGTACATTTTTCCTTGCCGGAGAGGAATTGACCAAAGATGGCGTGCGGCGAAGGGCTCCGCTCTGCATGCCGGACTGGGCACGTGGCCGTGTTTTCCATGGGCCTTCGCCAGCAATAAGAGCGAGCGAGAATAATATTTTATCCCCGAGCCCATTTTCAAGCAACACCCACAACCTCTTGGTTCGTTCATGGTGCAGTCGGTGCCACGAGAATCCCAACGCCAGCGGTGGTCGCCGCAGCCTCGCTGTGAATCAACACGTGTGGCATCGATCATCTTCTCAATGATTAATTGAATGTGTGTCCCGACAACTGTGAGCCCTAAAGTCTCAAAGATGTAACCAGTGGATAGGTGTGACCTCATGAGTAATAAAATACTTTTAAGTCGGTGGTCTCAACCGGTGGGCCCACCCCCACCAACCACGCCAAAGGCTGCGGCCTGATTAACGTGAAGGAGAAACTCTACGTGTGCAGGGAGTACATTGGTGCCACGTTACGGAGACAAACCACGTGCACCTCTCTTCCACCTCAAAATCGAGAGGCGCCAGGCTGCTCGTTCGCTGCAGAAGGAGGCAGTAAACGTTCCATTGCACCTCCAATTAGCACAGTTGGCTACGTACAGTGCAAAAGAAGTTCAATATGCATACAGAAGCCGCTGGCGTTTTTTCTTATCCAAAGGGGACGAGGTGACATCAAACACTCAAAAGCTTTGTAAACAATAAACTATCAATTCACGAGCCACTTTCAAAGAATTACACCGGACTCCTGAGGGTCTGGACACCGTTGGCATTATTGCGTCGCTGGCTAATCCCTTTGAGCCGTGTGTAATGCTGATGACCACGCAGCTACTTTCTCCTGAACAAAGCGCAGCAGCCTTGTCACCAATGGATAAGGCTACGATTTTGGCACCAGAGGTCATGGCAGTCACGCAAATTGTGTCAAGTGATATCTTGGGAACGGCTGTAAAAATACGTCAGATTAGGCACTTCCTTTATTTCCTTTTCAAAAATGCCGTACGTCATGGGCTCAGAATATAAATATGCATCGGGCTATCTCTTTCTGAACCAGGCGCCCCACAGTTTGTAATATTTAAAATCAGTTATATCCAAATCGATTTAAAAGGCAAAAAAGAAAGAAAATTACTTAAAGTAGCCACTTGGTTAAATTTTTGTTTAAACTTTTTAATGTTTTTTACATTATTTTTAATGAAAAACAAATATTTGAGCTGAACAATTTTTTTACTACATTTTTAGGTAAGTCACACTGCCAGCTCTACGACTTAAAAAGTAATCATTCGAGTTGGAATGCCCCATGAGCCGCACCTCTCAAGCAGGGCACAAGGGCGAGGGCAGCGATCTCAGAAGTAGTTCTGTGATATCACTTTCCACGGACCGTTCTCTGACAGCGAGGAATGCGCCGCTGCGTGAGAATCCTGCATGGACATACTGTTCCTTGGTCTCGTAACAGAATGCCGAGGGCCACAATTTATCATGACATTTCGAAATAGGACAAAATTATCCATTACTGAAAAAAATTCTGAAAGGAAATCAGTTTTGCTGGTGATACTGGCCCGCTATGAAAAACAATGCACACTGTGCTAATACCAACACCACCAGCGTATCTTGAAGCCAGCGGAAGCTAATAAATAGCTATAGAAAACAATATTGACACGCGGCGCAGAAGAGTAGCTATAAATGAAACGCACGTTAAAAAAAAATTCAACTTGCACGCATACCAGTTGAAAACAAATGTGGACGGCTTAAATTTTGAGTGCCGCCCTCCATTGCAGTTTTTGAGCTAATGCCACTTTGAGGGCGTCGCCATGTACAAATACTATGTGACGTTGTCATCGTGAGTACGGTGCCCGAATCAAAAAGTTGGCACGTGGATTAAAGCACGTGTTCTTGACTTTTTCTTGCACGTGTGCATCCGTGTGCATGTAGATGTGTTTGTCTGCGTGCGTGTCTTTGCGCGTATTTGTGCGCTTGTCTGTGTGTGCGTGTCTTTGAGTGGTAGCGCAGTGCCAAGCGTGCTGCGCTTTGAACCTGGTGATCCGAGTTCGATTCCCGCTAACAGACCAAAATCGGTGATGAATATCTGAAACAGTACTGTGGCTTCCCTCGGTTAACTCAGCCTTCTATGAGTTCCTGGTGTGGTGTGTAAACATCAGCTATAGGGAGACAAAGGTGGCTGAGTGTGGGGCTGGCCACCCACCATCTCATGTGCCTTGCCGGCCTTCGTTGGTGGTCTCCAAAAGCACTTGCTTCAACAGTCTGTTAAAGGCTATACGGAAGATCTTTGTCTTTGTGTGAGCTTGTGTTTGTGTGTGCATCTGAGAGTGTATTTGCACGTGTGTTTGCGTGTGAGTGAATGTGTTGGGTGTGTGTTTTCTTTGTCTGACAGTTGCAGTTCTCAGTGCCACACAGGATCCGCTCGATGAACCGACAGAGAACCGAGAGGACACTGTCAGAGATAAATTGTGAGCCCCGCACAGCACAAAACGGGCGAGCAGGCCATTGCTGATGCAGTTGCTTTTGTTCTGATTGCTATTTGCCTTCCTTTTGTGACTTTGGTGACCCAGGTTGAGGTCTCACCAGGTTAAACAAAGTAAACTAGACACTTGTAAGATGCGCCTGTAATCCAACGACTTGGTTGATCATGCAAGAATAGGAATAACTTCTGTATTAGACTCCTACATACCAGTGCAGTGAAGTGATTCCAGTAGGTCAACTGAACTGAAAGTAGGTTGATTCATAACAGCTGTTTTGGATGATGCCATGTAATGATCTGGCCTAATTTGTGTCTTATAATCCTCCACCACTCAACACAGCCAATACAATTAAATTGTCACAGATTCAAACGTTTAACAAGCCAAACATTATTGCTTCAGCTCACTGGTAAGTTGAAAACTATTCTCACAAACAAGTGTATCAACCTTTGGCTAAGTCTCGGCTGATTCACCGAACCACCTTAACTTCACTCTGTTGACAACATTCCCTCCCCGTCTCTCGCGCGCAGTCGACCGGGTGAAGTTCAACCTCCCACTGCGCAAGGAGACGGAGCCCAACCACGACACGGTAAGTTTTTTCCCTTCCCCCGCAACTCCAATTGGCGTGGTTAGCTCTGTACGCTGGTGCGAAAGAAGTTCAACATGCACACATACGTACATACAAGCCCACGAGCGTTCGGTTCGTCCTCACTCTCCGCTCGGTGGAGTCCGAACATCCCCACCGCGACCCACTTGGGGCCCAATACGTGCGAAGAGAGTCTGAGCCGCTAGACGTGGTGATGACGGTGGTGTGTGCGTTGGAGAACGGTAGCGGTGGCCCGGCAGGCACGAGTGGCGAGGGGACGCTGACGATGACACCTCGCGACCAGCTCTCCCTCGATAGGAAGGCTTTGGTCTCCGTGGCCCCTCACAATACAAACAAATCAACCACCTACGTTACGGGCATTCCACCTTACTCGGGCTGTGTCTGTGAAGAATGTCCCTTCCGTGACATTCTGAAGCCTCCTTTTTAAATTATTTGCAGTATTCACAATTACCATGGCAACAGAGGCGGATCCAGTGCCGGATTAAGCTAGTGCGGGGCCTGTAGCAAATGTTATAAAGGGGCCGTAAATTAAACAAAACACAAATATTAAAACACAAATATTTAACTTGCATAGTAAAGTAATTTGTATTTTTTCATTTGCTATACAGCCAGATAATACGAGAAATTGTTAACCTTAAACACCCAGTCGTTCATAAAAGTTGAAGGCAGTATAGTACTATAGTAATAGAGCAAGTGCAGAATCACTGAACTGGAATTGATAGCTTGAAAGCATTTAGCGCGGGGCCCTTGAAAGTGCGGGGCCTGTAGCATCATGTAGCTACTTGTGCTACTACATATGTAGCTACTACTTGTGTAGCTACTACATATGTAGCTACTACTTGTGTAGCTACTACTTGTGTAGTTACTACTTGTGCAGCTACTACATATGTAGTTACTACTTGTGTAGCTACTACTTGTGTAGCTACTTTTGCTACTAGCATAATCTGGCACTGGGTGGACCTAGATACTTACCAGGGGCAGGGGGCGATCACAACACTTCAAGCTATTTAAACAGCGCCCAACGTTATTAATTAAAAAAACTATTGAATTTGAACTAGCAATTACAAGTAAAATAGCTCATAGTCTCAAGGTGTATCTCAAGATCTCCATGTACTTACATTCAGTAAGCAGGTGGTTTCTTCGTAAATGTATATGGCAATATTAATGCCTTTTACTTATAAACTGGTCATGAAAAAAACACATCTGAAAGAAATACGAAGACAAAGACCACGTTGTCACAGAAGGGCTTTTACGTCATTAGACTGTTATAGAATCAGAATCTTTATTTATACTGGAGGAATCTGATGAGATACAGATGTCCAGCAGGGCGTAGGGCCAGTAGTTGTATGCTCCTTTATTAAGTGTTCCTACACTGATTATTAAGGATCGATTCTCTCTTTATTGGGGTTGATAAAATAAATACTGCTCCTTGTGGGTAGTCAACAACGGTTGCTCTGTGGCGAGTCTGCACCACACCATAGGAATGTGCAATTTCCACCCGTGGCAGAGGGCCATCGACAGAGGCGAACACCACCCCCTTTCTTGTTGAACAGGAGACATTTGACCTCCCTCTGCTTCAGTCGTTTTAATTTCAGTTTCATCAACCAAAATATTATTTAAATTCGTAGACATTAACCATTTTTCCAATCCCATATTTGTTTATTTGTCAACAAGCTTCATATTTACTTTTTAGATTTACTTTTTGTTTGCATCGTCCAGTAGCGTGTGAATGTATTTATTATCAAGACGTTCGTCTTCATTATTTTCGTTTTGTTGTCACTGCGGCGGCAGCGCGATGCCGTGCGTGCGTCTGTGTGCGCGGACGATGGGATGCGGCGAGAGTGGACTGCTTTGTGCCAGGGGGGCCGAGTGGCCTTGTTTTTTAAAACCGTCGCAAATGCACTTAGCCGGGACGGCGCTGCATATTACCCATTTTTTTTTCAAAATGCGCTCGGTATATATTTTTTTATTGTATTCCCGCCGGTTTATTTTGGGCGCCGCTTGTTTTGTGCGCCGGCACTACCGCGCCGCCCTCGGCACAGCTTTGCCACAACGCATTTGCTCACAGATTTGTCCGCGCTCGCGTGCGATTATCCAGCTGTCGCGTTGGATCTGGGCACGCGGGCGTAAAATCGGGGCGGCCGACGGTGGGACTGGGCGGGCGACGTCGGTGGGGGGCAGGGGGGAGCGTGAGTTTGTGGGGAAGCAGTAGAGTCGAGGCGGTGCTCGTTAGTGGTCTACCGGGGGGGGTGGGGGGGCGGCCCCGTGTCGCGTCTCATCCCAGACGTGGCCCCGAGTGGCAGCCATGGTGGTGCAAGGCTCAGCGCGGAATTCACTATTAGCTGCACAGCCTATTTCCTTTGTATTACAATGACGGTTTCTTCTAATTGTGCTGGCGGCATCACTGTTGCGAGGTGAAGACATCTCCATTCCGATGTTTCGCGGCAAGCAGTGCACCAGCGTGAATTTGGGATGTCACAGAACTCCTTGGGGAGTCCCTTAAGTCGTTTTCTTTGGCCACACTGGGGGCACACATTTCGTGTCAATTAAACTGCAAGTTAACATTCTCTGAGCCGAATCATGAAAAGTAAAATTAAATGTGACCTTAGCGATGAGACTGAAACCCAGAGTCAAAACACAGAATCTCAGCAGAGCCGGCTCATTGCCCCGACACCGCAGAAGAGTCCTGAGCCATCGCCGAGTTTCTTCACGGATCACCATTCACGTTGACTTAGATCTGAACGAGCACCGTTCCTTGTCACAGAGACCTATTATGAACTGACATCCATTCGGCGCCATAGAAATTTCCCACCAGGTAGATTCCATGCAGTGAGAACCTACACCTCATTGTCATCGTTTTTGAAAAATCACTCAAGCAGGTGGAGGTGGGGTGGGGGGGAGAGTTAGGGGGGAACGGAAAAGGATGGTGAATTTCTACACGGTCGTGAGCTTCTCACATTAGTAACACATTTTAATTGTGCAAAATGTTGTGCAGAAATTGTGTTGTAAGTTTAAAGTTGGGATGAGCAGAGACGAAACATGAGTTTGGACAGCCAATTTTCTTCCCTGTGTGAACACATTAACGTCTAAGAGGCCACTTTGAAGGTTACATCCAGGTCACGTGACTGGGGGGCATGTCACAAGATATTTAGAAAAACCCTTGTCCCCATGTGAATACCTCGCAAAGAAGCGGATGATTTAAATTACACGATTTGACTTTAACGATTGAATGTTTTCATTCCCCCATGTGTGGTAGCAAGAAGGACAGGATGGTCCCTGCCACACGAATGTGAAACTTCCCCCACTGGCTTATGACAGCCAATGGAGGTTTGGAACACATGGGAAATAGTAACTACCAACATGCCAACTCGGGTCATCCTCGCAGCGGCTTTTGTCTAGCCATCAAACAAAGACAAAGACGGTCACTGCATCGCACGCTTTCAGATGTGCGTTTTGAGGCCGTCTGGAACGCTCTTCCATCCAATATTTGAAAGCCACTGGAGCTATGCACTTTTAAATTTAAATTGAAAATGAATTACTTGAGAACTACTTTTTGTGTTTAGTTTGTTGTCCTTCCTCCACACCTCCGATGAGCGTGGCTGGCTACATACAGTGTGAAAGAAGTTCAACGTACAAACAACATACATAGGGGTAAACTCTCTCTATCTGCAGATTGATAAATTGTCCAACATGTTTCTGTAGCCGTCTCCACCAACTTGCCTGCATCCCACCCATGTGTTCGCTCGATCCCAGACTTTGTCCGTGCGGTTGTCCCAAGGCCGTGTGCCCACTCGCGGGGGGAATCATTTCGGGGGGGGGGGCACCATCACTACCGCTTGGGCGATCCGCCATCGTTCTGACCCCACGTCCCCCGCGTCTTGTTGTGTTTTGTCGTGGCAGGATGTGCAGCAAGGGAGCTACGAGTGTGGGCCGCTCTGGGCCCACAGCACAGGAGGCGACCTGTGAGTAGTGCCGTGATGCGTGTACACGCGTGCGTGCGTGCGTACATGCGTGCGCGCGTGCGTACACGCGTGCATACACGCGTGCCTGCATGTGCTAGACGCCCAAGGCTTTGCCCCCCCCACCCCCCTGCTACCCACTCCTAATCCCTGCCCACCCTGTGCCTCTCGCTGTCCCTCCTGCTTGGACCGACCACGTCCGTCACAGGAGCCTGCTGAGGTCCGTCGAGGAGGAGCTGAAGCAACGGTAACGCACGCACTCTCACGCCACTCGCCCCGTGGAGCCACGTGGGCAGGACTCGGCTAATTGTGTCTGAGTGGAGGCTCCCGAAGGAACCGGCCGCTCAGCCCAGTGTGGCTCGCCCTGGACACCGCTTGAAAATCGAGCGCGTAGGGACAACTGTGACTCCCAAGAAACACTGTGCCCTTGTCAATGGAACTATTTTCTTATTGCAAGATGCACAGTTAATTATTTACCAAGTATTATTTTCATCATTGGCCTTGTTTAAGATTCAAATTGATATCGTTTTGAATCAGTTTGTGAGGTTGATTTTTTACATGTTCAATAAAAAATTCTGGGCAATGTATTTCCAATTGGGCTATTGTATTGTTTAAAGTCACGTGTTTATGGACCACTGGCATTCAATCGCTGCATAGCCAGCAACAGGAGCAGGTATCACTGCTCGTTGTGAAACGGTGCGCTCGGTGCGCGCCCTTCTCAGCACTCGGTGACAAATGGGCGATCGCCGACGCAGCCTGCTCTGGCAACTCCCAACGCTCGTTTGTCGTTATCAATGGAATTCACGTCACGTGGTTACGGCAGAGCTCGTGCACAATTGGCCACATTCACAGCCCCTAAGGCTGGCTCTGGACACCGGGCAGACCCAGGTCTTTGTCCCGTGCCCTCCCTCCTCCTCCTCCTCCTCGTGGTGCGGCAACCCTGCGTGTACAAGACTCGTACAGAAACCCCGAGGAGTCCTCATGACCCCACGGTCCCTCCTCCGTCCCGCACGCCTCCCCGATAACCTTCCTCTTCTTCTTGTTCTTCTTCTCCGTCTGGCTGGGGAAGCGGTTCTAGTTGGATGTCGAAGTTAGCAATCCATTTAATGTCTCACGGTGATGCCACAGCGAATGGTTATCATGCCTTCCTCCGAGGCTCACGTACCTTCTTCGTTGCGATGAGGGGCCACTGGACACAGTCTCCTGCAGTTATTCCAATTGCCGTTCAACTATACCTGCTGCTATCGGACTAAACATTATTAAAGAAAAAAATACGCAAGTACATTTGCCACTTATTTGTAATTTTAATGATCACACGTGCCCCATAAAATCTTCTACGTCACAGTATTCGGTTTAACAAAACAAATGCTCAAAATTCAGATTTTGTTGTCCACCCCTTTCCAACAGTAGAACAACTGAAACCACCTTTAACCCGCTTAGAACCGTAATCCACGCGTCCTCTGCACTGTATGTAGAGTGTTAGGTATTTGTAGTCCATCACCCGCTTGGCAATGACATTAGCCTCCCAGCAGCAGCGGTAAACCCAGTCGGGGCTCTGAGCAACAGCGCCCTCCAGTGGACACGTGGGGAGCTCCACGCGACCGGCCAGGGCGACTGCTACCCCACAAACGATGCTCGCCAAACGTTGCCCCCCAGCGCAGTTAAAGCATGAAGCGGTTTCCAGCCATACGCGCTGGATGAATACCCTGCGGATGACATGCATGCACCCCCAATGGCCTCGTCAGCATGCGTATGACCATGATAGACAGAATATGAATGCGGCGATATTAATCGACTTGCTTTACAGATAATGTTTGAATTGCATTCGAATACCACTGCAGCCATGAAAAGTGAAAAGTAAATTAATAGTTAACCTCACGTGTTACCTTACTTTTTATCTTGTCGGTCACTTAGTTGCCAGCACAAAACCTTAACGAATTGTCACACTGCACTTTTTTCGCCTGGGATAATTTCCCCCTCATGTAACGGCACCCTGGAAGAGACAACACAGATTCGTGCCTCACGGGAATGCCCCATCCCTGGAAGCGGTGTCTCCCTCCCCTCCCGACCTTTAACCTGTCTTGGCTGCCCTCTTCCCTTTCCGTGGTCCCCCCGTACGCCCGCCCTTTTCTTTCTTGCCACTCTTACCTTGCCACTCCTGCACACGCGTGCCCCCCGCCACTACTGCCCCTCGTGCCCTCCCCCCACGTCGGCCTCTCTGTACCCCCCAGCGGCCACGCGGCTTGGCTAAACGATGACGGAGATGCGAGCCAACAGTGAGTGCCGAGCGTGCGGCCATGCCACCTCCCATCCCTCAATCTGCTCACCCGGCGTGACCGTCTCCGCCCGACTGATGCACTGGCGTGTGTGCGTGCGTGCACCGTAGCGTGTCCAGTGCACACACGCACGTGCACACGCACGTGCGCATGTCAATGTGTTTGTGTGTGCATGGTGTGGTTGTTTTGGAACACCCGTTCATTTTGCTTATCGCTTGCCGCCTCCCCCGTGTTTCGTGTCCTTGCCGGGCAGAGCCTCCCTCCTGCAGAGCCTCACGCAGACTCGACGAGACTCCCTGAGAGCGTTGATCACGGGGCACAAACTCGGAGAAATCCGCCGGAGCCGAGGCCGGCCCCCACTGCCCCTTGCGCTCGCTCGAAACTCGGCACGCAGGGCAGCATTACACAAAGCGTGAAATGGACTCGAGATCAAACCTCAAAGTGGCATGAATTTCAAATCCTCTCTGTCGCCCAAAGGGAATGCGGTAGCTGGATGTTGCCTTTGTAGTTAGCTAATCAAGTACGAGAGAGAGATTTCTTCTGTTCTAATATATTATGTATCGTTTGTTTTTGTTTTGCTTCGCCTCAGAAAATATCCCATTAATCCATGTGATGTGCAAGTCAGTACCTGTTGCTGAGTCTCAGAAAATGATTGGTAGCTCTGTGCATGCTTTCACCTGTTTCCTGCTCCACAATTCTTAATTTCTGCCCCATCATCTCCACCATTGGTGCATTTCTGTTGCTCAATCACCGGTCGCGATGACATTCGCACATGCGAGCCTGAAGCATCTTCGAGAAGCGCGCTCCACGGTACGGTGGCATTGAACGGTTTTAGGGAAAGTGTTTATTATTTTTCAAGACTAAATTCGCGTGAACCAAAGGAAATGTTCATTCAGGTAGTTTTTACGTAACTGGCCACAGGTGTACGAGTGACCAACGAAGTCTGTCGCCGCGCTGTAATTCCATCTGAGGTTATATTTAATTGCCCTAAATCTATCCACTTAAGACTTCGTGGTGACGTGGGCGAAATTATTTAAGCGCTAGAATAATTCACGAAAACTAGAAAACTATTTAAAATGTCGTTCGTGAATTGTGGGCAGGGCGACTTGATAATATATTTTCTAATAGGTGATAAAGTATTCTTATTGTAAGACAATGCATTAAGCGTTAAAGCATCGCATTCTGTCTCTTGTTTCCCTTTCTCGTCCTCCTCCTGTGTGGCGCCTTCTTAAACTAAAGCATGAGATATCACGATTACTGCAACAGGTAACCTTTTTACTTTTTTTACACAAAGATCAAACATTCGCTTATCGTGGGATGGCGAAAGCCGCGGCTATTTGCGATCGAGGAAAGCTCCACCATTCGAAGTTATCCATGGGCGTGTAACGGTTACTTAAATTTGATGCTTATTCTCAGAATATCTGCATCGAACTGTACCCCCCAATCAATTGTCTGCAATTCACGTACGCTGAGTGTCGTTGGTTCACGGAAGCCTTTGCCGCCACCGTGGATTCTATGCATGCCGCAAGGGGAGAGCAGCAATGACCAATTCTCGAATTGAATGGTGATTTCAAATTGGGGTGATTCGTAAATTATTTCGTTTGTATTATTCCTACGCTCGTTTAACCAGGAAAGCCTCGCTGAGTCTCAAGACTCTTTATCAGGAGGGTCACTGGCGGAGCCAGTGGCGGGGGGGGGGGGGTGGCACGTGCTCCCCCAATTATCCGATCGAAATCCCTAATTTAGATCGGATCATTGGGGTTTATTCGTAATAAATCGGCATTTTGCGACCCCCACTGCCACTGTGTAGCATATTATTACGTGCCAGGGACTCTATGAGATGATAGGACAATAGTCTGAGTCCATAATTGGCAATAAGTAACGGCACAGAATTGTGCTTAGTTGCGTATACAGTGCACGACTTCCCTGAAGGCAAACACCTTCAGTGAGCGCGATGCCGATCACATACGGTTCGAATTCGACCCTTGATCGATGGCTGCGCCATCACCGCACACGCGAATAAAAAGCAAGGGACAAGTCCTTACTTACTAACAACTTCTATCATTTTTCATTGCTGGAGGGGTTGCCTTCCCTACATGAAAATACTGGTTCCGCCATTGAGGAAGGTCCTGCCAGGTTTTCTCAGTAGAGGGTGATGCTGCTGCTGAGTGTAATCCCAATCGAGTAATTTTCAGGTATATTTTCAAGATTGGGATGTTTGGTCAACACCGGTGACATTGTGTGTTTGTTGAGCTATATCAGGAAGCCGGAGAACACGGAGGAAACTCGTGCAGAACAGGATCCATATTTGTTTGTGGGTTAGACCTAACCCATTGTATTGGCTATAAAATCCGATGATTTTAGAGGGAGAACATACGAACTCCACACAGAAAGGCACCCAAGTCGGGAATCGAACCTCGACCCTTTTTGCTGTGGGGCACATATTACCACTGTGCCTGCCACCTTGCCACCCAATTCTTTATTTCTCCCATCTGCAATGGATACTTGTCTGGTTAATTTGTCGTTACCAGCCTCGTGGTACGTACAGCCTTGACACTTTGTCAATAAATCGAGTTGAATGCATGGACAGAGTAATTTTTTTTTGCTTTTTGGATATGGAGTTTCCAAATTTTATAAAAATTGCCAACAAATAACTAAATTGGGAAACGCAGCGCAGCATCAGCTCCTCCGTGCAAAACTTAGCGGGGTCCTCCGGAAATAAAATCTTGAGACTCAGTGAAGTTTTTTCTGGGTAGATAAAAAAAATGTTTTTGATCGATTGGTGGATTGATTTTGGTTGTTTTGCTTTCACAGCTCCACAATCAAGGTCACGACTTCCATAAAGGTAGAGCGATGTACACGACAGTGGTTCGCATACAGACACACGTGTTTATTGATTAATTTCATCCCAAGACAAATTTATGACGTGCGCTGACGATGGTTCCCCCTTCCTTGCGCACGTGTTGCCCGGCTCTGTACAGCGTTTAGTGATGCCATCGCATCCCCACGCTATGTGAATTGCATGGCTGCAAACTTCAGTTTAGACGTTCATTTACAATTTAATGTAAGCTCTCTGGAGGGTGCCCTCGTGATTGATGCACTCACCTAAGCCACTTGAGCAGCAGTACGGTAATTGCCGAAGTTTGTGTTAAAATGGATGTTAAAGAACCTGTGCTGTCAGCGGTTTTTGAGAGGAGACGGTCGTGTCACTACGTGGGACCGTATCAGAATGTTTAAAAACGACCTGTGATAATGATTACAAATGAGATAATTTCATAAAAACAATTCGTGTCCTTACTCTACCCGGTGCTTAAAATGTGTATTTTCCCACGTTGCAGAAAGGTATTTTTTCTTCCCCTCAAAAACATCGCCAAGACCACCTTGGTGCTAACAAATGAACTGTGGGCCAGGTCTCCTTGGGGCACGGAGACCTGGTGGGGGGGCGGGGGGGAAACAAAATCCGTAACGGCTCGGACTGCGGTTGTGCGGGCGAGCAGGCGACGGACGAGAGCAACGTCGTCGTCGTCAAGGAGGAGGAGGTGGAGGGAGACGGCGCCACCCCCGCCCCTCCCGCAGCGCCGGGCCCTCCGCGGGACGAGGCGGACCTCGGGGCCGGGGCGGCCCTCGGGGCCGGGGCGGCCGGGGCCGAACCCAGGGCCACGTTCCGTCAGTTTGCTCACATGTGGGTGCAGTACCACAACGCCCCACAGCCCCTGGGTGAGACCTCCCTCCTCCTCTTGCCTGCCAGGCACTGGGTTAGAGGGTCGTCGCAGGTGGCATACTTGTGGCTCGCGTGGGTGGCATTTGATAGGAGGTGTGAAGCGGTTACATTGATTAGAATTGAAAGATTGGATCGGTGCCAGTGTGTTCGTGGTAGTTGGGGGTGTGCATGTGGGGAGGTGTGTGCGTGCATGTGTGCTCATTAACGGCCTGATACCCTCTGTGGTCTAAGGCTGAATGGGATAGCGTTTACCTCTGTGTTTATGTGTACGTGTATCTGTGTATGTGCGCACGCGTGTCTGCGTGTTCCCCTGTGAGTGCAGTGGCAGAGATAATTAATGGCGATGAACTCACCGGTCTGCCCGTGATTGAAAACTCATCCAGCATGGAGGGGCAGCCGCTTCTGACTCCTGGTCACAAGGACAAGAAGGACTTCTCAGTAGGTGCCCTTAGCCCCCCGCCTTCCTGACCTCCTGACCTCAACGCCTCTTAAATTCTTAACACACAGCTGCATTCAAGAGGTCACCAGAGCCGGTGCCGATGATGCCACCCCGCCACCACTTTAATCCTCTACCAGATTCCTCAGCTGTTGCACCACCTGCCCTTAGAGTCGCATCACCACAATCTGGCTTCAATCTTCCCTTCGGTCACCGACCCCGAGGTGCTCACTCCAGTGCCTGTCTGGGTAGCCTGCCCTCATCCGTCTGCCACACGTGCCCCATCTATCACATCGTACCTTCCCTGATTACATCTAAAACACTTTCCTACCACATTCTATTCTATTTAGAACTTCCAGTTTGCTTATCCTATCTTGCTGTGCAATTCATACAAAATCATCCGATCTCATCAAGCTAAGCAGGCTTGAGAGTGGATGGCGCTTGGATGAGCGACTGTGCTTAATAGGCTGTGGCGTTGCGTTGTGGGCAGTGCAGCAACATCCACTGTTCACTGTACTTACATGCTTCCACATCTATGGTCAAATAACCCTCACGACCTGCATGGCGTGAAGAAGCCCTCATCTAGCAGTGGACTGACAAAGGGCCGTATGTGAGTTTAGTCTCCTTCACATGTATGTGTGTGTCTTGAACTTCTTTCGCACCGTAGGTAGCCAACCATGCTAATCTGTATTCCAACACCACTAGCTGCTTTTCCCATTGCTTCCTTAAAGTCCAGCTCTCTGAACTATAACTCCCAACCCATCCGTTTAGTTTATTTGGGCCTTCTTTGTCTTCAGATTTGCCTATCTATTGTAATTGTAGCAGCGAAGAATGATTTAAAATGCGTGTTACAATAACAAGGTGTTTCATTGTGTTCGTCACGCGCTGTGCAGAGCTGGTGTAACGGACTTCCTCCGACTCCCAAGGTTCACGTGAGTAGTTCCACGTTTCATTTGAGTTCACCATTCACTGGCCGGAATGTTACATCGCATGACGGTGAGAGGTGGCGACGGCTTAAGCAGGCCTTCATCCCGCAGTGAATTGATCGTGGCTGATGATGATGATTTTTCTTCTATCTGCATGAGGTACCTAGTGTCGCGGAATTCCTGGACATTACCATTATTACATCGTTAAAAGCTTCACAGGGGGAATATAAATTAAGATAAAAAATATTAATGTTCTTTGTCCAGGAAAGTCTCACTGAGTCTCAAGACTTGTTTCATGAATGATAATTCATTCCATGCAAACACGATCAACGTCTGAATATCAATGTATGCATCCATTGTAACCAATTAATTGTTACATTCCATCATGGGCGACGTTCTCTCCACTGCTGTCTGGATGCCTCATGCTGTCGCCATCCGTCACGGTCCTGCAATGCAGTAATCCATCTCACCCCTGCACATTGAGTAAATCCCATCGCTTCATCTCAGCGTCGGTCATCTTCTCGGACACGTCCCCACTTCTGGCTGCCATGCCGTCACCAATGCCAAGCGTTGGCCTAAGCGATGGGTTATCTCCCAGCCCAATTACATATCCAGTACAATATTAATGGTCACTATCATGTCTCTGATATTTATTTTCTGTCTGTTGTGAATGTTTGGCTTTCTCTCCCAACGGAATTCTCAGCACGCATCTCTCCACGATTGTTTTCAGCTTTGTGTTCAATTTTCTTTGCCAGTCTCAGAGTTTCCCATCCCTGTGCATAGCGAGTAATACGCACTCATTAAAAACGTGCTTCTGCGAGCACACTGGCATTTTGCTTTTCGTTATCAAGTTCAGCTTTCCAAAAGAACTTCGGACTGCTCTCGTCTCGGTCTACCTTCGATATCCGCCCCAGGACTACGCACGCTTTGATGCGTTTTTTTCAGCCGTGTGCTGTGTCTGTCCGACAGACGTCTCCGTTTGTTGAGTGTGAATCGTCACGTGCACCCCCCCACTGCCACCGCCTTGCAGATGGGCGCCTGCTTCTCCAAGGTGTTCAACGGATGTCCCCTCCGCATCAGCTGCGCCACCTCCTGGGTGCACCCCGACACCAGAGGTGATGCCACGCCCGTTAGAAATCTGCTTGCAGGGGTGCGATGCGTGAGCTAAGACCGTTCTGCTGTGTTGCGCTGCATCGGGTGGCTTCTGGTGCGGGGGCAGGCGACGTGGCTGGCCTGCAGGGGGCACTGTAGCAACGTTGATCGTTGTGCTGTGAATCTGAGCACTCAGCGGCGATGCTGCCTGCCTTCAGCAACCCACACTGACCAACGTGGTGAAGTATGGTCAAATAACTCCGGTGACCCGCACAGCGTTGGGGGAGGCCCTCGTCCAGCAGTGGATTGACAACGGGCTGTACAGTACATACATTACACGATGGGGTGGAGTGGTGGCACGGTGGTTTGCATACCGCGCTATGAAATCTGTGATCTCGGTTAGATTCCTGGCCACGGCTAATATCACGTGGTGTCCGAATTGGTTCTGGGCCCCCCCTTTACCAACCCACACTGACCATCGTGGTGAAGTATGGTTGAACAGCCCCGTTGCCGTTCACTTGTTGCCCCGCAATGCGTGCGTGCGTACATACTTGTGTGCGTGCGTGCGTGCATGCCCTTGTCTCCTGCAGACCAGCACATCATAATCGGCGCCGAGGAAGGGATCTACACCCTCAACCTCAACGAATTGCACGAGGCTACAATGGAGCAGGTGAGAATAAGGTAGTGCGGGTGCGGTGGCTGCTAACAGGTGCGGTGACTGTGGACAAGGTGAGGCTACTATTTGCTTCCTTCCTCAGGGGCACACGCTGGCTCCTGTATTTGCCAGTAAGCACCAGATCTCTTGCAGTCCGTTTGGCTAACTGGCAGATCCTTGTCACCTGCAGCTCTACCCACGGCGCTGCACCTGGCTCTACGTGTTCAACAACGTGCTCATGGCCATAACCGGTATGGCCACCAGGGCAGCCCTCGCGTGGGCAAACAATAGGGCGAGGGGCACGGTGAGGGGCGAGGGGCACGGGGTGAGGGGCACGGTGAGGGGTGAGGGGCACGGTGAGGGGTGAGGGGCACAGTGAGGGGTGAGGGGCACGGTGAGGGGTGAGGGGTACAGTGAGGGGTGAGGGGCACAGTGAGGGGTGAGGGGCACGGGGTGAGGGGCACGGTGAGGGGTGAGGGGCACGGTGAGGGGCGAGGGGCACGGGGTGAGGGGCACGGTGCGGGGTTAGGGGCACGGTGAGGGGTGAGGGGCACAGTGAGGGGTGAGGGGCACAGTGAGGGGTGAGGGGCACGGGGTGAGGGGCACGGTGAGGGGTGAGGGGCACGGTGAGGGGTGAGGGGCACGGTGAGGGGTGAGGGGCACGGTGAGGGGTGAGGGGTACTGTGAGGGGTGAGGGGCACGGTGAGGGGTGAGGGGTGAGGGGCACGGTGAGGGGTGAGGGGCACGGTGAGGGGCGAGGGGCACGGTGAGGGGTGAGGGGTACAGTGCGGGGTGAGGGGCACAGTGAGGGGTGAGGCGCACGGGGTGAGGGGCACGGTGAGGGGCACGGTGAGGGGTGAGGGGCATGGTGAGGGGTGAGGGGCACGGTGAGGGGCACGGTGAGGGGTGTGGGGCACGGTGAGGGGTGAGGGGCACGGTGAGGGGCACGGTGAGGGGTGAGGGGCACGGTGAGGGGTGAGGGGCACGGTGAGGGGTGAGGGGCACGGTGAGGGGTGAGGGGCACGGTGAGGGGTGAGGGGGCCGGTGAGGGGTGAGGGGCACGGTGAGGGGTGAGGGGTACAGTGAGGGGTGAGGGGCACGGTGAGGGGTGAGGGGTACAGTGAGGGGTGAGGGGCACGGGGTGAGGGGCACGGTGAGGGGTGAGGGGCACGGTGAGGGGTGAGGGGCACGGTGAGGGGTGAGGGGCACGGTGAGGGGTGAGGGGTACAGTGAGGGGTGAGGGGCACGGGGTGAGGGGCACGGTGAGGGGTGAGGGGCACGGTGAGGGGCGAGGGGCACGGTGAGGGGAGAGGGGCACGGTGAGGGGCACGGTGAGGGGTGAGGGGCATGGTGAGGGGTGAGGGGCACGGTGAGGGGTGAGGGGCACGGTGAGGGGCGAGGGGCACGGTGAGGGGTGAGGGGCACGGTGAGGGGCACGGTGAGGGGTGAGGGGCATGGTGAGGGGTGAGGGGCACGGTGAGGGGTGAGGGGCACGGTGAGGGGAGAGGGGCACGGTGAGGGGTGAGGGGCACGGTGAGGGGTGAGGGGTACAGTGCGGGGTGAGGGGTACAGTGAGGGGTGAGGCGCACGGTGAGGGGCACGGTGAGGGGTGAGGGGCATGGTGAGGGGTGAGGGGCACGGTGAGGGGTGAGGGGCATGGTGAGGGGTGAGGGGCACGGTGAGGGGCACGGTGAGGGGTGAGGGGCACGGTGAGGGGTGAGGGGCACGGTGAGGGGCACGGTGAGGGGTGAGGGGCACGGTGAGGGGCACGGTGAGGGGTGAGGGGCACGGTGAGGGGCACGGTGAGGGGTGAGGGGCACGGTGAGGGGCACGGTGAGGGGCACGGTGAGGGGTGAGGGGCACGGTGAGGGGTGAGGGGTACAGTGAGGGGTGAGGGGCACGGGGTGAGGGGCACGGTGAGGGGTGAGGGGCACGGTGAGGGGTGAGGGGCACGGTGAGGGGTGAGGGGCACGGTGAGGGGTGAGGGGCACGGTGAGGGGTGAGGGGTACAGTGCGGGGTGAGGGGCACAGTGAGGGGTGAGGCGCACGGGGTGAGGGGCACGGTGAGGGGTGAGGGGCACGGTGAGGGGTGAGGGGCGCGGTGAGGGGTGAGGGGCACGGTGAGGGGTGAGGGGCACGGTGAGGGGTGAGGGGCACGGTGAGGGGTGAGGGGCATGGTGAGGGGTGAGGGGCACGGTGAGGGGTGAGGGGCACGGTGAGGGGCACGGTGAGGGGCACGGTGAGGGGTGAGGGGCACGGTGAGGGGTGAGGGGTGAGGGGCACGGTGAGGGGTGAGGGGCACGGGGCGAGGGGCACGGTGAGGGGTGAGGGGCACGGTGAGGGGTGAGGGGCACGGTGAGGGGTGAGGGGCACGGTGAGGGGTGAGGGGCACGGTGAGGGGTGAGGGGCACGGTGAGGGGTGAGGGGTACAGTGAGGGGTGAGGGGCACAGTGAGGGGTGCGGGGCACGGGGTGAGGGGCACGGTGAGGGGTGAGGGGCACGGTGAGGGGCGAGGGGCACGGGGTGAGGGGCACGGTGAGGGGTGAGGGGCACGGTGAGGGGTGAGGGGCACAGTGAGGGGTGAGGGGCACAGTGAGGGGTGAGGGGCACGGGGTGAGGGGCACGGTGAGGGGTGAGGGGCACGGTGAGGGGTGAGGGGCACGGTGAGGGGTGAGGGGTACAGTGAGGGGTGAGGGGCACGGTGAGGGGTGAGGGGCACGGTGAGGGGTGAGGGGCACGGTGAGGGGTGAGGGGCACGGTGAGGGGCGAGGGGCACGGTGAGGGGTGAGGGGTACAGTGCGGGGTGAGGGGCACAGTGAGGGGTGAGGCGCACGGGGTGAGGGGCACGGTGAGGGGCACGGTGAGGGGTGAGGGGCATGGTGAGGGGTGAGGGGCACGGTGAGGGGCACGGTGAGGGGTGAGGGGCACGGTGAGGGGTGAGGGGCACGGTGAGGGGCACGGTGAGGGGTGGGGGGCACGGTGAGGGGTGAGGGGCACGGTGAGGGGTGAGGGGCACGGTGAGGGGTGAGGGGCACGGTGAGGGGTGAGGGGGACAGTGAGGGGTGAGGGGCACGGTGAGGGGTGAGGGGTACAGTGAGGGGTGAGGGGCACGGTGAGGGGTGAGGGGTACAGTGAGGGGTGAGGGGCACGGGGTGAGGGGCACGGTGAGGGGTGAGGGGCACGGTGAGGGGCGAGGGGCACGGTGAGGGGTGAGGGGCACGGTGAGGGGCACGGTGAGGGGTGAGGGGCATGGTGAGGGGTGAGGGGCACGGTGAGGGGTGAGGGGCACGGTGAGGGGCGAGGGGCACGGTGAGGGGTGAGGGGCACGGTGAGGGGCACGGTGAGGGGTGAGGGGCATGGTGAGGGGTGAGGGGCACGGTGAGGGGTGAGGGGCACGGTGAGGGGTGAGGGGTACAGTGCGGGGTGAGGGGTACAGTGAGGGGTGAGGCGCACGGTGAGGGGCACGGTGAGGGGGGAGGGGCAGGGTGAGGGGTGAGGGGCACGGTGAGGGGTGAGGGGCATGGTGAGGGGTGAGGGGCACGGTGAGGGGCACGGTGAGGGGTGAGGGGCACGGTGAGGGGTGAGGGGCACGGTGAGGGGCACGGTGAGGGGTGAGGGGCACGGTGAGGGGCACGGTGAGGGGTGAGGGGCACGGTGAGGGGCACGGTGAGGGGTGAGGGGCACGGTGAGGGGCACGGTGAGGGGCACGGTGAGGGGTGAGGGGCACGGTGAGGGGTACAGTGAGGGGTGAGGGGCACGGGGTGAGGGGCACGGTGAGGGGTGAGGGGCACGGTGAGGGGTGAGGGGCACGGTGAGGGGTGAGGGGCACGGTGAGGGGTGAGGGGCATGGTGAGGGGTGAGGGGCACGGTGAGGGGTGAGGGGCACGGTGAGGGGCACGGTGAGGGGCACGGTGAGGGGTGAGGGGCACGGTGAGGGGTGAGGGGTGAGGGGCACGGTGAGGGGTGAGGGGCACGGGGCGAGGGGCACGGTGAGGGGTGAGGGGCACGGTGAGGGGTGAAGGGCACGGTGAGGGGTGAGGGGCACGGTGAGGGGTGAGGGGCACGGTGAGGGGTGAGGGGTGAGGGGCACGGTGAGGGGTGAGGGGCACGGTGAGGGGTGAGGGGCACGGTGAGGGGTGAGGGGCACGGTGAGGGGTGAGGGGCACGATGTGGGGCACTGCATCTTGCCCCCATCATAGGAATGAGGAATTTTCACTGCTTGTTCATGGCTGTAAACAGGAGATGACTACCGCCTCAATCCGCATTTTAGCAGGAAATCGCTTGAGGGTGAATTAATATTGTGCTTAGAAAGAGAATCAATATGTTGTGTATGTAGTAACACGTATGAATGGAAAGATTGAAAGTTACACCACTGGCTCCTGGCCACCGACTGAGATGAAGGCTGCCCGTTGCTCATTTGCATTGATAAATGCTGTGACCCGATTTAATATGGAATTTAGTTCGAAATAAATGTTTCTTTTAAAAATATAAGAACATACATAATCTGTGCTGACAGAAATGTGAGCGAACGTGCGTGTGTGTGTTCCGTGCTGCGCCAGGCAAGGCAGGCACGCTCTACTCGCACGCGCTCCTGGGCCTGTTTGAGCAGGCGCGGCGTGAGCAGAAGCTGCCCGACCGCATCCTGCCAAGGTGCGTGTGTGTGCGCGCACACGCACGCACGTTTACACGGGACAAAAACCCTCCCATAGCATTCACCGGCAACTGGGGTAAGTGTTGTTTGCGAGTAGCACCTACAAAAGGCAATGCGGCGCAAGAGGGGATGGTGTGGCAAGTACCAAGCCCGGCCATCATTGTCTTCCCGGTGCTCATGTTTACACACTGCATCAGGTACTTACTTAAGGCTGAGTCAACCGAGGGGAGGCCGAGGACTGATTCAGATGTTCTTCATTGATGTTGGACATCAGCGGGAGGGAATGGAATTCATGTTGCCGGCTTCGTGGTGCAGTGCGTTAACCACTACACTACTGCTCCCCACAGGCGCACGCACACGCACGTGGACTCATGTGCACACATTCACGCAATTAACACGCTCACATGTGTAAACACACTACATACATGTGCGCACACATAGACCCATACGCACACATGAACACAGGCACACAAATATCTGGCATCCCCTACGTGTGCCGTCTCCGATGGTGACGTTGCTGGCACGTCATCATCTGGCTGCTGTCTCTGTTTATCTCGACGTGTGCTGTGTTGTGGTAGGAGGTTCATGGTCTCCACCAAGATCCCCAACAGCAAGGGATGCTACCGGTGCTGTGTGGGTAAGGCATCTCTCCCTCGTCTCGTTATTTGATTTTTTCAACTCGGAGGCTTCGTTGGGCTGAGCACCATTTTCTTGGTAAGATTAGACCAATTCCCTTGCAAAGCAGCGTGGATATCCCACCACCGGCAGGGCACCATCTGGACACGTTGAACTTTTAATAACGATGTCTTGTGTTCTCAGAGGCGGCATGGGTATCTTGGGGATCAGAGTACCGAGCCGGCACTGCTGAGGTTCTGGGTTCAAATCTAGGTTGCTACCCACGGTTAAATCGGGTTCTCAAGTGTTCCAATTTGATGGTCTTGGCCTGGTCCCCGATAAGTCCACAAAAAAACACTTATTTTAGATTTGGTGTTTTACTTCAATTTGGTAAAATTCCAGCCCTGACAATCGTGTCTCTGTTTAGGAAATTGTGAGAGTGCAGCCCCCCCCCCACCTTGTAGATGCTCGAGACTCCACTCTTGTAGATGACGGGATCTCTGAAGTAGTTCTGTAAAATCGCCTTACGCAGGCCGTTCTGTAAAAGCAGGGGCGATGTTTATCTTCGTGAGAGTTCCGAATGGATACTTTATCTCGTGGTGCTGATTGAGGAACAAATAAAAAAATGGCACCACGTCCTTTAGGCAAAGATGACCGAGTCTGTGCTTGTATTTTCTCACGCACTCATTTGCGCATGTGCATGTGTCGCCCCCTCTAACATCGCCACCAGGGAGACAAAGGCGTTCGGGCGTGGTGCTCGCCACCCACCCCCTCGTGTGCGTGCTGGCCTTCATGTGTGCTGCTCACTAACAGCACTTGCTCCAAAAGTCTGTAAAGGTCACACTGGGGAATCTTTGTTTTCTTGTGTGTGTCGCCCTGTCTGGCCCGTTGCCTGCAGTGCGGAACCCGTACACGGGCTGCAAGTACCTGTGTGCAGCGCTACACACGGGCGTGCTGCTGCTGCTGCAGTGGTACGAGCCGCTCATGAAGTTCATGCTCATCAAGGTGGGCGATGCCTCCAGCGCGAGGCGACCCGTCGCTTGCCCTCGCTGCAGACTCCCCCGTCAGAAGCCGCTTTAATTAATCAGAATATTTATATTTATTGGAGGAGGAATCCGAAGAGCTATGAAGCTCATTTTCACAATTTCCAGGAGGGGCATGGGGCCAGAACGTTACAACAACAAACAGTGGAAAGTGTAGGAAAGGTAAACAAATCACTTTTAAAATATTTGGTAAGGCCCACTAAGCTATTAGCTTCTTTTTCAGAAGCAACCTGGCCAGAAATGATAGCTCAACGAAGTGGCTTATCATGTGGAAATTTATAGCAGCAAAACAATATAAATAATCTAAACGTCTGACCAAACTGCCCGGAAATGCGCTCGATCTCGTCAGATCCCGGAAGCTAAGTGAGTTTGAGCCTGGATAGTGGTCGCATGGGTGACCACTGTGCATAACGGGTGTGATAGGGCTTGTGAGGGGCCTACGTGGTGAGCAGCATAGGGCACCGCAGCAAAGTTCATTCTCATAGTGTGATGCTATTCCCTCTCATCTGAGCTCCCCACCATCAGCAACCCACAGTGACCGGCGTGGTGAAGTATGGTCAAACACCCCCACCCAATGACTGACACGGCATGGGGACGCCTTTATCCAATAGTTTTGATTATTAAATGTCTGTAGAGTATGTTAGGAAGCTAGCGAATGTGGTACGTTGAACTGCTTTCGCACCATACGCGGCCACTTGGAGGTGCGGGGGAAGGACAACAAACTAACCACAAAAAGCAGTTCTAAAGAAATGAGTTTTCAGGTGCAGCCGTTGCATTTGGACGCCGCACTCATCCACGTTCACGTCGCACTGTACCTTCCCCGTTGATGGTGGCGCCCTGGGCAGCACGTGGATGCGCCCCTACGCAGCCCGCTGGTGCTCTTCGAGATGCTGGTGATGCCGGAGCAGGAGTTCCCGCTGGCGTGCGTGGCGCTGGCGTCGAGCTCCCAGCCGGATCAGGTCGTCTCGTTCCACGCCATCGACCTCAACACGGGCGCCTGCAGCCAAGCTGGTCCTACACGCGCACACGCAGAGACAAAGATCACCCGGATAGCCTCTAACACACTGTTGGGACAAGTGCTGTTAGTGAGCACTTATGAAGGCCTTCATAAGTGCGTGCTGACAACACTGCCCCAATAACACCGTTAAGGCTGCATGGGGGGTCTGTAGTGGTGATGGTTGACGCATCAGTTCATCAATTCAGCTGTATTCCTATGCTTATGATGCGCGTATCAAAGTGTGCGCGTTATAGTCGGTTATTTGACGCTCATGTTACATTTAGGAGTCATGAAGCAAACAAAAACTGTGAAATTAGAATGAGAAACTGTATAAACGGGATGGTAAAATTGAGACAAAAAATAAACGATTCTGAAATCAAATTGCAACCACAAATTGTGGCAATTCTGAATCAGTGGGTAGGCAAGGAGGCAAGGGGTGATGAATCATTGCATGCCAAGCTGTCTTGCTGGTGATTGTGCTGCTGGTGTTATTGATACTGGTGCTGCTGCTGTGGAGGTCCTGGTTATGTTACTGGTTTGATGCTCGTGATAATAATGATGCTGTTGCTGCCGGTGAAAATGATATTGCTGGTGGTGGTGGCACCGGTGGTCTTGATCCTTCTGCCGCTGGTCTCGTGACGCCGCGTGTTGCCGTCTCTCCGCAGGGGGACACCCGCTGGAGGCCGTCTACGTGAACCAGCTGGAGAGGGACAGCGTGCTCGTGTGCTTTGACAGTGCGTGTGGCGCCACCGTCTGCACGAACTTGGCACACTCATACACTCCCAACCCTTCTCTTGCTGAATAATAATGATTATATTGACAAAGCACCATTTTATCACGGATCTTAAAGCGCTGTACACGACACAGCAAATTTGAATACATCGTGGCGTACTTCCTATACTCCAGCACTTATTATTTTGATCATCAATTATTATTTACCAAGGAGGGTCTCAGAGAGTCTCACAGTATTTTTGTTCAGGAGGGTTCCTGCCAGGTTTTCACAGCAAGGGGCGACGATTGCTGTGTTTCCCAATCAAACAATTTGCGAGTCATTTTTCACATTTGGACCTGACGGTGGCACGCGGTGGCCTCCCCTTCTTCGAATGACGTCGCGGGATATTTAATGGCCACTGTGAGGCGGACGCTGCCTGTTTTAGGGTCACGGCAAACGTCTGCATCTCGGCTTAGGGGGAGGCAGCCATTGCGTTGGCAGCACAGCAAGTGGGTTAGTGCGCCCATCTTTGTGCACCTTTAATGTTATCCCCTTGTGTGAGATGTATCCGCGCTTGCAATGTTTCCTCTCCCAAGCAACGCGCTCTTTAAACATTAATTGGCAAACATCCCAATGTGGGGCACTCTTGAAAAATGGTGAGGAGATTCAGTTAATATATTAAATTTATGTGCCTATTTATTATCATTGTTATTACCAATGTGTTTTTTTATTGCCGAGTTTTACACCCAAACGTACCGTGTTTATGCCGTCGTGCGTAACTAGGCACACATGCAGCAGCCCTCTGTGAACTCGCTTGCCCCACACCGTGCGGGTTGTGGCGGCCCTTTGACCATACTTCCTTAAGATTGAGCCCACTGCATACTTGAGAACCCAATTTAACCCTGGACGAGTAACGCGGATGCGAACCCAGTGTCTCGGTGGAGATGGCTAATGATACTTGTCCAAGGCCAGCGACACAGAGAGCTGAGCTAGTTTGATCATCTTCTTTGGTTCTTTCGGTAAAGTCACGTAGAATGAGAATAAAATAATAAATTGATAAAATAAAATAACACAATAATATTCTCACGACGTTTCGGCCACAACACAAGCGCTGTCCTACCAGACAGTCTCGTCCCTTCACCTGATGAAGGCCGCTTGTGTTGTGGCCGAAACGTCGTGAGAATATTATTGTGTTATTTTATTTTATCAATTTATTATTTTATTCTCATTCTACGTGACGTTACCGAAAGAACCAAAGAAGATTAATCATTGCAGTCACTAAAGCTTTAAATCGAAATTTAGTTTGATCATGTTGCAGAATCAAGTTAATTTACGATATTCACTTTCAAGTTAATTCATTGTTGAACATTTTATTTTTAGAGAGCGTGAAGATAGTGAATCTTCAGGGCAAGTTGAAGTCCAGCAAGAAGCTGGCCTCTGAGCTGTTCTTCGACTTCCAAATCGAGTCTATCGGTAAGCTACGTCCTTATTGCCAATGATGATAGCAGCTCGTGGTAATTGCAATGCCTTCGAAGGTGAAAGTCTGGAGACAGCATATTGAGAGCGGCCTTCCGTCTGTCTGTACCGTCCGTTGTGTGGCTGCAGTGTGCCTGCAGGACAGCGTGCTGGCATTCTGGAAGCACGGCATGCAGGGACGAAGCTTCCGATCCAACGAGGCGAGTGTCGCATGCACGTTCTCCAGGCAGTCACGCGCCCGTCTCACTCTCCCGGCAGTCACGTGCCCGTCTCACTCCAGCTGCTCGCTGCTACCATTGCTGCTTCTTCACCCGAGTCCACACCTGAGCGATCGGTCACTTGACACTTAGTTGCACCGACCATATCACTTACACGTGGACGTCTCTGCAAGCAGTTGCGAGCAGTTGCGCACAACTGGGTGTTGTCAGTAGAAACAGACTCCACTCTGAAGCATCGATCTGCTAAAGAGACTTTTGTAACAAAGTATATCATCACACGTGCACACTTGCGAACTTTAATGTGTTGTTACAATCCTGAATGCGCTGTTTAAATTCCTTGTTGCACAACTGCTCGCCCAGATGTAGATAGAGCGGTTGGAGGTGATCATTCATTTCCGAGATTTCGAGAGTCTGCTGGTCGCACAACCATGGACCAGGGTTTAGTTCTTCGCAGCTCCTTCATTCGCGATCTCCCCTCCTCGGTGAGGGATTTATCTGGGCGCAGCGGCTTCCTCCCATAATAAAAAGCTCTCTGGAAGGATTTGGCCAAACATCAGAAGTGGGAAGATCCTCTTGTTAACGAGCTTCGTGGCTCAGTCAGGATTTTCTGCGAAAAGGACTGCTATTTATAAATACACCGCGCATATAAACATGGGAGAGTTGGACCGGTCTTTGGCCGACCTGCTCATTTCAGTGTTTTTTCGGGAGAACGTTTTCTGTCACTGTGCATTTTACTCTTGACGATGAGGACAGATTTAAAACATCGTGATTCGCATTGAAGTTGGCGATCTCGATCGAGCACACGTAACGTTTGGCGTTCTGGGTCTCGCACGTGTGCGGACGCAGGTCACGCAGGAGATCACGGACCGCTCGCGAGTCTTCCGGCTGCTCGGCTCCGAGAGGTGAGAACACCGGCCCGGCCGTGCCAGAACCAGCAGAGAGATGCGGATAGGACGGAGACGTCGCGTAACGAGAGAGATGTACACGTAAACATGGCGGTTAGAAAAAGAGGAAAGAGAGAGACAGGCACGATACGGATGGGAGAGTTTGATGTCACCTATCTCTGCCTGTCGTGTAGAAATATAAATTAAGTCATTGTCCCAACAATATTTGTAGGAATGTGCTGTGAAATTCACATGTTTGAATGTATATGTACCTTAAATCCCAACTGTGTTATGGTGAAGATGATTGCATGGTGATGCTGTGCACGCTCTGTACGTGTGTGCGTGCTCTGTGCGCGTGCGTGTTGCTGCTCGCGAGCACTAAGTGCTCGTGCTCGCCCTGTCTGCTCACACTCGCCCTGTGCATGGCACAGGGTGGTGGTGCTGGAGAGCCGGCCCACGGACAACCCCTCCGTGCACAGCAACCTCTACATCCTGGCGGGCCACGAGAACAGCTACTGACTTCGCCAACGTCGCCCTGCTCTCATCATCCATGCCCTGCTCTCATCATCCATGCACCCCAGCGAATGGCACGCTCCGTTCCCCATCCGGCGTGCCACCCATGCCGAACTGTGGGGCGGAGGGCGAGTGGTCACCCATCGGTACGATGCTGCTGCCGAGACGGGCACGCAGCGCCCAAATCTAAGCACGCCAGCTTATTAAAGGCCGGAGCACAGCTCTGGATCCACTCTGTCGATTGGAAGACAAATCTCTGGGTCCTTGCGAGTGACCTCTCAAATGCGGGGGCAACTACGTGTTCCGCTGAGGTTCCTTACCGCCAAGAGAGGGAGGGAGTCCTCCTGCAGCAGACACTTTCTTGCTGTGGTTGCAGTCGTCACGGATATGCTGGGGTATGTTATGTTAAATGTTGTGTAGCAACATGGGATGTGGCCAACACAGCTGTGCTGCTGCTCTCTGATGTTTACTGCCTCGCCCTGGCCAGGATATAACACACGGCTTGCCTGGCCCACGATGCACCGAGTGTGGACGTGGCCTTCGCTCCGACGCATTCCCTGCCAGCGACTCGGTGAACAGCCGGGTTCTCTGCTTTTTCATTTGTTCTGGCGACCATCTCTGTAAGCTGTTCCCTCAAGAATCCACCACCGACGACGGGAACAGAACAAACTTGCGGAGCCTCGAAGGGCGGCTCCGCGTAGGCGGCGTGTTTTGCGGCGCCCTTGCGGAGAGCGGCGGGGTGGGGGAACGGAGGAGCCGTGCGATGGGACTACGCACGCCTGCTTGTTGCTGCCGGTGTACTCGACGCAATAACTACGCGCTGTCTGCCGCACCATGGGCGTTAAAGATCCCACGACTTCATTGGTAAGAGTAGGCCATTGTGTGCCGGCTTCGTTTGCCGAATTTGCAAAATTACTCGCAATTGGAATGTACGTAGCGATCATCCCCCCCCCCCACCCCAAAAAAAAACTTGGCAGGACCCTCCTGAAAAACAGTGGTGAGACTCAACGAGGTGTTCCTCAGTTACAAAATAGATGCCCTCGGTTCGATGGCCATGGTGGGAGTTTGCGCATGTACGAGATACAATGATTTGCCAGTATTGCTAGCTACAGCGTCTGTGTACACACGCTAGCGTGTGTGCGTTTGTGTATTCAATGAACTGAGAGTCGAAGCTGCATGCGTGCGCGTGAGAGGCTGTGCGTCTGGTCTTGTGTGCGTGTTTGCGTGAGGTCGCTCACCGCCGCATTGCCACACAGATGCGTTTGCCATAATAGCTGCCCGTCGATCAAAACTCTATGCAACTCCTCGTGGGCCTACCCATCCCACCGTTTCATTCATAGCCACACCTTGAGCGCAAGTTTTAACAGCATCGTCAACATCACCGGCATGCCCATTTAGTTAACGTGATGTATACGTTTTCTTATCGTACCACAAAAACCTTTATAACGTATTGGACGGCTACCCGAAATTCCATTCATCATCATACATATCCACCGTAATCTCTGCTCTGCTAGAAAACATACCCAAGATAACCTGACTAAAAAATACCCCGTGGACAACCACAACTTGATTGGTTAGAGAGAGAGGGTGCTTGAGAACGTTCGGGACTTCACACCTATATTTAATTTTGAAATGCGTAAAATGTACTCGTATTAACTCTGAGCGTGAGAGTGCACGCCTGTGCACGAACGTTACGTTCGGCCTCGTAAAGCTAAACACAGCTGGCTGTGTAAATGCTATCGGGGTTGACAGTTTACCCACACAGACAACAGTTCACATCCGAGCTGGGGTCACAACCCACAGGTGGGCCGTGGCCGTCATAGCAGCACAGTTCTTCACGTGCTGTATTATTCCACCTCGTGCACTCATTTGTTGCAAACATGGGTTTCATTTGTCGAAAATATGCGAGAAAGAGCGAGAAGTGGTTTGCTGGAAGGAGACTCCAAATGCCGTATATATTCTTGTCGGGCATGCGGAGCCTTTGGGCCGCCCTTGTTGAGCACACCGCTTGGGTCGTGAGCAGTGGCTGCCCTCGGGGGGCGAGCCCCACGTGTCCTAGAGGCGGCCGTGACTGCTGTAAGCTAGTACTGCGTCGGCACATGTTGCGGCTCACCGTGGAGATTGTCGATGACGCAACATGCTTGTGTTCTCAGGCACATCATATGTCAATGTGTGTATTCATAGTCACAGCCACCGATGTATTTTGCGCGTTCCTGTATATACACATAACGCTGTACTGTTTGCGCATATATGTACAACTTTTCGCATTGTCATCACTTACATGGGCTTCAGGTATGCCTTCACCAAAAAGGGTGAGGCTTAGGACTTGAAATGAAATGGCATGCATCGTTAAACGCTGTCCTTAACAAAAAAAAATCGAATTTCCCAGTGAAGCGACTGTCCCTTGTCATTGGTCGTTATGGTTTGCTTGGTGCAGCTGTAATTGACGATGGCAATGGACCACACCGTTGCGCTCTAACAAATCACACTTTCGGGTGGAACTGATCACAAAAGAGATTTCGTGCCTGAGAATCTAACTCTGCATTTTAAAGGTCGTACGAGTGTGGTGTGTGTTGTTACTCAGTTTTACCCTACAAGCATGTATTTACATTAGCACTTTCACCAGTTCATTTTCATTTATTTCCATTGGAACATTTCCCAGGAAAAGTAATAATTTTCAAACCTGTCAATCCACTGCTGGATGAAGCAACCCATGCCGTATTAGCCATGGGTATTTTTGTTGATTATACTTCACTAAGCTGGTCAGCACGGGTTGAAGGAATTAATGTAATAGAACATTTTCCAAAATTTACATTGAACGAGGGATTTTTTTCTCAATTTTGACCACGGATTTCTATATTTTGACATGAACATGCAAATAGGCCAATGATAAAAATGACGCGAGAGTGTGCTCTAACAACGTCACGCGTTTTGAATACGAGCCGGTATGGTTTGCGTGCATCATCACCGTTCATTAGCAAAACCTTGCTATTTGTATTTGTTTGTTCAACCCCAACAGATGTCCGCAAGAAATGTAACAAAACGTTCCAGCAATGTTTTAAGCATTTTCAAACGAAACCTCGGAAGCACTCCGGTGCAATTGTACTTAATAAACATCTGAAATGCAGGGTAGAGCCCGACCACTCGACGTGCCCTGTCCACGCGCACAGCGACGCACAGCGATGCCTTTCCGTTCGTCAGCGGTCCCCCCACCGTCGTTTAAAGACGGTGGTTCGCCAGTGTTGGGACTCGTTACAGCAGCAGTGTTATCGGTGTACGTGGACACTTTTGCGTGAATTTATCATCCAATTTGTATTTGGGATTTTAGATTTTAATATCGTACTTTTATGTTTTGTATTATCAGTGTCAGTTGCCCGACTTGTTAATGTTGCGTTGTTTACGACGCTCATTATTATTTAGTGTTGTGCTTTTTGGCTGCTGTTGTGAAACTGTCGTCGTTTACAATGCGTTTTGTTACCGTTCAGATTACGTAGTCTTACCACGTCAGTAGCCACACACTGCTTGAGGTTGCACGCGATCACAAATGCTCAACACTTTGGGAACCCACGGGCGTCAAACCACAGCATCATACCGATTGTAATCGCCCAGGAATGCCTGTCCTTAACGCTCGTGACGTCACTCCACATCGACCAGCCCCCCTCATTAATATTCATGAGAAGGTTACGTCATCCATATGGACACCCCCCCAACCCTCATTGATAATCATGAGCGGGTGACGTCCCTCCACATGGGGGGCCGAGGCGCCTCCTCTCCTCGGCGTCAACTTACAGCCCTCACTACAAAGGCAGAACCCTCACGTCACGTGATCTCCGTAACGCTGTTGAGACATCAAAGTAAAAAGGACGTCGTCATGAACAAGGGATTATAAACTTAAAATTAAATAGCTCTGTGTCACCGCGCCCTTACAAATCGCACACGCATTGATGCAATGAATATATCACGTCGCGGTCTGCTTTCCGCTTGCAAGTTTCAAATTTACCACAATACACCCGTCCTTGGACGGACAAAATGCTATTTTTATTTATTAGCGGTGGAGGATGAACACTCCTTTACCGGAGCCCAATCATTTCCTCTGCCGGTTCCCCTGTGAACACTTCTTTGGCGATACCTGTTGAGTACTGATTTTTTCTTTAGTGAGGTCTGGAGCCCTTCAAATGCCGCACGATTAGTATGTTTGGCTACGTACGGTGCGAAACAAGTTCAGCATACATACGTGCGTGTATCTGTTGAAGCAGCCACCAGAAGTTTTGGCAGTATAGTGCAATTAGCTGTACATAAAGGATCTTGTAAGAGACATAGGGTACTGACCTCTTAATGACTTAGATTTTCAGATAAAAACTAACATGTTTCCTAAGTGTAGCCAGGTAGAGATGTAGGCAGGTGTTAAGCAGGTAGGTCGTTAGGTAAATATCCTTTATTTAAATCGAGTAAGAGTCTGAAGAGATGTTACTTTCGCAAGGGATGCCTGGGAAAAGAGAGGAGCCATGTAACAATTCAACCCTCCTCACGAACTAATATTAGGGGGTCACCCTTCGATTCAAGAGTCCGATAACTGTTTTCCATTGTGCAATGTAGAATGCAAAATGCATAGTGAGGCTATGCAGACGCATACCACTCCTTTCGATATCACTTTATGTTAAAGACAAAAATCTGCGGAAGCCGGAGTAGGGCAGACTACTCGTCTCTGGCAGTGGAGCCAGCCACAAGAATTCCCGGAGTGCTGCCGCAGATTTCTACGTAAAAAATTCTTGAGCAGGCCGCGTGACCACCCCGCTTGACGCGTTGTCCGTGTGGCGCTCGGCCAAGTGACCCAGGGCTTGGGTTTGGCGGTTCGTGGGGTCAGCAACTTTGGCCACCTCTGTGCAACTGCGCCTGCTGGGTCTCCATGAACCACATTTTTAATGTCTCTTTTAATATTTTCTGCACTCAAATTGTCTTGATGTAGCCCAGGTCGCCCTTGCAAAAAAGGCATTTTTTTTGTCTTCGTGGGTTTATTTAATCTGCCGGTTACACAAAGAATGCTGACTGACATAAAATATGATTTTGGGGGATGTGGGGGGATATAATTTTTTATAGGTTACAGTTGTGTATCGTAAGCGGAGTATTTTTTTCTGCGATTATTTGTTACGTGCATACATATAGTGAGAGGTAGGTGTAATGGTACCGGACAAAATGGGTACAAAACACGGCTCAATTCACTCAAAACCTGTCAACCTGGTAGACGGCCGCGTGCCCACCGCTACGAGCACCCGGGGCAGCTTGAAGCGCAGTGGCAGAAACCCCATACCCGGTGTGACTGGGGGCATGTGCAATATCCACAGCAAAGTGCCTGACACAGAATGAAGCAACTTCAAAAGGGCTCTTAGTTATACCATGCCTCCAAGACGCTTGGAAAGTGGGTTTGGCACATGAGCAGCACTGCTCTGCATTGTGGTTTTTTTAATCTCCCATCCTCCAGCCGAGTAACACGTCATAGGTTACACAAAAAGCCACACTCGAGGCTTTCACAGAGGCTGCAGGCCAGATCAAACTGTGTACACGCGTGTCCTTTGTTGCGCTTGCGTTGCATTGTGGGGGGCTTTTCCCACAATTCAGTGTGGCCCAAAGGTGTTTTGTGAAAAATCTGACAGTTTTTCTATATATTATACATTCATAGCCTTTGGTCATATTTTAATATAATACATGTCTGTTTCACTTCCCATTTGTTAACTTTATTTTTTCACAATATCGGAACACATAAACGTAAACCTGTAAATGCATTCAAAATACATCACTTTCGAGTAGCGTTCTGCGTGTTTTAATTGTACTTTACATACGTTTAAAGAGTTGTTTGTCGTCTTAAATGCTTACCACATCCAAACACGAATGCATTTTCACGGTAAAAAAAATCCCGTGCTAAATTACGATGATTAACGTTGCCACTCGGAGATAGTCTGCCCCAGTGCATGGCCACACACCCCCACACTCGGTGCTGCAGTCGTGTTGAGTGTCGTCCGCCTCCCGTCGTCCTTCACGGCGTCACGGTGCAAAACGTCACCGCGATGCTCCGCCACCGTTTGCTGGACCCATTCGAGGCGAAGCCACAAACATAATATGAAAATAATGGAAATGTTCTTGATTTTTAGTTTTGCATTGCGTATGCAGTGGATTGGCTGGCTCGCTTGTCAGCAGTTGATTGTTAATCATAACATCGTGACTGGCTGGTGAGAGGGAGCTCCTTCACACGCAGGAGATTGTCTCTTTGGTGCCAAGCCCCTATTGGATGCCACTTGCACACAACCTTGCACGGCTGACTTGTGTACACTTCCAATTTTAATTGACAGTAACATTACCTTTAACGGTGCAAAACATATCGACTTAAAACAAAGTTTAAACTAAAATCCCGAAGGTACATATTAACTGTTCCGGTTGAATTACAAATATTCGGAGGTTTGTAGGGCATGCACGTGGGATACGCGCACGGGAGTGTGGTGCTCAGTCAACATGCACCGAGTCACGACGACTTTGCAGACTTTTACAGATTTACATCTCGGATTCAAGTCAGCAATCTACATTGCATCGTGTTGAACAATAATTATTGGTGGCACTGTAAACCCTTCGCTTTTGTCTGATGGGGCTAAAATACTTTGTAACGATGCCATCAAATGCCGCCTGTTGCTGCTGCTACTCATCTGGAACTGAAAAGGCCGGTTGACTACACGTTTTGTTTAATCCTCTTTAGTTACACAAAAAAACTGCGCGATTAAAGCATAAAGAATAAACATCAGTCTGCCGCTCGCCTCTTTGTTCACCGCAGAATTCCCCGGGAATCCCCCTCGCGCCGCCCGTTCCGCCGCGAGGCTCTGATGGCAACGAAACCATCGTGCCCTGGGTTCCTCTTTTGGGCGACTTATGTGACAGCCTCAGCGACCGCACTCCGACCGAGTTGACGGAGAGCCACTTCCTCCAACTTCTTGCCTATACTGTGCCGGTCTCCCTTAGAAAGAGGAGTCCAACTCATGTGATTGCAGAGGGGCAGTATCTGCGGATAGTTGGTGGGGGAAAACAACTGTTACAACCTTTTATATCGGTTCTCAAGTTTTTTTTTATGGTGGAAATCGGTTGTGGTTTTTTGAACGGGTTCAGTTTCTGGCCACAGTGGAAAGCGCAAATTATATGTAAACCTCTTCTTTGGTTCTTTCGGTAAAGTCACGTAGAATGAGAATAAAATAATTGATAAAATAAAATAACACAATAAAATTCTCACGACGTTTCGGCCACAACACAAGCGGCCTTCATCGAAACGTCGTGATAATTTTATTGTTTTATTTTATCAATTTATTATTTTATTCTCATTCTACGTGACTTTACCGAAAGAACCAAAGAAGATGAATCCTTGCAGTCACGAAAGCTTTAAATCGAAATATATGTAAACCTGTTATGGGCATCCCTTATGTTGGCTTGGCCTAAATTGTGTGTTCTGGTGTGGGTTTGGGGAGTCAGCATCTTTGTCACTGGAGATGCGAAGGCAATGGGGTGTTTGGTGCTGGCCTTACCATCCTCGTATGCCAAGGTGACTTTAATCGGTGCTCGCTAAAAGCGTGTAATCTGGTAGTGTATAGGTGGTACAATGAGATCTCTTAAAGCTCAACCCAAAAAAACAAACAGGACATGTGTATTCGGATATAGGCTAAGTGTCCTCTGCTGTCCTTTCCAAGTTTGAAGCTTTGATCTTGAGAAGAAAAAAGTTATGGTCAAGTGCATTAATCACTTCTATATATTGTAATGTCAATGTAGTGACTTCAATAAAGTGCTATCAAAAAGTGCCTCACCATAACTTTAAAGTATTTTTTTCTCTCTAAACGAAGCTTCAAACTCATGTCGGAATAGCCAGCAAGAGCCGTTTCTTTTTCGATGGCATCTTCACTTCCCACCAACATCTCACTAAACACTTCTCCGCACGAGAGCGTTGAGATTTTCCGTACCGACGATGCTGCAGTGCCAGAGCCAAGCACGACCGTTCACGTGGTGCCACTTTCTATGTAACTGCACGCGGTACTGTCGCAACGCTGTTGTGGAAAACCGCTCGAGGGTTTGTGCTAAATCACGTCCTGTTTGTGCCCT